AATTTTCACTACTGTCATGCTTCCTTATTTTCCAAAGGTTGTCCTTTCATATCAACCCACCCTGTCAGGGTTCAATATTTGGGAATTATGTAAATTATTTTAGACAATTATAACGAAACTGTTACGTGATCGACCGTTATACTTTGTATTGTATTGTTTTGCCTTTATAGTCAGCACATCCTCTTTCTTTAACGTAAATTTCCCTAACACGAAAGTTGAAACACCGGACAATCGAGTGTGACTATAAAAGGGTGTACAGCTGAAACACGGTTGTTTCCCAATTTTTAAATAGTGTTTATGTAAGCACCTATTATATTTATGGATTGTTCCGTTGGATGACTTCATTTTTTGGGGAACTTAATTTGAACTACCGCATTTCATAAAACACTAGTTCTGCTGCGCTTGTTTAAAATTATTAACCCGTTTGCCACTCATCAAAAACTCGTCATGGGGTGGATGGGTTAAAAAGTTGCTTCGAGAAAAAAACATTGCTGACCAAAATTGAGCCATAGAAGTTACGTTTTTCGGTCTTCACCTATTACGCGATTATCTGACAGAATTCACCGTTAACTATTATTGCCTTTGCTAAGTCTTATTTATGGCTGAACAGTCAACAACAGCCATTCAAAGGCGGCTTATCACAGTGAACGCTGGGCATTGATCACACTTCGACTGTCGGACGCTTTTCATAGTTTATTTGGAAAGCTTTCCGGCCCTCCTATCATTGAAGTATGTTTGGAGAACACTTAACGCGATTGCGCGGACAGCCTACACAACCTTACTGACCAATTGGAGTATGTTTACCGAACGATGAGTAGAACGATTTTTTATAAGTCAGAGAAAAGCTATGATTCTGTGAGTCATTTATGAATAAATACGGACCATATTGAAATCATTCTTGTTCGTTTATGATCTACTAAAATATCATCAACTACTTACGATATTACGCAAACGTCATGTACGCCCGAGTGCGTCCTAAACCAACAAAAATGGCCCTCGGTTTTACATAAAACACTCACTATAAGGGATCAAATCTATTCGCCGTCTTTTTATCTCGATTTCCAAATATCCCGGATATTATATTGAATCCGACCAACGATGACGCGATAATACGATGAATTACCCTAATACTTGAAAAACTTTTAAGGCTTTTTGAAAGTCGAAAATTGTCCGGAATAATAGGTGACGTAGAACCCCACAGGGCGTTTCAATTAGTATTTTTCCATTATTGGCCTCATGTGCTTTCACTGTACTTACTATAGAAACACGGTTGCCGAGAGATAATAGATCCTTCATTACATAATAGTACTTTTTGTCTATATATATCAATTGTGTATTGCGTTTCAAAGACGAATGTTATTTTGTTTTAATGCTCATAGAATATCAACAAAGTTGCTAAATTGTTTTCCACAAACCTTGAATCACGCCTAAATGTTATATTTTTTTTTGTTGGGATCGTTATTTTGTATGTTTTCACTGCCACGACAAATCGTAGCGTTTTTGACCATATTTGCCGAACGAGCTAAACTAAATTTTAAATTTCTTTTAAGATTTAGCCGGTCAGAAGCTTAAAATATTATCGAAAAGCAAATTTTGCGGCGACGCATTACTATCTTCTCTTTGTGCACTTTTTCCGTCTTTGTTCTATCACTATTTAAAATTGAAAATCCATATTTTTCGTAATTATCTATACGACCCAAATTCTCGATTCGTAGGTAATGATTGACGGAGGATATTACAAATGAGTTGCTTATATTACAAAGACGATCTTTCCGGCCTAAATTATATTCAAAAAGCTTTATGTTGTCTTGAAGTCCTTTGAATTGATTCTGTGGACCGACAATACACACAATCTCGTCATTGTTTGATAAAGGTTGACATATAAATGGGATATTTCTTTTTCTGAATTTTTGGGGCTAATGGTTTAAAGAAACAAGAAAAATGTTATCTGAATAATTGGCGAGTTGGATCAGCACGTACTGGTTTAATAATACGATGCAAGGTTTATGTCATTATGTTATTTTTTTCGTCGGGTTATCGTGGAGTAATCAAAACCATGCGATAGTATGTATTTTTATTAATACGGCAACTTTGGCAAGCGCTGGAATTACCTGAATTATGTCCAAAAACTTTTTTTTATAATTGCACATGCATAATTATCAATGCTTGAATATCTATTGAATCGCGCGTTTCTTTACTAATCTGCGGAATGTTGTATTTCTATTCATCTGGCGTTTATCGATCCAGCATTTATTCAAAAATGCTCACAAATTGTGTACTTCGTGATTCCACTTTTAATACTATTTGAAAATGTTAAGGTTTGCCTCGCCCAGTATCCAAGGTTACCGCGTTCATCAAGTGCTCTTGTGCTACGAACACTCGAGCTCACAACGGTACTTGGAGATGGCCTAGTTGTTTTAATGAAGATTTGTATTGAATCAGCTTTCCGTGAAAATTCAGAAGTGGTCTGGCGCTGAAAATTTCGGCTCACGCATTGATGTGAAAAGCAGCTTTTTGCTAAAAATGACGAGAGTGTATTAGAAGATCGATAAGTCTTTTAAAAAATTGTGCAAAACTTCAATAATCAATAATAGTTGCAAAGTTCAGCGTACACAAAAATAAACTTGGAGTAACCTCCAATCATGCCTCCTAAAGTTTATTTTACCACCGATGAGCGCCAAACAAACATTGCTGTTTTTAAATTATTCCCGCTCTCTAAACTTATATATAATTACCGGTTTGTTTAATAGTCAAACACCATAAACCTGACTGCCGTTATCTCCATTTAGACTAAAAAAAAGTGGGCCTGACGTCATCGAAATTGCCCTGTGCATCATCATGTTGTTGTTTTGTGGAGAAATTACCTCTGTCACAAATGTAGATGAGTTCACAATGACAGACTTGTAGAATTTTCTTTGTCCTTCTTAGATGATGACGCTTTGCAAGATATGGTGCAAAAGCCGTCTTTGTTTTAGTCATGTTTATTAAGGCGGGCCATGTATAAATGACTCACACATATGTTACACTTTTACGTCACACCAAAAATTGCATGAAATATTCATTGTTTACATGACATTTTTTGGACTAACTGTCGAGAAGGCGTTTTCAGAATCCTGTACTCTCTAAATATTATACCTGTCTTGATTATTTAATTTTCAATAAACATACACCTTACAATGCAAACAATAATGTAGAAATATCCATCACACCCATATATTTGCCTTTATTATTTGTGACTTCCACCCACGTGGTGACGGAGAAGTTTCCTCACCTACGCCTTTCAATACATTTCATAACAGGTTATTTCACAAATATACTCCAATCAATCTCTTATCTTGTATTTCTCAAGTTTAGTTCAAAAATAATCAAATCCATAATGTCTTTCATTAGTAATTCTTGAAACCACTTTATTTTGATTTTTGTGATTTCTTGCAACACCAGTCTAACCAACTTACCTACTATAAACACAGATAATCATCTTTTTCTCACGGTTCTATTCTAGCCTCAAGTTATGATTATGTCATGTCAGCACAGTTTTATTAACAATAAAATTGATAGTCAATTGTGAGACAAGAATATCAACTTTGAAAAGTTTATTCCCTTTTCGATCTCGGAAATCATAATCTTATGGTAATATCGCGTTTTGAAGATTTCATTAAATGCCCAGTGTCCACTCATAAATAATAATAAAGTTTATCAATAAAGGAGGAGTCCAGTATATATTGGCTTTATTAACTTCACTTCTGCATTATTAAAAGTCATTTATATTCCCAAATGATGTATATTATTAAGTTTCTAGTGGTTTGAAGTATCCATTGTAATTTATAGCATAATTTTCTAAACAGAACTTTAATTAAACCTAATGCTAGCCTTGTTTTGTTTATACCGCATGATATATTGATATGTCGTGTACTCAGTATAATACTTTATCAATTCTTCTTGTCCTTATAAAACTTAATATCCATATTCTCGGGAATCCATTAATCATTAACATTAATATTGGATAGATAGCTTGATAGATAGTATACCAGTCTATCTCAATATATTATCACTATTGTTTCAATATATTATGTATAGACTGATTCCTCTATGTGTGCTTAATGGGAAATAGGCTTTTGGTCTTCTCATGATTTCATTCTCTTTTTTTTTTATAAAGAACCATATTGGATAACCAGCTAATTTAATTCCTCTTTTGTGACTGTGAAATGAGATTGGTGGATTTTGTTTTGCCCTTGATATCGTTTTTCAAATAATTACCTATTGGTTATCGAGCCATATATCAAGCATAGAATGTACATGGAAAAGCTTGTTATATCCATGATTTAGACTTGTTCTATCGAGAATTAAATTTAAAAATTATCAGACTATAATCACTTTTGTGTTTCAAGTAGTTCTTTTGTTCAAACTTGTAATTATCTCAATTCATTTTAACTCCTTCACATATAGTACTTCACATTGAATTGCATTGAAGCATAACGGTATTCTTTTTATTTAATTCTTATTGTTATATTTTGACCCTTGCAGCACATAATAATAAATTAATGTGATCTATAGTATGGGTCATTTCATTGCGAATATGACTATTATAGCAAAAAGAAAAATAGAATATTTTTTGGAATCTTTTCAAAATACAATCATGATGGCAGTTTATGACTTGTTTAGATTATTTTGTCGTAATACCAATCAATGCGTCGTTTTTTGTTTATTGATGCTTCATCAATTTAGTCAACTTAGCTTTGATATAAGATTTTTGTAGGTTGTTTGGGTTTACAAAATCAATGGTGTTGCGTTTTATTTCGCGGGAAGTATGCTTGAGTACGTGACATTGACATTGTTTATTTTTTTTATTTGGAAGTTGAAAATCTATCGGCCTTTGATCAGCTTTGCAACATTAACTGTATCATCTTACAAGAATAACTTTGGTCCGAATTATTTTTATAAATAACCGCCTAGTAAGTTTGGGTATCAAGTAACGTAATCCTATTTCTTTTATCTTTCAGATCTCGAAACTTATCATACTTTCTCACCATCGCATTCATCAAATTTCAAAACCTTGAGTTTGTCAAGCGATACTAACACTTTATATATTGGAGCCAGAGATCAGGTTTTTGGACAGACTCTAGGTAGGTGGAGTTTTATCATTGGAAAAGCTGATGATAATTAAAAACCAAAGATTTTGTGGAGAAATCAGTACTTGACATTTTTCTTGGATATGGCCATATCTATATAGATTCTGTCTTTCAATCAATTTTGAATTGTAATATTATTGACTTGATGGCCTAGTTGACAGAGCATTGGACTTGTGGTATGGTTTCGTGGGTTGAATCCTGACCCATAACTCACCCATGGTATAATAAATTCAGTGGGCAATTCCATGTCTTACCTAAATAGTAGCTCCTTGCATATATCACTGGCATTTATACAGAGTCTTGTTCTGAGTGAAGTCATGAAATTTCCTAGTCATAACTATTTTCTAGTAAAATCATGAATTCACAAGAATAGTTGACAAGTTTTACAAAAAAAAAACAGTCATCTGATAACACCATATAAAAATAATATATAATTCGAATAGCACACATACAGCATACAGCTGAGCACATTTTTTCAAATCTCGTTTAATCCTATTCCTTCTATTTCATTATGCAGCTGACATTACAAAAGAAAGTTTTACTCCTGTAACATGGCCGGTAACAAAAGATGCATTTTGTGCCACTCTTCCACAAAGTGAAGGAGGAAAGAACTGTTACAATCTTATACAAATCGTACAACCCATCAATAAAACTCATGTACTAATTTGTGGAACGAATTCTCTCGCTCCTGAGAATAGATTGCTTGTGAGAGAGGTAAGAGTTTAAATTATTAAAAGAAATAGAGTAAAAGAACAATGCTGGGAATCGAAGGTCAAATGACCACTATCATGGGAGTAAAATTCCATTTAAATAAAAGAGAACTGTAGCGAGTGTCACATAAAGTTGTGTCCAGCAAAAAAAAACAGCAAATTTAGATTGAAAATCTATTGGTCCATAGGACTCGAAGGAAATTTGCATAAACAAAATAAAAGCAATGGACGTGGGTTGAAGGTCCATTAGCTATGTTGTAAAGTATCTTTTTTTTAACAACAACATCAATAGCCCCCCCAACAACAACAACAACGATTCAACAAAACGATCCATAGGTCCAATTCATGCCCAATAAACTTTCAATTCTATTTTAAATGATTGCCCTTTTTCATAAGACAAAATCATGCTATGTTGACTTGCTTTCTTGTGTTTTGCACCATTGAATGACCTTTGAAAAAAGTCTTTGAAGTAATTTTGACAAGTTGATATGAAATTTTTGTTGCTCATGTTTATTGATGCAGAAGACTAAATGTTTCATTTAACAGCACTTGTTCTTTTGGTTTGGGAAATTTTTGTATTGTTTTCTTTTCATGCAAAAAATTGATGATATTGATGTTCGACCTTTTTGTTTGATACTGTAACAATTACTCAACATTTGACTCGCATGAAATCTCTGAAAGGTGTTTTGAGCTGACAAAACGTGTTTCTGTTTTGCAATCCTTCTGGTTTCAAATCAGAATAAATCTGTTTCAGGGTGATTTTTTGTAACAATATTTAGTGCAGTGCTGGCTACACCAATGGCAATACTGTACCAAAATTAGAAATTCATTACATCTTTTTAATGAAGTCATAAGGTTAAAGAGTCGTATGAGATGCTCCATATTTGGGTATCATTACAATCCAAATATATTTAATTGTCATCTTTTCATATCAAGCACCAGTGGATATAATCAAATTGCCAACTCGAATCTCATCATTTTTCGCTTTAATAATTTTCCATAATTTAATAATAACTGTTGATTTGCATATTCATATATCCTAAATTCTGAACATATTGACAATACTGTGATATACACACAGATTACAGAATATAAGTGATATTTTTTTCATTAAATAGTTTCCACATTTTTGTATCTTTTATAAACAGAATGAAGAGGGACAATTTTCAATAACCAAGGACAATATGATCGGGCAGACACTTTGTAGTTTCGATCCCAACGACTCTATCACATCTCTCATGACACGAAAAGGAGAAATTTTTTCTACACCTAGAAATGATTTGAATTCAAAAATTTCTTTCGTTAAAGTAATGTCGAATCGCTTTTTATCAGAAAATAAGGACATGAATGGGAGTAAGTGATTTCATATGATTTGGATTTATAAATACAATATTGTTTTGAGGTTCAATTTTATGACATAATTCTTCTTTTATTTTCAGAAAAAGCAACTATTGTCGCATCATTCACTGCCAACGATACAACGATCTCTCCAACGATGTCGAAAGTTTATTTTGTTTCTGATGAAGAGGCTCCAGAAATGAAATCAACCAATGGACTTGCTCCGACTATAACTCAGGTTTGCATTTTTAAAACAGACAAGTTACTTCTTTTTATATAGGGATGAGATTTTTATATTCATCCTGGGGGAAAGGAGAGCCATTGGCAATAGTTATCCAGATATTCGATTCAGATTTTTTTGTGGACATTTACCCAAAGCAAGGTCATGTACCCTCACTCAGAGATAAAGGAGATTGATTTCTCGATCGAAGATGCATAAAATTGATTGTAGAGGAAGCCATAAATGACCAGTGCTTATTCCAACAACCGTACTATGCCTGGGATTTCAACAATCTTTTTGCATGTGATTGTCCAACATGGGGTTCCAAATTGCTAACCTACATGGGGTCATCAGAGATGCGATGAACAACGTGTTCCTAACACTTGTATACAGATCAGGATTGTTTGGCATAATATATTAATACTTCGAAATTTTCTCACTCTTATTTTTCTATTTAGGTATGTGCAAATGATATCGGAGGTCAAAACATCTTGACAGACACATGGACTTCACTTCTGAAAGTTCGTCTTCTTTGCCAAACTGGAGAAAATTTTCCCCTTCACTTTGATTTGGTGACCGATGTCGTCACTGGCAGAGATCGTATTATCTATGGAACATTTTCAACGAGAGTAAGATTTTGGTTTTTTGTTTGTTAATGAGATATCTACAAGCTTCATACAGCTAGTTTCAAGTTGCTTTTAATATTTATTTTACAGCATGAAACTTCGAGAACGAACGCAGTGTGTGCATTCAGACTTTCCGACATTCAGAAATCTTTTAACGAAGGGAATTTTCTCGAAGCTGGATCTAATTCCTATGAGACTGTAGCTGCTCCCAGTGGTTCAGTAAGTTCACTGTTTGTGCATTTCTATATTTATTGAGGTCTATTCAATGCAAAATAAAATATATTTTTCTCATTTGTGTTTTAGTCACTGAGACCAGGAATGTGTGCTTATCCTGGTATGCTTGCTGATAACCCGTCAGCTTCGACAAGTAAAGATTTTCCAGCGAAACATCTTCACTTCATGTCTTCTCACAGCTTGATAGATGGAATTGTAAAACCAGCATACCCACCATTAGCCAGTGGTAACAGGGAACCAACTTCAAGAGAACCGTTGCTAATCAAAAATGGCGCTAAATTTACAAAGGTTAGTATTATTTTTTTTAATTATTGGATATTTTAATTAAGTAGATGATTATTTAAAGTAGTGTGTACTTTGCTACCTTTTTTTTCTATGTGTTTGTGTAAGCAGATAAATATACATTGACTGTAAATAATATCCAAAAAAGTAATGATGATGAAAAGCAATATGATGAATAACATGTTACCACTACCCCTTTCCCTTAGCCTATGTTACTGTAGAAAAAATCGAAGTGGCAATATTGGGCACTTTCACAAATTTTATTCTGTATCATTTCGTCGGGCACCAAACAGTTTACAACAATGATAAGGATTCTTTAAAACGCTCAAATTAAACTAGAATAGTAAATAAAATAAAATATCTGAGGTTATTACTCATTCGTATTTATTTGAAATGAATGATTTAAAACAAGATTTTTTTTTACTATAACTTAATTTTAGATTGCTGTGGAACAAGTGAAATCATTAGATAACAAAGATTTTGACGTAGTGTTTGTGGGAAGAGAAGACGGTACTATACACAAATTTGTGTCTTTTGAAAAGGTAATGTCATTTCATTTGTGCTCAATTCTTAACAACTGGTTTCTCATGTTTGTATTTATATCGATATTATTAATATGTTTCAGGACAACAAAATCGAGACTATTGAGCTATCCCAGTATAATTCTCCATCGAATCAACCAATCATTAGCATGAAACTCTCACAAGATTTCGGTCAATTGTACGTCGGAACAGATCGTGGTGTTTTTCAGGTTGGTGTAACATTTAACTGTTTTCTTTATATTTTGAAAAAATTGTTTGTTCATTCTACAGTTCAGCACAGAGGTTCAAAAAACCTTCCATGATCCATGACTCTCTTCCAAAAATTCCCAACACTTAGGGCCCCTTGCTCTTATATAAAATAATTAGTTTTGCTTTGAACGGGCTTTCATAAGTTATTTCCTGTAAACGTTTATTAATAAAAAGCTAACCAATTAAAGCAAAAAAACACACATTACAGTATTAAACAATTTCCAGTTGTATTATTTTAGATTAATGTAGTCATCATAAATGGTAGAGAGCAGCTTCCTGGGCCCCTATTGGAGCTGGAGACCAAGTTTGAGAAAGCCTGGTTTAGCAAAATAGTCTTCAGGTCCAGTTTGTGTGTAATAAATAAAGTATAACATTTAAAAATGTAAAATTAGAGCGTGATTGAGATATTATTATTTATAATATTCATTTTACCTTAAACATACATTTTCTTCCACAGGTTTCTACGGCTAGCTGCAGTATTTACACAAAATCTTGTACGTTCTGTGATCCATGCAGAATGTGTATTTTATCCAGAGATCCAAGTTGCGCGTGGGATAAGTCAACTCAGGTAAGTGGTAGCAAAGTGATTCGTCTATATCTATTCCATAAGACAATATTTGTATATTATCGACACTGTTTATTTTTTGATAGGAATGCGTGTCAATCAAATCCAGAGACAAAAGCAATCTTCTGCAAGATATTATTCATGGTGATGGTGGTACCCAGTGTGGCACATTGGATATTCCAAAACCTATATTGAGAAAAGGTAATGTCACTTGAAAAAAAATTCAAAATTTTGTGAAATCGTATATGTTGTGTGATAGTATGTCAAGATTTTTATTTGCATTTTCCAGAACAATAATTTGTTTGGATTTTCTGTACTTTTTATATTTCGCATAAAATATTTGCTTGTGATAATATCCAATTATTTTTTGTTTTTCATAATTAGTTGATGAGAGAACATTACTCGGACATGTTGTTGAGAATCCGATTGTTTCATACACTTGGTACAAGGTTGAAGATGAGTCAAAGAAACAACAAATTAAAGGTAGAGTAGATTTTACTACAGGAAAATAAAAAATTCATTCACATTTAACGATGGAAAGTCAGTTAAAACTATACATTTTGAACTTTGAAATGTTTTATTCAAACTCATGATTAGAGATTGGCGGAATTGACTAAAATCATATTGACTGCATCATGTGTGATCAGTAAACACAATTATTTTTATTCAACTTTGTCCAAAGTCGAACATTTGAAAATTTTTTTAAACAAGGATTAAGGGCAGCCTGGCAGCTCTCTCATTGAAAGAATCTCATCTCAAAGAAAAGCTTTTCTAAGCTATTGTAACACAAATTGTTTTCTTCAACTTGTTAGATTCCCTCCAAATTCAGTATAAATTTAACTATAAAAAAATAATGTGCATTGCTACTTCTGGTATTGAATTACCATGGATGGATGGAATTGGGATAAATTTTATTCTGTAATTTCACTCATTTCATATTTCTCCATTTTTTTTCAGATGTTCCAGGAAAATATAGAATTACTATGGATGGTCAGCTGGAAATATCAAACTTCGACCAGAAACATGATGTGGCGAAATACGAGTGCGAGTACTCAGTGAAATCATCGATAGTAAATGTCACAATTTACGACGTTAAATCTTCAACTTTCATACCACCTATTGTAACAGGTATGCTTTGATTTCAACTCCAACTAAAATAGGTAAACATATTTTATTAAAGGCTTGTATTAAATATCATTATTTTCATTCATTTCAGTGACTCCCAGAAGCAGTAGTCCACCTACAATAGGTAGAGGTAGCACGACTGAAGGAGGTACCGGTGAAGTGACAAAACAACCCACAACGACTCCAGCACCTATCAATATGGGAATAATGAATATTACATTTGGTAAGTTAATTGAAATAGAGTTTTTCTGATTCATTCCAGGGGAAAACAAAGCTTCTAGACAGCTTAGTTATTTGTGAACCACCCAATTTATAGCTCAGTTTGTTACCAGTTTAGTAGTTAATTGTTCCAAGTCAGCTTGGGTTTAGATCAAGGTTTCTCAAACTTGACCTTCGACCCCCATCCGCTTCAGAAGAGGGCCGTGGATCATGAACGTTTTGCACAATGTGCCATGTGTCGTCATTGTATTCTCATTCAATCAGATCACATATAACTCAAAAATATATATTATTTTGTTTTCAGCTCTGGTTGCGGTCTTTGTAACTGTGATCATATTTCTGATCGTTTTTCTGGTGTGCCGACGAAAAAAAATGAATAAAAAATACAGAACAAAGGAGGATGCTGAAAGGTGAGCACAATTCTCATATAATTTGTGTTTATTTATGAAAAATACAAAGCTATATTTCTTTGTGTATATATCTAAGTTCCATTATTATGTAAATTCATGTAAATTTTGTTATTCAGCAAATTGACACCACCTGCTATTGATGGTGTTGCAACTACGGCTATGAATCAAGATAACAAAACGAATAACAATAATGCGAGACACCCAAGAATACAGAGCGAATTTGATGATCGGGCAAGCAGACCTTTGTTATCAACTAATCAACAACCACCACCTGAGGATTGTAAGTTAGAATTTTTGCTTCAAATCAATTATACATTCTATGATGTACAGTTTAGAAATTAACCTCATGCTTGAGAATTGGCTCCACACGTTTAGGATTTCTGTTCCCAACCCATGGCCCATGCTTACCATCCCACCTAAATTGCAATAAATTGTTATGCAATTTTGAGCCAAAAAGATCCTTTCTTTGCAGGGTTTATTGAGAGTGGTTGTGAAAGCGCCCCATTAGTGAAAACTGAGGTTGTTAATATATAGCTCCATATGTAGCAGTGGCTGTCTGTACAGATTATTCAGATAAAACGTCAATATTTTCAAACCTAAATTTTATATATTTGTGTTTTCAGCTGATCCTGATAACAATTCAACTGACTTACCAACTGCCAGTCAACGGAATGCAAAAAGTTTAGATTTCCTCAGTAAGTCTTTTCATATTTTGTTGATTCAAATACTCGATGAGATAATTTTTCATCGTCGTATCGATTAAATATTTCTATTTAATGTAACCTCGATTTGTGACATTGATATGCTGCACATCGGGCTTAGATATTTTTAACTGCGATTTTCCCATAGTTAGGTTCAATGCTCGAACCACTAAGCCATTGCAAGTTTTGATAACATTAACGAGCAAGCAAAAGTACTTTTTACAAATTATTAGTAATATTTTAATTTTTCAAACTTTAGATGAAAGGGAGACCATGGATTACATTGATGATGATAATGCTGATGCAGTTTCTGATGAATTACCTGCACGAGAGCAGGCTGGTTCGATTCGTGAAACTACAGGTCGGAAACGTGTTCCACCAGCTCGAACTAAATCTATGCCCGGATCAGAACTTTATGTTGTGTTTGGAGGAAAGAAATTGAAGTAGGTTTTTTGTCGTTATAGTGATCTTGGTTTACATGACGGGTAAAGGTCATTCCCACTTAGTGTAGCGTTACACACATGCATATACTAACTGGAAGGAAACCAGAAATAAATGCACTTTGAAATCACTCCTTTTTCATATTTATTTCAGCATGTATGGTATTTTCAAAAATGGTGTAAATCTATTTCTATGTGATAGTTTGCGTGTTTGTACATAAATAGATTATGGTCTAGCTTCGTGTAATCATGTAATCTTAGAGACAAGGTAAAATTTTGGAAGATTTTTAATTTCAAGTGAATAGTTTTGTCGGAATAAGTTAAGCTGTGCTTACAAATGGGTTAATATTTTAAGGAAAGAGATTTGTTGATCTCATTTATCATTCTAATACTAGCATCCTAATGGCAACTGCCATTTACTGATCCGAAACAGAAGTTGAATGAACAGGGAAGGGACACTTGCAGTTCAATGCACAATATCCTAGAACCATCTATTTAGATGTGTTATCTAAATATTATCTTTTATTAACGTCCTGATACTATTTCAGATGCAGTACTTTACAAAGAAACAAACAAGGATCATGGACGATTCAACTGAAGCCCAATCAATCGGGCATGGTTTCTACAGATCAAGATGAAATCATTGATATTTTAGATGACAGTGAAAATACAGCAACAATAACAACAGATGCCGAAGCATTTCATCCTGCCGAGGAGAACTTCTCACCAGCGAAAACATTTGAAAATACTCCAGCACCAAGCACAAGCAGCTTAAAAAATGCCGAAAGCAGGCGTGCTTTTTTTGAGCCGGACAGCAGCAAGCCTAGCGCTGATAGCTCGCCACATGTGCGTTACATGACCTCAACGCCTAATAATAGTCAAATTGCCCAAAAAGCGAGGGCACCTTCTCCTTTTACTGTAGTAGATAGCAAAAAAAAACCTTTAACAGAGCAACCAAGCCAAGCTAGTTTGCGAAGTTTCGGCCAAAACTCTTCAGAAGATCGCGATAGCGATTCAACTGTGAAAGGGTCCAGTATGACTCTTCAACAAGATGACACATTATTAGCTTCAAATGATAAGCCACTGTCATCATTTGAAAACCCAAACACACAAGAACACAGTCATCATCACCATCATAATAAACAAGGTGCCCTTTCCAAAGTTCCCACAAAAGTACCGACCTCTGATGTTCCAGAATATTCCTTTAGTAAAAAAGGGAAAAATAAGGCTCAAAAGTCGCAAAAAGCTCCATCAGCACCTGTTACTGATAACACTGATTTCCATGGTTCCAATAAAAGCTTGGACAGATCATCAGGAAGTTCAGATGGAGGTAGGTGTTACATGAATCAATATAAATTTTAGTATCGACTGTTCTTTACAGCTAGCAGAATTAAATTTTGTTAGAATTTTAAGTGTTTCAACTTTCAACATCAATATAGGACAATTCAATACCGCCAAATGCGGCTCCCCAAGGGGGCCACAGAGCACTGGAGGGGAGGTACATTTTGACTGGAATATGCCATGCCCCTATCAGTTGTTAGCGTCATGGTACTGTGAAATGTGACGCCCTATACCCAATTTTAGTTGCAAGCTCCCCTTTTGCATACTAGTTGTCTACAATCTATCATCATTCATGATCATTGAAGTTGCAAAGGATCTAAATTATTCCTAAAACCTAAATATTAGAATTTGCAAATGGAAAGTTTTATAATTTTATTAAAAAATTTTCAGACGATCCTCTACATGGAAGAGTGAAAAGTGTCAAAAGAAAAAATCGTGAAAACAAAACACCCTTAGATTCACCATCGAAAGAATCTCGAACATCACAGGGTTCATCTTCATCAAGCGATTATAAATCGGCAAGATCATCTGTTATAAGCGAACCGTGCCACGATCACAGATGACAAGAAAAAGGAGAGTAAAAAAAAACGCCAAGGATGATAATCATCCGGCCGGGCATGAAAAAGGCAGCCCAGGAAGGGAGAATGGTGTAATGTGTATGACAAGGCTGCCTCTCTATTAGGAGCTTTAACATTGTTGCCAAACTAGCAAACACTTTGAGGATAGTTGTAACCTGAACAATCCGGTGCTGAGTCCACCCAGATTGAGATTGTGAGAAGACTGTAATATGTCAAAATCTAGTGAAGAAACTGAAAAACTATACTGTTGTTTCCTATTTTTGTCGGTATATTAGTGATATTTATACAATATTTATCATCAAAATAATGTAGAGTAAATTTGATTTTATAACTAGAATTTGCATTCCTCTTTGTTTCAGTGATTCATCCACTAAATGGATTGTATCTCTGAATGCTGCTTTTCCTAACTAGATTTCAATCATTTTTTTAAAATAAATAACAGATATTTCGTAGTCTTGCAGTGTTTCATTGGAGATTGTACTTGACATCATCTAGAAAAATGTTGGTAATATGCGACTGGAGCTTCTGGAAGATGAACAAGAGAGCGATGCTCAAATATATTGACAAGAGGTCCAAAACAAAGTTTGTGTAGCGTCGAGTTTAAATCTGAAGCGGCCGCTTGACGGATTAAAAACCGTGTTTCTGTGAATATAGCAAAATGATGGATGAAGTATCAGATCTCATAGAATTCATTGAAAATTTGAATAAAAGTAATAGCCTCCAAGCGAAAAATACAATTATTAACCACTGAAAATTTCAAAAGCAATTGGTCCATATGTGTGAACGAGAAAAGCGATATTTTCCATGAGGTAACAAGAAGAATTATAACAAAACTATCCATAGGTCCACTTCGTGTCCAATAACTTTGATTGAACAAATATAGTGTTGCAGTTCACTTCATGGTCTTTGATGCATTAACTGATCAAACTATTAAATTTCATACATTATTTGGCATGATTTCTAACAACTGGCCGTTTCGCTGGATTGTTGCAGTTATTAAAAATTCTATTTCATTTCCCTAACTTTTATTGATTTTGTCCTGGTTAGTTTTGTATTGGTTGAATTCATTCAAGAAGCAAAATATGTGAGGATGTGTGAAAATTAATTGAGCTCAGCTGAAATAGCATTGTAGAGTTTTTTTTGTCTGGGTGAATTCAACAGAGCTGAAGGACTGGTGAGTTTGCGCAAATTTGCTGTCTGGGAATAGTAAAGCATTATAGCAGTAGGAGAAATAATTCAATGAATTGTATATGCAAGCTCCATTAATCAGAGAAAACATACTGTATACAATTTGTACCAAACCATCATTCGTTTTTATTCAACATATTTGTCAGTACAGGATCAGTTATCTAGAATATATGCATCTGCCTTTCATACAACTAGTCATCTTGGTACTTTGAGGAAATTTTAGAAAAATACAACTTTATTATGATTTTTCACAAGTTGCGAAAGGAAAGATAATTCTAATTTAAGTTGTAACTTAGTTTGTTTCTTGAGAAGCATTGGTTGAAATATAGTACTTAAAAAAACTACACATATTAGATCTCATTTTTGACCGAAATTTATGTCAATACGCTATATATCTAGTGTACATAAACAATTGAATATAATGAAACAATATATAAATTTTAGTGTGTGTTTAAACTTTGAAAGTGGCAGAATATTTTGCCAGTCCTTTCTTTGCTTCTCGTAAAAATGTATCTATTGTAATCTTATCAATTTCTGCACCAGTTGGTAGCAATTCAAAGTCCTTTACACCGATTGTTTTCAGAGCTTCACAGTACTGGTCTTTTGATATAAATCCTCTCTTTGTTGGATCAAGCATACCAAAAATAGCATGAAGATTCGATTCATCGAACAAGCAAGGATAATACATTCCACTTTGTTGAGCTACTTTCAATTTCTCAAGCTGTTCAATTAAAAATTCTCTTGGTTCTTCTGGTTTGTTGTAAATTAGCAGTGATGTCATGTTGTTAAAAAGATCAAGTATTCGATGCCGCTGGAGGTAGGTGTTTGTATCGACCTCTCGCTGATTTATGTTTGGTTCTCCACTCATTTTCATGCAAATTTTATGATAGTGTATGCAGTATAAACCTAGGAAATGAATCAAAGAATTGACGCAAAAAATCAACAAGGAGCAAACAATTGTAAACTTTTTCCATAATGATTTTCACACGTTCGATGTGAAAAAACTATATACATTTAACAATTACAATAATATGGAACGCTACTATGTTTTCCGATGGACATGTAACCTTATGTTCATTAGCATAATTTGCAAAATTAAACATTTTCCAGCTCATATGTTGAGTTGAATCATTTTTCAGAACCGGAACTGATATAAATATACGGTATTCTACTCGCGTCTGCACATGGTAGCATTAAATCCTGTTTAAGTTGAGAACCTAATAACTCGAAAGTGCAAATAGAGACAAATAATTTTTAGTAGACTATAATGCTAACAGATTGGTACGCCATGTGACCACGGTACATCTTCAACACAACATATTACAGGATGAAGTAAAAACCACACGCACACTCTTCTATTTTGATCTGGTGTTGTAAATCTGAAGCTGCTATGGCAACCACAGTTCCTTTACGAACCACTGAGTTTTGTTTAAGTTGACGTCAAATTTAACCACTCGCTTAGCGTTATAAAAAATTCAAATATTCAATTAAAGTTAAAAAAAATATAACCACTATGAAGGTATGTTAAAATTAAGATAATATTTTCTGATGTGTCTAATGTGGCGTGCTTTCCACGTCATAGATTTCGATGCCATTGCCACTATCATTATTTTCTGTAGATCCCAAGCAAACTTGCTGAAGCAGTCGGACTCATTTGTTTAATGTAAGCCAAGAACGAATGGACCCCATAGTTTATGTCGTAGCGGCAGCTTTTGTTGCTGTTTTGTTGTGGTTTATCACTCGAACAAAGGCTGATAAACCTGTGCAAGAGCAGGAAAATCAGCGACAGGATGCTGCTCAGGCTGTGGGTAACCGAGCTGGCGGAAGAAGACGCAGAAATGTTAGAATGGGAATTCAGCAGCATGCTCAAGGTATTTCCATTATTTTTATTTGGTAAATAATTGTATGCTAGTTTATGTTGTCGTGGTGAACTGGTTCCACTTCTATCTGATTTCAATAGCAGAATAGACAGATAGCTGGATAGAGAACATGATTCCATATTTATCATAAAACTAAAAAAAAATGAACGACAATGTTTAATCATACTTTGAATTATTCAATCTAATGCCTGATTACAGGGTAGGTAGGTATAAAGCCATCAGGTGTACCAACCCGAATCGCGGAAAGTGAGTTCTCAACACAAGGTTCAAAAGTAGGAGGGATCATTCATTCTATTTTAAACTAGTTTGAAAAAAAGGTTCAGTCCAGTTCATCTTTTACATTTTCTAAATACAGAAATGTAACTGGAAATGATGTATAAAATGTTTTATATAGGTCAAGGACTTTGAGATGAAATATGTCTATCAGAATCAGCTCATATCATTTCTACTCGAGTGGCAATGAGAATACCTGAATTAATGGTGGTTGTTGCTCAAGTTTAGAAGATACATATCTTGGCTACTCAGATTAAAATAAACTCAATTTTCAACCCAATGTTACTTCCCGACTCTGACCACCCTCAACTAACTGACCTTACGCGGAATAAATAACAGATCAAGATATCGAAGCTAGTTCACTAAACGCTGTACATCTGGTTGCCATGTCTAACCTCCACCTGACTATTACATCCAAAAATTACGTCACCACAATGTCACAATGACGAAATAAGACCCGTCAAAGAATACGGATTGTCGTTCAAAACGCATAGGCGATCACTCGAAATCAAGCAAACTATTTCTTTCGTTTTCTCGTCGTAGCGATCCCGATATGAGAGATATTCCTGGCGTTAGCGAGTTCATCATCGTCGGCAGAGATGTCATATCGGGCGATCGTAGCTTTTATTTGGTAACCTCTATGACGTGATTGTGATGTCGTAGTGACGTCATTTTTGGATGAATTTTTTTGCCACGATAACTAGAAGTACTTACGGCGTCTAGTGAACATGTACCAAAATATCTTGGAGCTAATACTGAGACAATATCGATCACTCTTCAATCTAGTATTTTTTGACTTGTGCTTATGTGAGACAATTCCATTACAGGAGCCAGACATGAAAATGAATCGGAAAATGATGAACAAGAAGAGACATTTGCCAGTACAGAAGGGAAGATTGGAGCCAAAAAGATGAAAAAATTACAAGAAAAAGAAGAGAGAAAACGAATGAGAGAACAAGAGGCCTTGGAAAGAGAAGAAAGAAAAAAGGAGCAAGCAGAGAGAGAAGAAAGGCAAAAACTTGAAGATGAGAAAAGATTGAAAGAAGAAGAGAAAATTGCAGAGGAAAAACGGAAAGAGCAAGAAGAAAAAGAACGCAAAGAGCATGAAGAATATTTGGAACTTAAGGCTATGTTTTCAGTAGATGAAGAAGGACATCAAGTCATAAATTCAGAATCGGAAAGCCAAAACATGCTAATGGAATTTGTGGACTTTGTTAAAAAGAAAAAAGTTGTTCTTTTAGAAGATCTTGCATCACATTTTGGTCTAAGAACTCAAGATGCGATCGATAGAGTTCAGACAATGCTCAAAGATGAGATATTAACTGGTGTTATTGATGATCGTGGTAAATTTATTTATATTTCTAATGAAGAACTCAAAGCAGTTGCTAAGTATATCACTCAGCGTGGTCGGATTTCTATCAGTGACCTGGCACAAGCCAGCAATTCATTAATCAATTTGATTTCTGATGCTGTTGAAGTGTAAAGTTGTCAATTTTTTTCCATTCCGATGTGATGAATTTCTTCATATCAGCATTGCGGTTTTGTGCTCCATATTGGAATCGGGTGAACTGCTGTGATTGCCTTCTTATTTGTATAATAGAGACACTATATTGCAAGGGGTTGTCGTGAATGAAAGAACAGCACTAAGAGTTATGCACTGATCAAAAGGCATACATGTTTAATTGCATACAGTTGTCTGGAAAATTTACCAATTATCACAAAATGCATTTGGAACCTGTAACCTTATGCACAAGGTTGCCATATGATTCATACAGATTATTTTGTCTTTATTGGTGAAATTAGTGAGTACATCCTATGTTTATTTTATAATGGGTGATTGTGTATGCTTTGAATATGTTTTGGATGAATTATTTGGGGAAATAATATATTATTGTCATGTCATTATTCTAGCATAATGAGTAATATCTTTATAATTGATATAACCGAGCTTCACAAATGAAATGCTAATAACAACTGCCACACTGGTCTGCAATTAAAAAAAACATTACCTGGGTTTTTGCTTGAAATTCACAAACAATGTTATTATGTTAACAAAAATTTTTTATGTACAATATGCCTTATCTGTGTATCATTCCAATTATCACGGGAGATTGAATTAGACAGGACTGGCCCTTTTTTAATGAAACTGATCCTAGTATGTAAAAAAAATAAGACACTCTATATCTCAAACTGAGTATAGGAGAGCTCCATGGCATAGTCATATGTTACTGCATAAGAATGAAAACCAACCTTTACCGTGAGAAGTCTTCTTGCTTTACCATTTCAGAGAAATAAGAAATACAGATTCTTAAAAGAATTTATTTTATTTTAAAATATATTATAGATAATTATATACAGTGCCAACATAATTCATGCAAAAATATGTCTAGAGGAAATTTTAATTATAAACAAAGTTTGCTGTTTTTAATCTGATTTAACATGCTTCATTGTTGAGAATTCCCTTTTACTCTGTTTTTTGAAGGATTTTTGAATATTTATTACATCTATGCTGATGGTGAACTGCTTTAAATGTAGTTGAATTGAAATAATAAAGCATCTATCCAACTACAATAAATTTTGCATCATGTGAATGCACTAGAGGCCCAGTCGACGGATTTAGGTCATTGACTTTAGGGTATTTCATTCTCTGCTTCTTTGGTCGAACCTAAATAGTATAAATGCTTGGTAATGTTTTATCTGGAAATCTCAAGTTAACTCTGTGAATTTTGTTCACTGATAATGGAGAATGAAACCTTACTTGAAAATTATTCAAAAAAAAAAATTAATTTCTATTATTAGTTGAATTTGCAACCCTTTTATGGCGTATTTGTACCTAGCTATTACATTTTGTACATCTTCGAAAATATCAATTTTTGTTGTTGTTGTTGAATAGTGGTTTAACCAAAAGTATATCATGGATATAGCATTAGGTAGTGTTGTTTGGCCAAACGAAATCATTTACCTTATCAATTCTAATAAGCATGGGAAATGCCGTTGGCATTTCAACTTTCTTGAATTCTTGTTCTGACCACTTTGCACAATGTATTTTCTGTAAAATGAAAAAAATGTAACAATAAATTGACATTGCCAATGGAACTTGTTAACAAAGATAAATGGTCTTTTTGTTGCAATACAAACCTTCTTACCTGGGCTAGATCCTTCCTTCCGCTCGTTTCTAGAGCTCTCACGCAAGTTTCATATCGTCTGTGATTACTTTGGTTGTTTTTGAGCCACGTCATCAACATCTGTAAATACCGCAGTACATTTACGCTGATAAATCGTGGTTACTTTGGCTGAGTTTTCAGTTTGAACCAATTATTATTGGGTTAATATGTATCCGGAGTCTAAATTGGTTCGGGTATTTGCTCTATTCGCATCTGGGTAATAACTGATGTGATTTGATAAAACTAGAGGCCTCGGAAAGTGCTTTCCGCTTCGTTTGTGGGGACATATGTATGGCCGTGATACTGTTTGCCTATTTAGGTTACACTATTCTTAATTACTTAGTCTTAGATGGCATGGTGGTGTCAATATATGATCATCGCGGTCACGTTTCCTCGAACTACTTTGCAAAAATGTAATGCAAAGCCTAAAACCACCTACCTGGTGAACCTTATTTTTATTATCATTTCTGTTAGCTGCGGCGGCCTGGGCAACTTCGTCCCTGCTTAGTCCGAGGTTGAAGCCCAACAACTCCCATTCGTGACCAATATACCCAGCAAGATACAACATCACTTGATTTGTGAAAATATCTTGAACGTCGCGTTGATCGGACATAGCCTGTTGAGCAAATGTTCAATTATTTCAGCATTCATTTTAAATATAGCAATTATCCGCCTAGAATAAAGCATGAAACAAACAAACTTTATGATTCGTATAATTAGCCTCGAGTCCATGTGCTGAATATCACCAACTATTCTATACCTTAGATTCGTCGCAATTCAATTCTTCGTCTTTTGCAATTGCAACTTTGTTTTTCGTGTTTTTCTTTGTAGTCCCTTTTGTAGTCTTCCACAGTTCTGAACAAACGAACAAACCTCAGACATACTCAATGGTCGTTGAGATTCGCTATTATATTTGGACAGTGCTCTACGATTAGTTCGTCCCTTAATAATAGAATGGGTGTTCAGTTTGACACGATATTTCACACGCACACTATGGCATTGCATTGGAATCTATCACTTTTAAAACTGTCTTACCGAACCCACAACACAGCTTCCATGGCATTTCGCGTGATGTTAAACCTCCAAGAAGCCAAAGATGTAGGGGCAAACCTAAGTCGCATACTATACAATATTTCCACTTTATGTGTGCGAACAAACGGTTAAAGATACTGCTGTTGAATAATTATTAATATATACGATACTTTTGAACTGACTTTTTATTCACATGAACCCTAATTAAATTAGTATCTCTCAAACTTTTCATTCGCGTTTTGTTGGACATATCGTATATATACATGCTGAATCAGCACAAATTCCCGTAATTTTACATTGTTATTTTAGTGTCACTTTCATTACCATAAGGATTAATATTTCCCATATATAGTAAATACACTCACCGTTTCTCAAGGAAGTCAACACCAAGTTTTCAAAATAATTTCTGATTTCTAAAAACACATCGTTGCTTCATAATTAAAAAGTTGAAGTGTCGAGCGTTTCAATAGAGTTGGCGTATCGTGTAACCTAAATAAAATCATCTATTGTTACTGAGACATTTAATTTGTTCACAAATATGTCGACTTGTAATGGGACTTTAATGGTCGACTTTACACTCAATTCAGTCGACCCGGAGGTCAGTAATTGATCAGTTCCGTTTCTTACGTAAGTGGTGTCTTTCAAGCACTTTTTTTATATTTCGGCAAAACTAGCATTTGTTGAAAATATCTATATTTTATTATTTATTTTCTACGTATTTGTTACGTGAATATTATTATGAATATGTCAGATGCTACTTCTTCAAAATTAATATAAAAGTCGTTAGCCCAACTTGTATTCCACAGTTTCGGTCTGTTGTATTTGGCTGCTGTACTCACGTGCAATTCATTTGACAGAAAGATATGCGCATATGTTACCTTATAGTCCGGCAGATAAGGGGCCTTTTTAGGTCCAACATTGTTTTTAAACAAAGTTTTTTTTATTTGTGATTATTCATTCTGGGGACGTTGCCCATCATTTTAACATGGGCGTGAAGTTTGCAGCCTTGAGCAATTTTTTTTACGGCTTAATATTTGTATCAGTGTTTTTCGTCAAATCTGTGCACCATAATGGCGCACAACCTGAACCCTGACCTGGTACACATACTATGTTCAGGTTTGATGCACATACTACGGACGCACCAAATTTACTAGGAAATAAAATCGATAACTTTTAGATATTTGTTGAAATAATTCTTACCGACAATATTTTCAGGCGACCCAGCTTTAGATAGATAGGGAAACACTGTTGAAACATACGCGTAAAATAATGAGTATAATTTAAAAATACCCGCAATTGTTGCAATTAACAACACAAGCCTGCTAATGCAGTCGGCAGTGGTTCGAGTGGATTGCGCACAGCTTGTGCGCAAATATACACCCGGTGGAGAACAGTCAATTATTTGTTAGCAAGAATTGTTATGCAGCGGGATGATCACGACGATGCAGTGAAAGATAATGCTATCACGAGAACACGAATGATAAAATTGCTACATTTTATAGTATATCCCTGGGAAAGAATGTAATTCATGTTGATGTTCTATGCCAATACTTTTCAAACTACCAAAGACCCTCACCACTTTTGCTTCTTCTCTTCTATAAAAATACATAGATTTTATATATACGCATTTCCATCTGTTTGTTCGTGCTCCCAGATAACCGATCCGTGGCCTCCACGGAGGCCGGAGGCCCCTTTCAAGAAACCCTGTCATAAACTAAAAAGAGGCAACCGTGCTTCTCTTGCCTGTTGTCATGCTGTCCCTCAAATTGATATACGGGTGGCAAAACACCAAGTTATTCCAACAACTTGATCATGTTTTGCAACTTACAACCAATTTGACAGAGCCCCAGGAGATCTAACCACAAACATCAAAAAGGTGAGGTTAAAAAAGTTACACTACAACATAGTCAAATGTGATGTATTTACGATAGATAACAGGTTTACCAAAAAGCATTACATGTAAAATGATCTACTTAGGACTGGGTGATATGCATCTGTTGATAATTTTATGTGTTTGTTTTGGAAGTTTAATGACGGAATCAATTGTGGTTGTTGGGGATGTTTCAAAAAAAGATTGAATGGAAAACCGTTTTCACAAAATGTCCAGGTTTGAGAGTAGAAGAGAAGTAGAAAAAATAATCCCATGTTTTCTTCATTTGAATGAAGAATGAACTTATCCTTTGCGAACATTCAGCTTTAAACGCACCAAAGTTGGTTCGAGCAGTCTAGCACGAAAAAAGTTTAAGGAATTAAAGTCAAAGAAATGTACAATTGTACAATACCAGTATGCTAAATACGTGCTTCATGTCGGTAGATGGCAGAAAGGTCTGCAGTCGACCAATCACATTGGTTACATAATGTGTCATTGTGACGTCGAAACAAGGGGAACTCCCATTTCATTGACAAGGTACTGACATCGAACATGATTCCGCTTTCAACTTTGCCAATACTTGCTCGATTGTTGTATTGCCACATCGCCTACCAACTTGATCCGAACAAAGGTATATCCTGTATATCCTATTATTTTTTGTCGATAGAACAATGCCGGTATTCAGTGTGATATTTTTGGTACGTAGTTTGTACCGAGGACAGTACAGTACCGGTACTAAGGTTTGACTTTCAGTTAACTTACTGTATTATGTAACAGAGTAACGTTACCTTAATATAAGGCTAGTCTGGATGTTGGCTGATTCGACTAAACTATGGTATGGAGTGGTCGAAAGAAAGTTTATTTTTTCAGTACCAGGAATACAAAAGCGTATTGATTAATTACAATTCAAATCAACTTCGGTATAGACTTGATTGAGAGATGGCGATACAACCAAAAATCATCGAAGTCAGCCACCAGCCAAATAGTTAGTGAGGAAACGAAATAACTTGTTATTGGTTAAGTCTTAAAATTTCATCTCCATTTTCTCATTAATGTATAATATATATGTTGCGTTTTTGTTTAATATTGACGGTGAATTTCAAATTTAACTATTTCAGGGTCTCTGATTTGAAAATCGAAAAAAGAAAATTCTAGAGAGATTATGTCTTTGTGGAAAGCTAATTGTTTGTTCGGAAGTACTTTCTTCATCGCAGTATTAATCACTAAAATTGAGGGTAAAAAATTTATTGGTCTATGTTACCTGAAATGCAAGCTTTATTTTCAGTTGTACGCTTGACATTTAGTCGTGTGTTTCATTTACTCTTGAAGCAATGCTTATTCAGCTTAAATATGCAATTTTATCAACTTTTATTGTAAAAATTAGATAACAGTAGTGGGTTTCTTTGATATATTTAGGCGATTGCTTAGAAATTCCTGAGACTGATCATACTTCCTACACATGCACTGATGGATTGAAGCAGGGATCAGTTTGTGCATTTGTCTGTGATTCTGGTATGGAGATGCATGGTTCAGCTTTCTTGAAATGCATAGATCGTGATGGCAACGACACTTGGTCTGAGATTCATCCAGTTTGTACAAGTATATAAATAAACATTTCTTAGCCTTGCCTCTGGTATAAATATTGATTATTGCACCAAGTTGTTTTCTGTCAGTCAAATAGAGCTATGGAAATGGCTCGGCGGATGGCACATCACACATGCTTGTCATTGCGCCTTTGATTATTCTCTGCGGGTTTTTGCTATTATTCTCGTGGTGGACGAGTATTTGCTAGCGGACTGCTGAGCACCTTGCACCATAGGCAGTTCACGACTTTACATAACTGTTACTTGTGATTTCATCTTTCTTCATCGTCAGGTCTATGCTTCTGAAAAGAATAACTGGATAACTATTTTCATTCTGTATGTGGACTGGATAAAGAGGGCCAAAGAGGGCCTTGGTTTGCTATTTGATTGTTTCGTCTTATCGCCTTTCCTCTTTATACGAATGGAGATCTTAGCCTATCTAAATAGTTATAATATGATGCGACAATGTAATAACAAATTATCATTCAATGGATGATAATCTTTCACTGCAATTTTTAATGTGAAATGGTACGATTTATTGTGTACAATTTTATCTGCCTATTTTCTCCAAATCCATTAGGTAATTCATTTTTCAGCTCACTGTTACGATTAGTTTTTTTGCTATCTTTTTTATACAGCTGTGAATGTTATTTACCTTTTTTGTGTTCCAGATAATGTAAATGGAAATAGTTGTCCACCAATCACTACACCGGGTAATGGTACAATGTCTTGCAGCAATGAATTTATACCAGGATCTATATGTACTTTTGACTGTGATGGGGGATTTTATTTGAGCAACCTAGATCCGATCGTTTGTGAAAATGGAAATACTTGGAGCGATGACCCAACCGTTTGTCATGGTAATATATAGCATAAGCTAGTAATTCCCATCCAAGGAAAGATTTCTGGGTTCTAAGGCTTTGCATGCAAAAGGTAAAACTAAAAAAGAAAAATCCTAGTAGCGGGACTAGCTCGCAAAATATGACAAATTGATAGCCGTAAACCAGGATACAGCATAACAAAATCTCATTAAAGTGACTTATTTCTTTCAAAAAATTATTTGAAAGTTGTTATTTCCTCAAGTTCATTTTGTTTATTTTTAGGTATATCTATACAAGAAGAAGTTTCTAATGGAGCTTATATTATACTGTCCTGATTCAGACTAATTCATGTTCGCTGTTCTACAAAACCTCTTTAATTGGCAGTACAGTGTTAACTAATGTTCTTAAAATGGTCGTGCATTTTTAGGCAAATCACTAAGCTGTCTATTTGTTCACTGATTTAAGCAACATTATATAAAAAAATGAAACGATATCACATTTGTATATTCTGGGGACATACGGTGAATATTTTTTGGTGCTCCTGAGCAATGTTCCCTCTAATTTTTTGTAGTATGTATGCGCAGAAATTTTGGTGTGTGCGCACTTTTTTGGAAATGACTGATATTTGTGCAAAAACCAATGAAGAAATTTTGGCGTTCTAACCGGGTAATAAGTGGGCCAACAACAAACTTTCTCAACCTGCCAACCGAGCACATTGTTACATTACATCGAAATACGTCTGTGCGCAGTAAATCTATGCGTGTGCGCAGCCTCTGAAAGCTGTGTGCGTGCGCACACCTTAGAAGGAACACTGCTCCTGAGGTATGCGCACCAGGAAGTCGCACAACCTGAAGCATAACCTGGTACACAACCTGAGTTCAGGTTGTGCGCCATCTTGGTGCATATACTTCAGGAGGTCCTATTTGTTATTGATCTTGTTGCTGCAAGGATGGCCATAGTAATTGACGTCCACACTGAACTATTCTTTTTTCATTGCCACTGGCTGCTAATCCATGAATTCTTACCGGTTTGTGATTTTCATCTTTTAAAAATACTAATAGTTGTACATAAGGATACAACAATTTGGCACAATTTGATTAGGTTGGCGTGGTGGCCCAATGGTTAATGAAGCGTGGTGTTGAGCGAACTTAATTGTGTTGGCATTGCAGTTACCAATATGGGGTTCAAATCCCATGCCCATCACCTCACCCAGGGGGTAATAAATTGGGCAGGCAGGCAATGCTGAACCAGGAAGATTCTGTTCCTTCCAAAAATAGTAGCAGAAATATGCATGAGCACACACTTTTAACATGTCACTGGTTCATGTGCTCAAATCATGCGGGTACCTTATTTATGTTATCCACATGTATATACTAATGAAATAAATACGTTTTTAGTTCTTCGACTATGCAACGCTTACCATTTTTATGGATATGCTGATTGTACTGATGGTTCTAGTCTCCACTCGGTCTGCTCTAACTTCAGATGTGCGGAGGAGGGAAAGGTACCTGATCGTCAAATCGAGATCACTTGTGTAGAAACTACTCCTGGAGAGCAGGATTGGGATTTCTCACCAACATGCGTGTGTGAGTTGGATTGGTATTGGATTTTCTTTTTAATAGTTCATCTATCTGTAATTAGGGTTCTAAAATTTTTTTCTCAACTTCTGGCACATCACCATTCATCTTGTATAACTATATTATCTGGAAGGCTGTTGCTGAAAATAATTGAGTATTTGTAGGATGGTAGCCTGGTGGTTAGAGCGTTAGTATGAAACAATGGTGGCAGGATTTGCAGTGCCTGCTTTTGCAAAGCCTTTTTCGAAGCAAAAACCATATAAAAATACACGATCTTGAAAATTTTTCAAAATGAGTCAACTTGACTTAAGAGGCTAAACTTAGTTGGTTCACCATTTCATGATGCTATTACTGGGCTTCAATGTTTAAACCACTTCACGTTGTATATACTTGACGTTGACGACAATTTGATTTCAACCGTTGTGAAAAATAAATTAAGAATAAAAAGGAAATAAATAAAATTATTCAACATGCAAAATAGTTGTGCAACTGAAAATCTTTTAAAAAAGTCTCTAGTGCCCCAAGTGTTTAAACTGCACAGTACTTCCTTACACATGTTTATGGTTCGATCAAGTATCAAATTTGTGTATCATAGTTTTGGCCTCCCTCTTCGGGGCAAAATAAGTCTCTAGAGCCACAAGTGTTCAGGTTGCAGAGTATTTGCCCATAGATCTGGACCATTTGGCCAAGTTTAAAATTAATAGATAACAAAATGATTGTATTTTTCAGATGAATGTGAACCTCTTATTGAAACAATAGATAATGGTGTTGTTACCTGCACTGCTGCTAACACTGAAAATTCAATTTGTAGTTTTTCATGCAATGATTATTACTTGATATCAGAAGTGAATGTGTTGGTTACTTGCACAGGAAGCAATGAAACTTGGGCATGGGATAATCAACCACCAACATGCACTGGTATATCGGTTTTTGTTATTATTTGTACTTTTTACGGTACTCCCGTTGTATGTGTACCAGGTTAGGGTTAGGCTATAATTTTATTCCGATTTTCCTGTCTGTGTTAGCCAAGTGAATATAGCCCTGCCTATAGGTTTCCGTCCCTTTACACCACATGATGTAACTTAGGCGAAAAAAATTACCTCCATATTGGCACAAATACTTGTGGGCCGCCCTTTATACTACTCAGGACTTTCAATATATTTATGAAATTTCAAATCAAATTTTTCATTTTATATCTGTCAATATTTGTGACATTGTGGACATTATGGATCAGAGCAAATTTTTTTTTCATCATTTGTATTGTAGAAAATAATGTTTTATGACTTGAAAATTGTGATAATCACTGATTTAAACTGATATAAACTATGGTAATTCAGAATTCATACCACTTTCTTACAGCGATTCCTGTTCACTGCCCTGAGATAGATCCTGCACAATTAACAGTTAGTACTTTATTTATGTGTACTGATGATAACAACCTTGGTTCCGTCTGCCAGTTTCAATGTGACAGTGGTGCAGAGTTGGATGGGAATGTAACGAAGGTCAACTGTACTGATCCAAGTGGGACTGGAAATGGAGAATGGTCACATGAACTACCGAATTGCTACTGTAAGTGACATATTAACATTATATTTTTTAACTAACGGGCATTATCGTTGTTGTTGTTTTTGCTGGGGGAAACTGCCTTTTTCCGCAACTAGTGGATCATTGAATATAAAATTTTCTTTACTCAAAGATGGAAGAAGTATCTAGAAAGCTATGAATTTTATTTGTGCTTTTTAAATTTTATGGAACCAGATATTTCACCCAAAACTTTGCTGTTTCATTTTAATTCATCTGAAGACTTTATTCTGTATGACTCGACCGTCCTTTTTTGAATCAAGCTCATTGCTCAGCTAATCGCCTTATAGCTACTGGCATGCAACTTTCATGTCTTTTTAATAGTACATTATTCTCTTGTTTCATGTTCACATAAGGGTAGATTTTTGTCATTATCGCTGTGTTTGGTTAAATGAATTATTTAGCGTTTCAGATCCTAGACTTCAAGTTAAAGCCTTGTTTAATCTGATCACGCGAATGTTCAACTCATTCATATGTGCCCTTTAGAGTTGAGAATAAGATATGTAAATTTTTAGTGACAAGTTGTGCGTATTGCTTGCTAAAGAAAAGAATGCTGTGTTTGAATATTGCCATCAATTTTGTGTCAGATTCAATAATTTGAAAAACATCTTAAAATTGATTCAATTATAAATGCATTTTGGTCCTACCCCATCATTCCATATTTTCAGTCACAACATGTGAAGAACCTCAAATTCAAAATGGCAAGTTGGAATGTGATGGACCTATTGCACCTGAAATCTCTTGTACAATTTCATGTAGAACAGGATTTCAACCGTCATCTTCTGATCCGATAACATGTAAAAAGACTGGACAATGGGATGGAGATATTCCCAAATGCAAAGGTATGGTGTTATAATAAAGTCTCAGGCGCACCCTGTTACACGTTCGAATACACTTGGCACTTCTTGATTGATGGACTTCTTGCTGCTGCGAGTAGTTCTGAAACTGCTGGTCAGTTACGGCTTCTTCCACCATCAATTCCATTCGTCGAAAACGAATAACTGGCTAACTAATCCCATACTCAACATGAACTGGTAATCGGATGAGAGGCTGTGGTTCGCCATATGATTAGGTGTTTTTATCGATTTTTAGGAAGAAAGTTAGAATGCTTCTCAGGATAGGATTTTCCTATTTATACCGGGGGAGGAAAAAACAATGATATGGCTGAAATATATGGCAAACCAAGGGCACTCTTCCGGTTCCCAGTACATGTTGGGTATGGGAATAGCAAAGCAGTCGCTTATTAATGCATGTACTTGATGGGGGCGTAAAGCAATCCTCTTACACATAATTTTCCTCACGATTCTTCCGAACTCTTGCATGGCAATCAGCATTACAGCAACGCTAAATTTCACCATTATTCAATTTTATGCAGCTGGTCCATGTCTTCCACCTCTCGATGTAATGACAGAAAAGGTTTCTTGTAATGATCTTAACAATCCTGGATCAAAATGTCAGCTAACTTGCACAGAATCATCAGAAGCTGGCAAACAACATGAATTTATTTGTGCTGGAGTGGAAGTTGGAGGTGCTAGCTTCTGGAGCAAGAATCTTCAGCCGTGTTTCGGTAAGTAGTTTTTTGATATGACATATTTACATATATGCCTTTTCCCCGAACAAGGCTCTGCACAAGTTGCTATTGTTATGTGAGGAACTACATGAGTTGGGTATGTCCAGAATTATTCTGCTTCGGTATGAGATATTAGTCTCCGATTCCATCATAGTTAACTCAAACACTCTACCCACCAAGCCACCACGTCCATGAAAGAGTCAAGTTTTGCCAAGAAGGATAGGTTTACTTTGAGAGCTTATTCCGAAGGAAAATTATTGACATACATTTGGAATTTAAACCCTAATTATTATTTACTTAGAAATGATAAAGAAGTCTAACCATGTCTATAGTTCTATAAATTTTGATACTTTTTTCTGATTTTTCACTCGGAACTAGACCACAAGTATCCATCCACTTATTGCTATATTTTTGAAGAACCACAATTTTACCAGTTTGTCATTGCGTGTTCAATTCCATGTTCAATCTAGGTAATGGGGTGCAAATGGGGCCTAAACTGAGATTTATATTTGTGATGCCAAAGATAGTTATAATTTCGATAAAATGATTTTTACTCAATTTTTAGTTAATGCACTCATATTATATTTTGTTTTCTTATTGTCAACAAAGGTTGCGGCAAAATGCTTGTTGATATCTTTATTCTCATTGATGCCTCTTCAAATTTGAAACCGTGGCATTTTGCCGAAATGATGGAATGGTTGACACATCTTCTACAAGAAGTAGGAACTGCATTCGATGCCGGGTCAGCATGGGTTTCTATTGCTCTCGCTGGCAGTAAAGAACCACAGTGTGATCCAAGAAACTCATTTTCTGTAAATGAGGTATGTTTAGGAAATTATTAATCAAATTTCCTGCCTAATAAGCTGACTCGGTGAATTACTGAGAACAAGTTTAAGTACTAAAAATGCGGGTTTTTCCTTATTACCACCCAACAACAAAAATATTTTGTTACTTTTTTTTCTGACAATCCAAATGACAGATGTAATCACTAAACAGATATGACCTAGTGATCTAGAATTAGGAATAAGTCATTAATTCAAGGCAGTGGTCTCAAACGGTGGTGTGATTATTCAAATCTATCAGAATTTAATTACCGGTATATAACATATTTTAAACTCGAATTTAGAAACGATACGTTATTCTTAAAATATTAGTGTGATATGTATTTGGAATATCAAAATATTTAGTTTTGGCCATCCATGATACATGGTACTCAGCTGAGTGTTTATTTCTCTTAAAATGTATTAGTATCTGCATAATATTTTAACATTATAACAAGGATACATGTTCAAGACCTTACTGACCTACGACACAGTTGTGCGACATGCACCTCTAACAAGTATAACGGTCACATACTAAACAGACCAACTATAATTTCAGCTTTCATTATTATTCCGAAATATAAAATTACCGTTGTTGCAACAAAAAATTCGTTCACTTAAACCTATTGGTGGATGTTTACATTTGGGAGGAGCTTTAGCTCAATCTGTTCATTATGGAGTATCGCAGAGAAGACCCCATGCAACACCTGTTGTATTGTTAATGCTGGCTGGCCCAACTATTGATGATTTTCATGGAGCTGTTACTATGGCAAAAGAAGCAGGTACCCTTCTCCTTAGAAATTACGTTCTCAATTTTTAAAATCAAAACAGTGTAAAAGTTTTTCAATTTTCTTTGGTCATTAGCTAAAGTTAAGAGTACCTGGGATAGGGAATCTGAGTTGGGAGTTTGGAGCGGTTTCAATGCCGATTTGAAAATTGGAATGGTGTCAGAATGTCAGACATTTAATGATAATAATCATATTAGTCATAATATTTTGGAGAAACTAAAGCTTAATCAGGCTTCATTTTTAAATTGTTCCAGAAATGATATGAAAATTGATTTAGGACTGAATTTGTTGTTCCTTCCTAAACTTGCCTTTTGCATTATAGGTTTCCAATTTGCAATTATTGGGGTAGCAAATGCAAGTGTAATCAACTTTCAACAAATTGCAAACACACCAGAATCAATCATCTATGTTCCAGAGATACAACTATTTCATTCGGCTTCTTTTCATGTAACAAATCTTTTGACCAAAATTGATTGCCCAGGTATGAAATTTGAGATTGAATATAAATTAGCTAGTCTAGGTGGTACATGGGAATAGCCAGTTGAAATAACCAGATGTATGGACATGCTGGTGAAGTTCAATAAACACTCAACCTCAAGTGCGACTATTTGCATCTATTTTCTTACCACAGGTTTTTCTAAATGTGCTGGTCCAATGAAATTTGGATTCATAAATTGTCGGCAAGATCCAAGTGAAAAACCTGTTTTTAATGAAATATGTTCTGTGTCTTGTGATAGAGGGTATTCACTTGTAGGAAATGCAACAGTTTTGTGTGGAGATCCAGATAAGGATGGTACTGTAGATTGGATTTCTCCTTTACCAAAATGCAAAGGTTTGAATTTATTCTTCTAGTGTGTTGTGCTTTTGATTACTATTTCATTGTTGTAAGATGTATAAAGGTGGTTTCTGGTATGGAGTGTTGCATATGGAAAAAATTGAGAATATATATATGCATATCACGAAGGTTGCAGGACATTTTATGTACCCATCGGTTGGAATCCTGATCATGTTATAACAGTAAATTTTAACGACAAATGGCCCGAATCTGTATTAAGCCATTATTGGGTGTGGACTTAAATGAGCATCTCATCGTGGGGCTTTCAAATATAATTTTTCACGAAATACCAATTGTCAGGGCTGTTAAATTTGAATATTTTAGTCATTTTCGCGATTCCACATGAACATCTTAACTCAGTGCACACGAACATGCCGCGAACCCTTTAACGATTTTCCTAAATTTTTATTTAAAAAAAGCAATATATATAGCATATTCATATACCGGTATACGTTTATTTGCTATTAACTGTTCATATTCAATGTGATGGGTCGCGAAAAAAAATTACCGCTTGAAGAGGCCGCGACTCCCACGGTCTCAGAAAGAAAATAAATTTTATAGCGTGACTTAGTCATGATGCAGAAGCTATGTGCTGTGCTAGGAGCTTTCAGAATCATTATATTCCTAGAAAAAATGAAAAAGTACAGGAGTAATTGAGTGAAAATGTTCCTATTTTGACAGAGATCCGTTGTTCTGAGAGACCTCCACCCAAAGATGGTTTTATGAGTTGTACCAATGGTAATCTATTTCCATCTGTGTGTAAATACTTCTGCATACCTGATTATTTCTTGATTGGCCATGCGCAAGCATTTTGTGGCGATCCTAACAGAGATGGCGAAGGAGAATGGAGTTCTGAATCTCCACTCTGTCTCAAAGGTAAAATAGAGTAGTATATAATTATTTTTCAATATTGCGAGGAAAGTAACAAGAAAGTCTCAGTAGATGGTGCATAATGCTAAGCATTAGGAATACGCTTGCCATCAAGCCTCTGATTACCTTATGTGGTTTCTCGAGTTTAACCCCCGTTGGGATAATTTTGTTAGAGAGGATTGTTGGACCCTTTGCCGTGGTTATTCATAGGTTTAGGACAGGGATCGGCAACCTTTTGTCGCTCACGGGGCAAAATTAAGGTTGCAGGTCATTGGCGGGCTGCACATATTTTTAGAAAGTTGAAAAATTGAACGAATGGTACTTTATATAATAAAAATCAAGCAGTGATACATCTCTCAAACAAAGTATAGATTTATTTCCTCATTGCATCTCATAAAATTTCGTTTGAATATTTTGGCCGTCATTGAACCCTTTACACTTAGCATCAACGTTTCTGCGTTTTGTTGCCATTTGCTTAATTATATGCTCATTAAACGAGTAATTATGAATTATATAATTATTAGGTTATAATATAATTTAGTCTAAAGAATATATTCGTCAAAACGGATGTTTTGTTACTATAATATAGTGAAGCATCGTTGGCCGGATTATAGTGCTCCGCTCCGCGGGCCATAGGATCTCTTATCGGCTTTTCCCCTGGATATGAAAATCCCATGGTAAAAGGTACCCTATTGGTCCTATGTTACTCCATTATTTAATTGTTGGGTTATGTACCAAGAAAAGCATTGAATATTGATTTCTCAATTCGATTGATTATTGCAGTCTCAATGTTCAAAGTTATTTGATCATTAATCGAATATTTGCTTGCACATTTTCTGGTAGTAAGGAAGATCAAATTTTAAAAACTCTCTCAATATTTTTTACTGCAACAAAAAATCAGTTTAATTTTCAACGTTCTCAATTGTTACCAAACACAGTTATTGAAAATTTAAAAAACTGTGCGAGTATTGATGATAGAAGATAATACTGTTATATTCAGTTGAATAAACGAAATTTTAAAAACCTGTAGTTTCATGATAAGTTGCAATTAGTTAGAGGTTTACATATTGGATAATATGCACGATAAAAATTTTCGACCTTTTGACATTGTGGTGGTTCGGCTTTGACATCTCCATCATACGAGTCCATCTGGAGAAATTAATTTGTTAATAATTCCCGTTATTGGATTGATGAATGATCAATTGCTCTTACAAGCTGCCACTAATATCTAACAATATGTGAGGAATTACCAGAATCTCTACCCAATTGATAACATCCTTGGTGATGTGATGGTCATCGAATTAGGACACAAGATGTGAAATCTGCGTTGCCAACACAGTTAAGGCTAAAGCTTGGGCCAGTTGTTGGATGATCACGCCTACATACGCCATATGAGTCATTGTATTGTCAGTTTCTTATTGCATTAATATATTGAATTCGATTCATATGACATTCTATACTTTACATCTTGTGTAAAAGTCTCCAACTTTATTCTAGACTTGCATTGTTTACCTGCATTTATTGCACCGCCGAATGGGCAAATGCAATGTATTCGAAACAACACATTTGGATCGCAATGTCATTTTTCTTGCGACAAAGGCTATGAAATAACTGGAAATGGTATAATAAATTGTGGAACTCCTATGCCTGATGGAATGGTACAATGGAGTGATGATCCACCTATCTGTGAAGGTATGTTATGGCATCAACTATGTTTCCTCGCTTGTTAACTCATCACAATTAATGCTAACCATTAGCCTTAAAACGGCGCTCCAGAAGTTTGTGTACCAATATGGAGGTAACTAATTTTATTCGCCTACTGTACATCAAGTTTGTACACGAACTGATTACTATGGGCAGTGGGTGTATTCACTTGGCTAACACTGACAGTCCTCGAACTTGTAATAGAACTAAAATAAGGAAAATGGGATGATAGTTAGTTGGTCTTGCGTAATCCCAACTGATAACTTTCTTATCGTAATTCTTTCTTATAAATTGCCATTTCTAGATTAGTATATCTATATTTAAAAATTTTGCAGCTTGTAAATCTGATAATTGTCAGTTAGATTTGATGGTTGTTATGGATGGATCAGGAAGTTTACAAATGAAAGAGTTTGTTCAGATGAAGGAATATATACTTGAGATATTGAACGAATATAAAGGATCAATAGACAGTGGAGGAACATGGGTATAAGCATAGGTTTTATCATCGTAGCAGCCAGACAAAGATAAATAATTTGAAAATTCGCATTACAACTCAACTGGTTTTGATAGAGCTTTCTCTATTACCGGTATGTATAGTTAGAGGCAGTACAAGTCCTTGAACCCCAAGTCACGAGTCAAGTCTAGTCACTGGACTCCCGAGTCCGAAGTCGAGTCAATAGCTGAATTAATCTTACTGGCAGTTAGTTGATAACGAATCTGAGTCCGCTTAGATGACTTGTCCTTTACAACACTGGTTAAGAGACTCCAATTTATGCTTATAAATAGTGTTAGCACTACAGAAAGCTAGTAGATATACTATGCATATCTTCACTTTGTCAAATTGCAGTTGCTTCAACGTACAAAAAAGAAACTTTATTTATCATGTTTCAAAGATATCTCCATTGCAATACATTGGTAATGTGTTATTATGTTTAGGTTGGCTTGATACAGTACAGTGGAGAAGCTACATTCATGTGTGATTCTGGTGAATTATTACCAAAATATGCTGTGAGTAGATTTGTGAAAATTGATTATACATCTTACACGTTATATTTAATTTGCAGTAACCTTCAATTTAGACTTCCATATTATCTGAACCATCAATTTGTCCAAATTCAACTTGAAGTTATACTGTTAATTGGAACATGGTGGTTTATTTCCAATCATGCTCAGGCTGAAACAAAAGGCATTTTTTGATTTACTGTCGTTAGTGCTTGCTGTTGTCATTATATGCTGTGATAAAGCATTCCTAAACATGTTTGAAACTTATTTGTGGTTTTCTTTGTCTGTAGCATACAGGTCATAAAGTCTATTTTTTCTATTTTATTTCCTATATCTTTGTTTTCAGATTGAGTTTGATTTATCAGAATATTCTTTCTATGAAGTCCAGCAAAAGATTTTGAATATCGGTCATTTGAAAGGATGTACAGCTACGGGTGATGCAATATCAAGGGCTACAAAACACTTTGAAGTTCTTGGAAGACTTGAATCAGATAGAGTTATGATAATTGTCACTGACGGAAAATCAAATGATGATGTAGAAGGTCCTGCTGAAGAAGCTAGGGATAAAAGTATGATAATTTTTATTGTTTTTATTTGCTTATGTTCCTGTGCGGTCTGAATTTGGCATGTTTCCACTAAAATTGGTTTTCTACAAAAACTCAAAAAGTTCATTTAGCATTTTTAACATTCTATTAAAGGAAACTCACATACGAGGAAGTTTTCACCTTCAAAGTTTGAGTTTGGAGTCTGAGGCAATTGTCGGAGTATGAGTGCAATTATTTTCTACCTGGAATTTGAGTTTTTCTTGACTGCACTGCCCTGGTTCTGAACAGTCATACTCGTCGGCAGTTTTATGAAACTCCACATTTTATAATTCAATATATAACCATGAAGATATAACAATTGTGCCATGAGAATATATTTGATATTCCTGATTCGAAATTTTTCGCTTAGACTGCATTTATGAGACTAAGTTTTGCCAATATTTAGTATACTTCTCCTAATGAAAGTAATTCTACATTTCAGACATCAAACTAATACCTATTGGTATTGGGAAATTTGATAGAACAGAACTCCAAAAAATATCTGGAGCAACTCGAAGTATCATTGATGTTGAAAGTTTTGAAGAACTTGGATCATCGATAGCAAATGTTCAAGAAGAGATTGAAGGTCATCTTGAGGAGTCTGATTTTGTCATCGATGATTCTGGTATGCAGTGTATTGATATTTCTTATAAGGCTTTTTTTTATACCTTACTATGAAAAATTCTTCTAGTTTGGCATTATAACCATTCTGGGTGATGGTTATAATCCAAATAGTTAGTTCTAATGTTCTGACCGAACATGTGTGCGAAATTTATAAAAGCTGTTTTTTTCGAAAGTCTGTTTCAACTTTAGTGGGTATGGCGGCCTTGGGATTGAAGCATTAGATTTAACTATGATTGCAAGTTAAATCTCGAGTTCAAATCCCATGCCCATCTCCTCATCCACATTGTAATACTTCTGATATTTTGCACATTGTAAGTTTAGAGGATATAGCAGTCAGACACATGAAACGCCATATTTTGAAGAGTCACCGTAAACTACTTTGTTATAATTTGATACAGGTACAAGAAGGAAAGCTGTAAATATTGCAGCAGCAGTGTTTTCAGTCCTATTGCAAGTGGGAATATATTATGATTATTTTTTGTATTGTGGAAATGTATGAAACGGAAGAATTTTTATTCGTTTGCACTTCAAAGAACAAAGAAGACTAGTCATTATTGGATACAGCAGAAATGGCCACTTTGTTTGCGATTGTGATGGATAAAGGTTATATTCAAAGAATTGTGTAGATAATTAGAATATTACAATACGAAAGTATTTATTTGTTTGAATCATTTCAAAATGCTACACGCTATCTTTTCAAAGAGAGAATAAAATATAAGATATTTTATTTTAATATTTCAATAAGTTATATATATATATATATATATATATATATATAGGTTTTGAACTTTTCATAAATACCGACAGTTTTATTTGCCTGTCGAGGAATTTAAGTATGTATCAAGTTCATGGTTATGCGATCTGCGGGCCAATAGGGAAACGTTAATTTAACATTTGTATGTATATCAAATAATTAACTATTGGTGACGTATATGACGAAATGACCCTTCTCAACCAAATGTATACATGCGAACATGAATTTCATATTTCATCCAAGACGAGATTACTCTAAAAAAAAATTGAGTTGTTAATACCATACAAGAACAACTGTCTTCTGATGGGAATCGTGATGGATGTAGTGTTGAGAACTGTGAATTGAGAGGTCGCACACCTCCGATTAAACAGTGATTTTTTCTGTTAAAATTGAGCACTAAATGGGGGTAAGGAATGTTACAATGTCACTTCAACTATGGTTGGGCAATTCAGTTTTTAGAATACCGAATTTCAAAGTATTCGATTCCGAAAGGATCCGATAACAGGATTTAGTTTCCTCCTCTTTGGCGCCGTGCGTCAATTTTTGTATTTTGGATTATTAAGCAGTGACGAGAGTTTTCTCGTAATGAATCCGCAAAAGCGGCAGACATCAAACACCATAATTTCAGCATGCATAATCAGAACGCGAAGGCGGAGTTATTGCATCATTTTTGCGCTTTACAAATTTACTTATCTAGTTAGCGTATAATAATATTATTATTGGTGCCAACTGGGGATTTTCCGATCACCTGATTGCAACAATTTTGAATTTTTGGAATACAGTCGTGAAACATGCTTTATTTTAAATTAAAGGATTTTTCGTGGCCTACGAGTTCTCTTGAAAAAAGGATGTGTACAGAGATGCGTTAGATGTTAAAACATCATTTTCGATTAATTAGATTTTATTTTTTACGACCCCCCGTTTCCGAAAATACAAAATTATATCGCAAAACAAGGAGTTTTGTTACATTTAAGTCATTGTTACAAGTCTTCAACAAATTTGTGTTAAAGTTACCCTATTTCGAAAGTGATTCGTGAGACCAACGATGTCTAAAAATGTGAATACCAGTTTCAAGGTGTATTCGGGTCATTCTTCTCTCCACTAAAAATCTAGAATAGGTAATGTTGACTAGTGAATGTCATCGAAAAAGCGGCCCAGATATTGATAAAAGAAATACGCAAGTAAATAAAGAGAAACTTTGCTTCATTGCTTGTAAACATCCTTCCAGTTGGTGTATTTTAACATATTGGTATCTTTGACATAATTTTCTACAATCTGCTGAACTTCCTAGAAACGTAAGGCTTACTCACGCGGTCAGCAGTGTACGGCACTGCATTGTTCTAGTCAGCTGCAACTCCGATTCTTTTTTATTTCCAAGATTCAAGCAACTCGTTAGCATTTGCATTATATTTTGGAATGTAATTAGTATTTTTCTATTGTTAATATTCATACATTTCAATAATAAAAAAGACACTTTAATTTTCGATCGCTTCAGTCTTTCGTGCTCGTATCTTTACAAAGATTCCGTTTTTTGACCGAAGTATGACACCGGGATCCATGACTGCTTTTGGCGTGTCGTCATCGACATACAATTCGTATCTGACTAACACCTTCGCGATAGCAACAGTTGCTAGAGTAATGGCGAATCGTTGTCCGATGCAATTTCTTAACAAAAATAGATACGTCATAAACGTGATGCCCAGACGTGAGAATGGTATAGTTGTAGTATATGTATATCTATAGATGGTCTCGAAAACCTTTTTATTTTCAGCGATATTGAACTGTTTCAGATGATAATGTCGTAACTGATCATTGATGACAAATTTCTCTAACATACACTCCATGCGTCATTTATACTGGTACTTTTGAAGATGTTTTTTTTTGGTTAGTAACCAGAACATGTGGCTTGAATCTAGCCCACTAGATAAATATATGCTCACCTCCGTCCCAAGGAAAAGGGAATAAATGCGTATTTACACCTCTGTTCGTTTTCTTCTTTTGAAAACCGTTCAGGATCATATACCTGGGATAGACCAATAGCGTGAAGTTATAATGGACTATGCGCAGACAAGAATTCAAGAATTAATTTAAGAATAAAAATATTTATTAGATTTGATCTTTCAATCCCAGTTCCGTAACATTTACCAGGGTTGATTACTCGTACAATCAAATTTGCAATTTTAGTATATAGTAGGTCGGGGGAAGTCGGACCCACTAATAAGTTATTTTGAATAACTCTTAAAATAATGTCGCAGCTGCATTCGTTCTACGTTTGATTTATGCACCCACCCTCCAGCTATCTTGCCACATTTGCACATTGTTGCCATAGGAATTTACGCCCGATTTTCAGCTAAAAAAATATCGGGGTAAGTTAGACAATTTGTGGGCAAGATGGACACACACCAAAATAAACTTGATAGTGTCTAAGATTTCGGTCATAAGACTTCGGTCAACGCCTAGATGGCCCAGGATTATGTCTCTTAAATCAAATCAAATATATCAAAATATATAATAATGAAAAAAATTTCATTTATTTCAATATTTACGTTCCATCCACGTATTTCCCACGGGTTTTTTCAATAAAACACACTTTCTTAAAAAGTTCAAGAACCATCGCTCTAATAGCTTCCGTTATATATCTGCTCAGCGTATTATTAGACATTTCAGGATAAAATCCTTGTTTGTTCGATAAAAGCGTCAGTAATCCGTTTGACGTATCCTACCAATATCGGCTTTGTTTAGTCTGCGTTTTCATAAAATATGCCCATAAGAATATCTTATTTTCCATTGCACGTTCATCTGGTTTCCTGTTTTCGCCTCATAATTATGTCAAGCATATCGAGGTCAATAAAGAAAGTTGGATATAATGCGAACAAACGTGCCACATATCTTACCTCTGGATCTTGCCAAATTCCAGGATGTCTATGCAAATCAAATATTCTGATGTTTATGTTATTGTTCTCTGGAACAGTTTTGTTCTGTATAGTTATTGGTTGATGCGGGCAACGCCCCACTCCGGTTATTGGAGGATATAGTCTCAATGCTTCCAATATGCATTGTTTAACAAAAGGGATGTTATCGAGGTCTGACCTGAAATTTGGACATTGCTTTTGAAAATCAGTGTGATAAGTTTAATTTTTACTTTTTCTTTCAATATATCTGTTGAACCTTGCATATTACAGGCCAAGTATTGGTGCTCCCGAAGTGCACTAAGATGGCTCACAACCTGAACATAATATGTGTACCAGGTTAGGCCTCAGGTTGTGCATCATTCTTGGGGCACATATTCTGGAGCACCGAAGTATTTCAGGTTGCACGTCGGGTGCTCCGTGTCGTTAAATTAACTTTATAGTTTATAAGCTATGTAAATTTTAAACAATTATTTTTAAGACAATTTACCAATATACGAAGCTGTGTTCAGTCAGATTTTCCATAAGTTCGTCGTAACATCTTTGCTGATATTTAGGATTCCTTGCTAAACAGTACAATGTCCATGAAATTGCTGAAAGACAAGAACATTATAAACGACCAATTAACAATTAGCTGTCAATATCAGTAAAAAACAGACGGAAATGCTAAACTTCCGTCCGGTGACCTTTTATGACCTTTCATTTAACATATTTTTAAAAAAGCCCTCACGTAGGCCAGCGTGTATTTTTCTTTGTCGCAGTCGGTTCGACGGCGGCGGTGTCACGACCAGCTACCTCACTGCTCGATAAAGTAATTTTGATATTCTATGATGACTTCAAAAAAATCTCCTTACAAATGAATATTGCCGATGAAATTTATTCAGAAATGAAGTGTAATAGAAGCACAACAAGAAAAAATATTTTCTATTTATTAATTGTTTATTACTCCATAATACCGCTTGATGTAGTATCATGCCCCGCGAATACGAAAGTGTCAACTTCTGCCCTTATTTCTTCATCCGTAAGTTGTTCCCCGTGCTCATCCTATGCATGAAAAATACAGTATTCAGTTTATGTTTGCGATTCGCATGTTTACAAACAATTAGCCTAATATGCATTTAATGAATATAGACTCAGAATGCGGAACATATTCCCATCCGACATATAGCCTACACATATTTATGTAAAATCTTTACGGTTGTGAATTCCTCTGGCCGGTGGTCAGATTCAGATATTTATTTTCATCGTGCAAGAAACAATGCAAAATAATAAACACACATACAAATAACAAAAAAACGAAAGACATTGAATCTAGCAATTGATGAGGGGTCGCGAAAGTCTCGGTGAGTCATCCAGTCAGCGACACCTTTTTGATAAGGCAGCGAATACAGGAGAGAAAATGAATCTGGTCAGCAAACTGTTGGCCGCCGGACATTTTCTAGTGGCCTCCAATAAATTTCGATTGTAGCATTGATACACAAAAGATCTATAAATCCAACATTTCATATAATTTCGTTCATTCTTGCGTATCTGATTATTGTACTGCGTCATTAAAGTTGCACAAGCTAACGACATATACCGCTACGTTCGGTTGTTCACGTGGTTATATTTAAAACGAAATTGTTGGGTCTTGAAATCTTTTCCATTTCACTATTTTTGCCATACTCAAAAACTTTGCCGACCAATGTTCTAGATATTGCCAGTAACATCATATATATATATTATGGAAATTAAAAGGTGTGAGATTTTATGGAACATCGTCAAAGACAAGTCATATAAGATTACGATAAAATTTTTCTGTAGGCTATAGTTTTAGCTGTTTTCACACAAAATTTTTAATATTTAATTGTATGATATTTTAATAGTATTTCAAGTTTTTTTTTGAAATTAAAATATCTCACTTTTCCGGCAAGTAATAAATCCAAAAAATCTCTGAAGCGCTTGGAATCACTTTCATTGTTGTTATTATTGTTTTGCTCCAAATCAGCCCGCTTCATTTGTATTATCTAAAAATATCGACGAATCCCTATTATATATTGCATCCAATTATTAACTCGTTTGTCAAGTGTGAAACAACGTGGCCACGAAATGAACTCATAGGGACTTTTTTAAAGGTTAGATTATTAAACATTAGATTATTATCAGGACGTTAGACAACAAATTTTGACAACTCTTCTAAATCAGATATCGCGAATAGTATTGTCAGTATATATTTATTTAATGATTCATATATGCGTTGCATTTGCACTACGATTAACTTAAATCGATAAAAATCTGATTCTATGCTAGAATTTATAAATGGACACATTAGGTAAAGCTAGGTTGTCTGTTAACTCACGTATTCCGATTCCTTGTGAACAATGTCGCATGCTCGATAAAATTTCTCCCCCATCCCACTGCATCGAAATAACTGGTCATTCCACAGATAAGGTCTCATAATTCGTTGTATTATCATAAAGTTCAGGCTTCTGATAGCGTCAACGAATTCTTTTGATTCTCTGCCAAAAGTAAAACAGATAGGTTGTCGATAGGCATCAAGTTATTGTTGCAAGTGTAGGAGTGGCAGGTCCGATGACACCGATTCAAGGTTACGAACTCTTAACGACTTTTGGGAAAATTCAAATTTTTTGCGTCGTAAAGGCAGAGAGTATCTGGGAGGTTACTTTCTTTGATTAGCGTCACGTTCTGAGTAAATACCAATTAAATGAAATTTTCTATTTTACGAATATTGATTTACGTCTGATTAATTGCGCTATCAAATGTAAGATTTTGACTCAAATTTTTACTAAGATATATACGCGAATCAAACTGGGCCTACTTGCTCTCGTGTTGGGGATCCATGTTGCGTGACATGCAACAACGTAAAACTGCGTCCAATGCCATTAAGTTGACAGTGTCATCAACTTTCAAGGTGCCATCTTGATTTTTCCATTTTTTGATCATGATATTTAAAGTTTCATTGAAAACTGGAATATATCTAAATTCATTAAGAATGCAGATATCAAAAATGTTCTTTTGATTGGAATAAAATTGAATTGACAGCGTGTCTACTGCTATAAAAAACTTATCTCACGAACGAACGTTCTTATTAAAATGACTGTCGGGCTTTGTCAGAACTCGGTCAGCTGAACATTTAAAGAAGGAACATTTCAAAAATGATTAAATATCCCATAATACTTTCATATTTTGAATCCGAAGAGGATGTTAGCTCTGTCAGATTTTACGTTTTCAACTACTCCTTATCAGGTAATCGATTGGAAACTTAGTATATAATAATTATTTTCTTATACAATATCCCCTACAACTTTCACGATACATATTAAACTCTAATATTGGTAATAGATAACGCATAGCCTTCCGTCAATCAAAATATTTTTTGTCAATTTTAAATAGTGTCTGCAGTACATTATTTTTCAGAGTAACTCTCCTGTTTTTGTTACGCTATTCACTGATTCGTTTCGAAACGAGCCCTACAAGCTCACGATTCAATCGCTTTAGTACTGAATGCAGGAGCCAATAATCTTCTTTTTCTCTTCCATTCGTCACCTTCAGCCATCAATATACTATTGCCGATCCATGGTCGGAGAAATTTATACGCAATTGTTGCTTTTGGAACTGAACAATAATTAGTAATAAAATGTTATTTTAGCAATAAAACAAAGCACCATTCTTCATGTGGAAGATGGAAATTGTGGTTATTTTGTTCAGTACTTCATCATATTTTACACTCTATCAAATTGTCACCTGTAGCATTTTACTTGCATCATGCTCAAAAATATTGCCGATACGTAAATAGTTTCTGTACAATTACATTTTCGCACATACAATACTAAAAATGCATGTTAGATTGTACGATTAATAAACGCTGGTAAATGTTTCGGAACTGCGATTGAAACAGCACAAGTCTGCCAGAAACTTATCGGTTTGTATATATACTCACTATTATGAGAAAGAAGCGGCTCAACAGTATCTGGGTGATAACATTCTAGCGATGCTTCGAAAGGTCCGAACCACATCATACTCATTTTTGGAAACGTAATTGCCCTCTTCGCAGAATTCAATAAACCTTCTTCCGAAGCCGAAAACTTGAAAATAAATTCATAAAATTATTGAAACCTATTGGTTAGTTTGCATCGTGTATATCAAAATACAAGTGTCTATTTACACTAGGCTAGACAGCAGTGGGCGAGATGTAAAAATCTAGATTGACGTGGCAAAGTGTTCATTAATCCATATACTACGTACTATGACCTCAAAAAGTATTAAATTGAACTTATAGTATCAGTCTAATTGAGCACTATTTCAGAAATATTTACGTACTTTATTCAGATGACCATATAACCAATGCATTGCAGGGCTTTTCACATCCTCGGCAAGTCTTAAAAACTTTTCTCTTCTGGCTTTCAGAAAATATACTCCTTTGCATATTGTAAATGCAAGTAACCCACAAAACAAAGTCAATACAGAATCAAAGAAACTCAACTCCAAAGAAAACATTTTGTCTAACAGTCCTCGGCTCAAGGTTATTTTTCAATAAAATCTGCAACCAAACCGGTTTTTATAACGTGAAACAACGTGGTTGTGTTTGTTATTATTTTTTTCTTCAAATATCAAATACTGAAACTATAATGGCATAATTAGGAATTATAAAATATTGCATCCATTGTTTAATTAATAATTCCTTCACGTAGAAGATTATTCCCACGTTAAACAAGCCGAGGTGGCCTCGGGATACGGTTTTTGAAGTTTTATTTATTTTCAGTTAAAATATTTATACAAAAACAAAACATTAGTTATAGAATAGTGTGGTTTTGTAACAACATTTGTACACTGATGTGTGAAGATAGCGGCTAATTATCATATATGGCCGAATATCTCAGTATGCCTACGAGAGTTATTATATTCGCGGTCAATGCATTATGAAAATTGCTTGATGGATTTTCTCAGTAAATCAATCGGTAGTTTACTTTTCCCCATACTAAATATACACATTATACATACAGATCAAAGTAAACAATTGCATTTTAGGGTGAGAGTAGATGCGATAACTCAGTGCTGGTTATCGACCAGCGACACCTATGATAAAGTTCAACAACAAATTTCTAGGGTAAAAATACAGAACATTAACGAAATTTGACGACCGGGTATTTTCAGTATTGCTCTTTTCATTGGAAGAAAACGATTCCGATCACAAAACTGGCACAATAAAACGTGCATACTGCATGAAACAAATAAGTAAGCGTCTGGATATGCACTTTTGAATCCTGAAATCACGTTCACCATCGCATATATTTGTCACCTCGCGCGATACGATGCATTTAAATATAATAATTTCAGACTGAAATCGGAATTGACACAACTAGTCCAAAACACCCTAATTACCCGGAGTTCTCTCATTTTATAGAGTTCTTGCTATGGAACTTGTTTCCAAACGGATTTGTAATCTTCATTTACATTCTTATATTCTATTGCATTACTCATATCAAAAATTTCTTTTTTACATAATTATTTTGACATTTCACAAATTTCCTTACAGCCCACTTTTTGCATTATATATATCATGATGCCCACGAGCGCTAAATATATCTTAACACAAATCAGCGACTCGGTCGGGTAATTCATCGAATACGTATCTACGGATCTATTTCATCACCTACCGTGTTTCCCCGAAAATAAGACAGGGTCTTATTCAGTGGCATAACAACGCAATGTGGCGCCCCTAGATCTTTGCGCGAAATGCCGCCCCCTCAACACCGTCGTAAAAGCTGAATAAAATTCCACACAACAGAAGAATTAAAGCAGTGAATAGTAAATTTTATCGAAAGTTCCAAATTCAATGTCTAGTTTTCTTTGAAGCAAATTCAGAATTTATATCGTCAAAAGATAATGTCTCGACTAAATCACTTTCAATGGGCAGTATTGCTGGCACAGACAGCCTGCTTTCTCCCATAGTCGATCTCAAGTAAAACATTATCAACTTAGGTTTTGACTTCGTTATTCGCAGCTTGTGAAAGAAACGGCAACAGTGAGGTAAAGCTTGAGATTCATGAATAAACAAGAGAGATATGCTCAAATATATGGGCACGTAGGGTCACATGATTTTGATGACGTCATAGCGAAAAAAAGTAATAGCCTTCTGGAGAAAATTTTTATCTTTAACCACTGAAAATTTCAAAGCAATTGGTCCAGTATTCGAAGAGAAAAGCGATTTCTTCAAAACGTGTTGATAGAGACAAATAATAACAATAACAACAAAATTTTGAAACGATCGTTATGTCCACTACGTGTCCAATAAGGTGTTGATTCACATAAACGATGTTTGCAAACCACCACAGGACGTCCAGCGCTGTAGCGTCATTTTTAAATGTAAAATCACTTGATTGTACTAGTGCAGCGATTCTCATCCGGGGGCTCCCTACAGGGGCCACGAAGCAGTTCGATGGGGGCCACGACACAAGACTAATAATCTATTTTATAGCGACTTCGTTTGCATACTTTCCAGGGCAGTTTCATTATCTGAATAGGATTATTTGCGATCACAGGGTGTATTCACTTTCTTGTGCGTGAATTGTTTGATCATACTGGAACTTGAAATCTACCAATGAAAATAATTTGCCGGTAGGCCGTCTGGTCTAACCTACAGAACGGCAGTTCCACTCGACTGCGAGATAACCTTTGCTAGCGTATTATAGACGCAATTACGAAAATTGAACTACAGTTCCGTTTTGGATGAACACATGAATAGCTGCGTTCCTGGGCCTTCAAGCACAGAAAGATGTACTAACAACAGTTCCGTTGACTTTACCAAAGTAAAGTGAGATGCCAGAGAATGTGATTAATGCTGGCATTGCTCGTATGTAATGAGCAATAAATCATTACGTCCATCTGAACTCCAAAATACCGCGACAAAAATCACCCCCGGTGAAAAACGTTGGCATCGGTTTCTTTGCTGCCAAGCGAGTTAGATTTGACAGGAACGCACATTGACTAAGTTCGGGTTTCTGTCGGAGCAAAAGCCAATTTTTCTTACCACAAAAACAAAATTTATAAACAGTTTTGATGTTGACATTCGTCTAGCTATAAAAAAGACTGCGCCTAACACGATAAATTCTCTTTGATTGTATACTGGAGAGCGTTTACTTTCTTGTCTGTGGTTTGTTTTTGCATTCGTAATAGGTCGTAAACACATAATACAATCCAACACGTTTCGTTTTTTGGAATGGCGAAAACGGAGACCGCGAGTGCAAAAGTGCGCTGGAAGGGGGCCACGAGCCATAAAACACCTGGTTTAGTCGTATATCTTGTGTAATTTTTTGGCTTCATTGGTAAGTTAGGTCGTTTAATGTGACTGCCTTGGTTCATTTAAAACGTTTTTCCGCTTCGTTTAAAACGTTTTGCCGCCTTCCAGCAACGTGCCCCTGGATTTATCCACAAGATCCAATGGGTAGTTACGCCACTGGTCTTATTTTTATTTTCTTTCGAAAAATAACACTAGAGCTCATTTTGGAAGAATGTCTTTTATTTTCATTCGTCAAATACGAAATTACAAAGTGGAGAATTACGAAATTTTTGATATATACAAAATATGAAAACCGATATTCATTTTTCTTATAAATAACCATCAACAAGGTCTTATGTTAAGGGGAGGGCTTATATTAAAATCATTTTTAAAATTCAAGCTCGGTCTTATTTTCGGGTAAACACGGAAATGTAAATTAAAATACTTTTTATTTCCAACCTATACCTAGTCATAGATATACATGGAATCCCTAACATATATATTTTTTGACTCAAATACGAATGCGTTTTGATTTGATTGGCTTTCCTAATATCAAGGATGCTGAAATATGAACATAAATCGTGCTAACACTATCATGCTTGTGTCACGGCCTGAAGGTGTTGCTATCGTGGTTGTAGATGAATCAGAAGACTCAAGGATTCCGGATTGGTTGTTTATTGTACGGCAACTCCAAAGCATATAGCAGCCAAACAGATTAAACAAAACATCACCAGAGAACCGGGAACAGGACCAACTGCCAGCGCGGCAGCCGAAGAAGAGAGGTCGAAAGATATAATTTTCCTCTCACGTGTAGTGAGTGGTCGGAGTTCAGATCCGACAAAACAGCATTAAACAACGGTCAACATAACTGCCTATAAACATAAAAATATATATACACACAATATAAACGCGGACGCTATGGTCCGCGACTTTTGGTTCTCTTCACTGTATTTGCGCTAATCAAGTTCATTTTTCCGCGTGGAATTACACGTGAGAAAACATCACTATCATGAAATGTTTCCGCGCGTAGAAATTATGAACTCGTTTTTGTCTTTCGTTGTCTGATTACAGAATATTTAATGTTAGATAGAACTACTGTAGAATTAGATATTATAATATTGCAGCGCTGCTGCTGATAAAATAAATAAACATAATAGGGTTAAACAAAGAATAATTGACAGTACTGTGCCTTTATATTTTAGAACACCTGCAGACCTGCTAAATCTGTGAATTGTCAAAATTAATTTGCAGATTTTGGACTGATCAGTTGTCACTGTGCAGCTGTGTCAGGTTGTGCAACGAAAGAACAAAAAATTCAATAAGTTACATGTAGCGTACTGATTTCTAGATTCCGAAAAAAAGGTTCAATTGCGGAATTTTGTATCTATCTTTCATGTCTTTTCAGTTTTTATTGGATGAATGGTGCACTGAAATTGAATGGTGCATTGAAATTAGCAAAATTAGCCTAATCTCATTCCTGCATTCTCAAGCATAAAAATAGTGTGATACCGGGAACATGGTAATGCAGTAATGTGAATTTAGTTATTGTCACATTTACATCATGTCTCAGTGTCTGTTTATCTGGATTTACAAAATTATTGCTGTATTGTGACCGGCCAACTACAAATAAATAGGCCTATATGAGCAAAATATCCAATCTGCCATTGTACATTACGGTAGCTATATGGTACCTTGTTTCTTGTTAGCATCACTTAGCGTTTTCTGTGTTTATTTTCTCTTCTATAATTTTAATACGACACAGTTTTCCAATTTCAAGAATAGCCCCTTCATTAAAAGACCTGAATTAGGCTACATAATTATAACTGTATAACAGTGATTGCAAATTTCTCCTTTACGAGACAATCTGGCCCTCCATACCGACAAAAATCAGCAGACCAGAACTGCGAAACAAACTAAAAGGAAGCGCAATCTAAAATGTCACCATTGGATTCTTCAAAAAAAAAATTCGATTTACTGAAGGAAGAAAAATTGCCAATGCCTCAGATTTACCGTAGGTCCATAAATTTTTTTTTATTTTAAATGCCAAAATTTATTTCAATCACCACATTTCATATTACTTAGGCGATCTCACATCATATTTAAAGTTCTTCTATGTTTTAATTTCAGCTATTATCAACTACAATATTAACAAAATAGTTTTGACTTTATTTACCTGAGAAAGGGAGAAAAAATTGAAATTCTGTTTTGTATGGTTTAAAACTCAAAACCACAATAGTCATGGATCCAAAAAAAGTTGTTGAGATCCTTGAAGGGACAATGCATCCAGCACTTCGACAAGAGGCAGAAAGCAAACTAGATGAAATGCACAAGATCAGTGGATTTGCTCCTCTTCTATTGCAAATTGTAATGTCTGAAGAAATACCAATGGCAGTCAGGCAAGCCGGTGCAATTTATATGAAAAATATGTGTACCAAGTGGTGGAGAAAGGACCCAGAAGATGACGAATCTACCGATGTCTTTTTCATTCATGAAAATGATAAAGCAATTATAAGAGAGAATATTGTCGAGGCCATTATACATGCTCCTGAAGTTATCAGAAGTCAAATGAGCGTCACTGTTTATCAAATCATTAGGGAAGACTTTCCAGAGCGATGGCCAGGAATCATAGATAAGATTGCCAACTACTTGGGAGGTGATCCAAATACATGGATGGGAGCTTTGCAGACCTTGTATCAATTGGTTAAAAAATATGAGTACAAGAAACGAGAAGAGAGGGTACCATTATTGGAAGCAATGAAAATATTTCTACCCGCTCTGGGACAACTTTTTCAGCATGCACTCAATGATGGGTCTGCTCAGTCTGTGCTTATTCAAAAGCAATGTTTGAAAGTGCTTTATGCTCTTACACAGTATTCTCTGCCTCTCAAATTGATTGAAGGTGCAGTTTTGGATACCTGGATGAAATACATTCAAATTGTGATTGAAGAGGCACCACCTGAAGAAACTCTACAAGTGGATGAATTAGAGAGACCCGATTTACCATGGTGGAAATGTAAAAAGTGGGCTCTGCATATTTTAACCAGAGTTTTTGAAAGATATGGTAGTCCTGGGACTGTCAGTCAAGAATATAATCAATTTTCTGAATTTTTCTTGCGAAGGTACGCTGTCGGAGCAACTCATGTTCTTCTGAAAGTATTGGGTGATTACAGCAAGGGAAAATATGTATCCCCTCGCGTCTTACAACAGACAATGCAATTTTTGGAACAAGGAGTTAGCCATTCTCAAACTTGGAAAGTCATGAAAGGAGTTTATGACGAAGTTTTGAAAGATGTAATATTTCCTCTGATGTGTTTCTCAGAAAAAGACGAAGAATTGTGGAGCGATGACCCACATGAGTTTGTTCGTGAAAGATTTGATTTCAAGGAAGATTTCTTTTCTCCATCGAGTGCAGCTCAGTGTTTCTTGCAGTCCGCTTGTACTAAAAGAAAGCAAGTTGTGCAAAAAACAATGGGTTTTTGTCATAAAGTTCTGGTTGCCAATGAAACAAAAACGGAACCCCGTCGCAAGGAAGGAGCTTTGCATATTATTGGATCTTTATCATCAACCCTAAGAAAAAGAAAAGTATACAAAAGTCAATTAGAAAGCATGCTTTTTACCCATGTTATTCCAGAATACAAGAGTACGCTTGGATACATGAGAGCAAGAGCCGTATGGGTCACTCAGCATTTCAGCCGAATCACATTCAAAAAGGATTCGAATATATTTGCAGTGGCTGATGGAATACGTACACTTCTTATTGATGACCCTGAACTTCCAGTTCGAGTTGAGGCTGCTTTTGCTCTTCAGACTCTACTGTTGCACAAGGAAAAAGCTGAGAAGCGTTGTGAACCTTATATCAATGTCATGATTCAGAGTTTACTTCAACTTGTGCATGAAACAGAGAATGATGAGTTGACTTCAGTTGTGCATAAAATTATTTGTCTTTATTGCGAGCAAGTGATACCATATGCAGTAGACATAACACAGAGTTTGGTGATGACGTTTTTCAAACTATTAACTGATGAAAATGGACAAATCAATGGCACTGGAGATGATGATGATGAGGCATCTGACAACAGATCAGTGGCTGCTATGGGAGTGTTAAGTACAATTGAAACAGTTTTGGATACAATGGAGGAACAAAGAGATATTACAGTACAATTAGAAAGTATTGTTGTTCCTGTGGTCGCCCATGTTTTGAAGAATAGAATTATGGATTTTTATGAAGAAATCTTATCGTTAATGTATTCTTTAACTTGCCAAGCAATTTCACCACAAATGTGGGAGGCATTGCCATTGATTAAAGTTATTTTTGACGATGACGGCTTTGATTATTTCTCCGAAATGATGCCTGTCGTGCACAACTTTTGCACTGTTGATACAGATGTATTTTTGTCAAACACAAAAAATATGGAAACAGTATTTGAAATGTGCAAAAAAATTCTTGAAGAACAAAATGGAGAAGATGCAGAAAGTCATGCTGTAAAACTTCTGGAAGTAATCATTTTGCAATGCCATGGAAAAATTGACCAGTGCATCCCTTCATTTGTTCAGCTTGCTCTTGAAAGACTCACCAAAGAAGTGAAAACAAGTGAACTTCGAACCATGTGCCTTCAAGTTGTAATTGCTGCCCTTTATTACAATCCCACCTTACTTTTTCAAACATTGGAAAGCATGCAGTTCCCAAACACAACGGAAACTGTTACTGAGCAATTTTTTCGCCAGTGGCTTAAAGATGCAGATTGCTTTCTCGGAATTCATGATAGACGGATATCTGTACTTGGCCTATGTACTGTGATTGATTCTGCGGAACGACCAAAAATCATATCTGAACTTGCACCAGACATTTTACCTTCTTTAATCTTAATGTTGCAAGGACTGACTCAAGCTTACAGAAGTAGAGGGGAAGAGAACAGCAGTGAAAGCTCGAATTCTGATGAGGAAGAAGATGAGAGTGATCATGAACGTGAGGAGCTTGAATCAAGTGAGGATGAGGTTGATGAAGAGTCTGCTGAATACTTAGAAATGCTGGAGAAGAGTTCTTTAAATGGTATTGATGGCGACAGTGATATCAGTGATGGAGAGACGCCGCTTGAAATTTACGCATCTTCTTTTGATGACGAAGATAATGTTGGCAGTGAATATTTCATTTTCAAGCAAGTCTTAAAACGATTGGAATTAAATAACAATGGATGGTATAATCAGCTTGTTTCTGGTTTGACTGACGATCAAAGGAAGAACCTTCAGGAAGTTTTCACAACTGCGGACCAACGGCAAGCAGAGGCAGAGTCTAAAAAAATCGAAAAGACTGGAGGTTATCAATTTAACACCACTAATGTGCCAACTACTTTCAATTTTTCTGCATCTGGTCCACCACCAGCATTCTCTCCTTAATAAGTACAAAGTCAACATTGTTTTGAGCATGTATTTAGCATTGAGAATGGGTGCAATTTCTGTAAACTATTCTGGTTCATTTGTAATTAAATTAGGTGCTTACACAGGTGATATACTGGATCACTTGTCAGGGGTGTTGGAACTCAAATTACTCAAAAATTTCGAACGAATTCTGTATTATTTTTTACCGTTTCAATAATTGAATATGTTTAGCATTGAGCCATGTGAAATAGAAAAATTTGCGCAATTTAGTTTGTTAATTTGACAATTAATTTTTTCCCCACTGGATGTCGATTGCTGGATATATCGATTTTTAAACTGAAATATTTTTTATTTTTTTTTTAAAGATATTTGTTGAAAATAACTAGTTTCTCAAGTTTTATTCATTCTTGACAGGTGGCTTGAACTTTCACCCCCAGAATGTATATTATATTTGTTAGGTAGAAAACGAATCCCTGTCCACACATACTCTTGTTAAAATTGTTTTTCTTTTGGTTTGTTTCACCTATTAAACTTTACTGCCCATCTCCATAATACTGTTTCAGTGATATCGTTAACTTTAGATTGTACATGACCTTATGAGTTCGCATTTTATTAACAGTTGTGTTTTTAGTGAAGTTGAAAATAAAAAAAAACATCTTAGTTATATGGGGATAGGTTGTTTGGAACAGTATTGTAAAGTTGCATGCTGGCATTTTTCCATTTAGTACTGGAAATGTGGGGAGTGAAGATTAAAGTGTCATTCTATGAGTGGTGAGACAAGATTTGTGGGGATTGTGGATACATACTTGCTGAGAATATGTTTGTCATTCTTTAGCCATATATTGCATTTCCAAAAAAAAAGGATTTTGATGCGCTGCCAGGTTTCCGAACAGCTTGCTCATTCACACTTCTGTTTCCCCATCAACGACCGGTCATTGTGCATATGGGATATTTGCCGTGAAAGTTCGCGACCCTCAATAAAAAAATCCGGAATTGCCTAGCTTATGGTGACTCTTCTACGGCCCATGGTCCGAGGCCATGGCCCATCTAATTTGGCCACATGGAGCCACCGTCAGGAAAAATTCGATTATCTTACCAAAATTTTCAATCTTTACGAAATTGTCATTATTTGAACCGAAAAAAATCGCGGGATGCCACCAAATTTTTTTCTTACGATAAGCCCACATATAAAAATAATGCAAAATACCGAGCAACAGAAAAGGATACTCCTGTAGTATGTGTACCAGGTTAGGGTTATGACCAAATTTTGTTCAGATTCTTCACATTATAGTTCTATTATGAGTTCGGGGACTGACTGTGTTAGCCAAGTGAATAGTCCCTTCACACAGTATGTTCCCCAGCTTTTCATTTTAGGGGGGGTATTTCGAAAACAAGGGGGTGGTGAATTATTTGCTATTAGCGATAAAACTATTTGTATTCTTGAAAAATTGGTATGTATTTAAGAAATGATGTGCACGAGGGGGTCCCCCCAGTTGATTGACGGCGAGCCAAAATACACAGCAGAATAAAATTGTAGGGCCCGAAAAAGGGAGCAAGGAAAAGTGTGCGACGACACAGCTGGGGTTCAGGGCGCGCCTAAGCGCCCTGAGAAAATTTTGAGAAATAGGCCCTAAGCTTGATTTTAGATACACCTAGCATGGCAGTTTTTTATGTGATGAAATTAATAATTATAATATTTAGCTGATAGAATACCCGAGAAATAAATAACAAGCACGGCTTTCAGCAAGTAATTTGCAACTGATAGTGACTAATGAAGTTACTTGCTCATCTAGCATATGGCATCGTATGAATGGCTACTTATGGCTTGTTTTGTTACACATTCCACATTTTTTTGAACATGTTTGTTTGACTTTTGTTTGAATTGAACAATGAATTAAATTTTGAAATACGCGCGTCAACTGATCATAATGGCGCATAATGTTGTATTCCTTCAGAACTGAAATATTTTGTTGGCAAGGAAGACAAATCGCTGAAGTTTGATTCTTTTCAATAAGGAAATGAAAACGCTGGCATCCACATGAAAAACGTCTGTTTTCAGTGCCTAGTTTTCGTTTCGTGACATCTTTAAACTTTCTTAATATACGGCTGATATCTAAAATACTGCAGTGAGTAATCCCAATACCCATACTTATACATAAGATATCGGTATAATTCAATTGTTACGAAATAAACGTGCTTAAACTGTGATAATGATGTAACGATAGACGGTATCTAAAACTCAAAAGGTACCGCATGAAGTGTTAAAACTATTTCACTAAGTTCGGCGGGCTATTTTAAATCGTTAGGGAAATCACTGCCTTTACACAACTTGAAGGGCCATGAGCCTTAGAGGAATCACCACTTCCACTCCCAACTAGCCCCGAGTGAATTTGAGGGGAGGCGTAGAACAGGGAAAAAGCCAATTTATTCGGCCGTGAACAACTTCATGCTTGCCGATTTGCCTGTACATCGTTGTGAGGTTATGAATACACTCGTCATGGCTATGTGGGTTTTTATGTTCGAAATCGAATGCTGTGGGAGATAATGATGTGCGAAAGATTTGTTTCGTAGTTCATATATATAACCGGTCCAAGTCCATGCTATAGTATCTATTGGCAATAGAGCTCAAAATTGACATATTTCGTCAATCTTTTTTGTTTTCTCTCATAGAATCAACCGTTTCTCTTGAATTTTGGTTCCCAAGTTGTGTTGTATTTATTTATGTCAATATACTTTCGTAAATATTTGACGTCATCTGCTGCTGGAAAATGGTTTCGTTGGCCGATGACTTTGATAGTCTTTTCGCGACACCTTGTCCATTGCAGTTGAAACATTGAAACCCAATGATGTTTGTTGCACGACGAAAATAAATATCTCAATCTATCCAGATATTTCATCTTCGTCATGCATTAAACATTTACGATTAAACATTTGAAACAAAATAGTTGAGACTGAAATATATGTTGAAGTGGGATATATTCAAGATGAAGATTGCACGGGTGCATATATGCTTATGAGGGCTAATTTTTGTAGACTCAAGGTTACATGATTCCAGTTACTCTTATGATAAAGATTTGACTATCTAAATCCCAGAAAAGAGATGTCGGTTTTCCCTTTTAATCACATTGCGAGTCTAGTTTCACTTTGCGATTACCAGTCCAAATATGTCATGGGAATAGTTGTTCAGTTAATTTTTTCAAATGCCCGGGCTGACGCAGATGGAAACGTGATCGACAAGTATCTAAGTGGGACAGGGACGTCCTTCCTTACAATGTAGCCTAAGTTAAATCAATGGGTAGGCTAAACATATCATGTAAAGATGAAAAGCTTGTTCCCAACGCTTAGCACGATACGCCAACCTATCTTAGAGAGATACACTATCTAATTTAATTACAAGGCAAAATCATAATGCTTCATTTCGTATATGTATAAATGCTCATTGGTACGCTGAAGCATTATCGTGTGCGGTAAAAGACGTGACGTCACACCGACATGATATTGGAAGTATGTAGGAATTAGAAAATCAGCCAAGCCAACTGAAATATCTCGGTGTCGCGGGAATCTGGCTTCTGTGACTCGTTTCTGTGTCGCATATTTTTAACAGAAGATAATTTTGATGAATAATTCCGTAATTGGACCATAGTAGGCAGAACTTTGTAAACTGTAATAAGCCCAGCTTGCTGTACTGCATTACAACAGTCAGACAGTAGATCTGTTTAATAGTTTTGTTATGGATTATGAGTTCAAACAAATGCTGGCGACCAAGAGGCGAAAAGTGGAAGATCTTTTTGAATATGAAGGCTGTAAGGTGGGACGTGGAACTTATGGCCATGTTTATAAAGCTATAAAGAAGGATTCCTCGGACAAAAATGAATATGCTTTGAAATTGATTGAAGGCACTGGGATTTCAATGTCTGCTTGCAGAGAAATTGCAGTAAGTATTTATCATACTGTCATATCAACAATTCATGGATTTTTCATTTTATTTAAAATGATCCCTACTGTATTATAACTTACAGCTTCTGAGAGAATTGAAGCATCAGAATGTCATATCATTGAGAGCAGTTTATTTATCACATTCTGACAGAAAAGTTTGGCTACAAGTTGACTATTCGGAACATGATCTATGGGTAAAGTGCTATTAATATAACAGATAGTTACATGTAAATAAAATTCATAGTAGTGTCTTGATAGAGCGTGATATTCAAAATTCTCCACTACATTCATTTTTATTTTCTATTATCCCTAAAATGTCACAAAAAGTTGAAAAAAGATATTTATCCTAAATTTGCCGCAAAATAACTTCTGCATTTATTATAAAAAAATTTCTGATTTTCAGAAAACGGTTTGAATACATTAGATCATTTTTCTTTCTCAAAATTTATCTGTGATTTTTTATCCATTTATTAATTTTCAGCATATAATCAAATATCATCGAGCTTCCAAGTCTAACAAGAAACCTGGCACAAACATTCCAGCACACACTGTCAAGTCATTACTTTATCAAATTCTAGATGGGATACATTATTTACATTCAAACTGGGTTTTGCACAGAGATTTAAAACCTGCAAACATACTAGTTATGGGAGAAGGACCAGAAAGAGGAAGGGTGAGGCCGAATTTTTGTATTAAAAACAATACAGTACGGCACACTATACAAATCGGGTGATATTGTCCTGTTTCAGAGAAACCCATTTTACAGATGATCAGACACTTCTCCTTTGGGAGTCGTCTGGACATTGTTGTCCCTCAATATTGGTAATAATACAGTATAATGAAGTTGCGCAAAATACTACGAAAAAGCGCAATCTAGTAACGTCATCATTGAATTCATTGGGGAAAAATAATCCGATTTACCGAAGGAAAAAAAATTTCTGTAGCATTCGAGAGTTTTTAGCAAAAAACGGCAATTTTGGTCATGTGACGACCGCGATTAATTTAAATTATTATTGAGACAAGCATGGCGCGATATGAAGCATTTGACGTGGTCCCCTCGTTTGTGAGACACATAGAGTGTTTGTTTTATTGAGCCAAATGGAGGAAAATTCTTGGAATTTGGATAGTGTGCTGTACTGCAATAGAACTGTTGCTATTTTTACAGCATGAAGTTTTCCCAATTTAAAAAATATATAATTTGGAAACTCAGTTTTTGACATGTTTGATTTTCCATGCGACACATTTCGCTCCAAATGAAGTTCCTCACAAGCAGCTACCACTAGATAAGGAGTTGCCATAGTTTGGAAGAATCGGAATCTTTCCTGTTTGGCAGGAAACTGATCAAGGTAGTGGGCATACGATTTGAACCAAATCTTAACCTGCGATCATAGTTGAGTCTATTGCTTAAACACTAGACCACTGGCCCCCCAATGCACATGCTGTAAAAGATACTTATTTGACTCCACAGTTTGATTCTAAAATAATGAATCTTATTGACATGATCTGTAGATGCAATTGAATTACAGAATCAGTTTCTTCATTTTTTCCCAATTAAGATAGTGAATATTCTTATTTGGGTTTGTGGAATTATCCTTCGGAATACTTGAATAAATAATATAATGGTGAATTTTTTCAATAGGTAAAAATAGCAGACATGGGATTTGCAAGACTATTCAACTCACCACTCAAACCTCTTGCTGATCTCGATCCAGTTGTCGTAACTTTCTGGTACAGAGCTCCAGAGTTACTTCTTGGAGCAAGACATTACACAAAGGCAATTGGTGAGTTCATATCATCCCCAAATTCAAAATGCCATATATTCACTCCTGACGTGTAGTATATTTAGAACGAGATCAAGTTCCCTAGGAATTCTCACAACTAAGTTTAAAAATCCCTGTTGTTATACTCGCTATTATATAGCATTATTTCACAGTTAAACCAATTTGCATTCTTAGTTATCAGAACATTAATTCAGCATTAATTACTTTGTGCAGACATCTGGGCAATCGGATGTATATTTGCTGAACTTCTCACATCAGAACCAATATTTCATTGTAGACAAGAAGACATAAAGACATCAAATCCATATCATCAAGATCAATTAAGCAGGTTTCTACATTTTTATAATATTGTTGTAATCCCACCATCTTTGTATTCGACCTTTTTTCATTTTTATGTTATGATTATACTTGCAAATGAACTAGTGAGCTATCTGAGTAGATTTCACAGGTATTAATTTTGTTTGGGGTAAGATGTGAATAGGTGATTCTGCGCGAGTGTGTGTACCAATATGGAGGTAACTAATTTTGTGCGGCTATTTTACATCAAGCTGTGTGAAGGTACTGAAGCCTATGGGCTGGGGGTATATTCACTTGGCTAACACAGACAGTCCCCGAACTCGTAATAAATAAGGAAAATCCGGAAAAATGACTTAACGCTAACCTGGTTCACATACTGCGGGAGTACTGGTGATTCACACAACTTCTGGCAGGTTACATCTTCCGCCACCATCAAAGACCTCTGGAATGATTAATTGGTTATCTATGCTTGACCTGGGCTTTATGATGACAGCTTTTCTCTTTCTGGGGCAAGTATGCAAGATACTAGCCTGAAATCATAATCATTTGTAAAACATGTCCAGAAGACTTGCATTCACTATATTAGAACTGATTGCAGTGACACTGGTGAATGGTCTTAACAATAAATATGTGGGTGTTAATAATGTAACCTAATCATGCCTATGTAAGTGGAAAATGTGAATGACAGCTTGTAAAAACTATCAAATATTTAGTTAGTTCATAAACTCTTTTCACTTTTGCTTCTGTGTGTTGGTAAGGATATGTCAGTTTTTATTTTGGAAAGATTATATTTCTGATCTTTCGCACTCTCTTTACTGGCTGAGTTTATCTCATATTTACATTGTATTAATATATTACAGGATTTTTAGCGTTATGGGATATCCACTCGAAAAAGATTGGGAAAGCATCAGAATTATGCCAGAATATTCAGCATTCCAAAAAGATTTCCGCAAACAAAACTATGCAACAGCTTCTCTTGCCAAATATATGGATAAACACAAAATCAAACCTGATACAAAAGCATTTGCACTGGTATTGATAGATTTTGCTCTTCGTCTTTGCTCTAAGGAGCATTTTATTGTTATTTGCCATAAATGTATTGTAGTATGAATGTGTGTGTTACCATATATGGATTTTTATCACTGTATTTGAAGAAGGGATGTCTGAAATGTTTGGTATTCTGAAATTTTAATATCCAATCAAAGTTTGTACCATATATTCCATGAAAAACGAAATCGATTATGAAGTGAAATTTTAAACACCTAGTTAAACCTATATAAAACATACAGTAAATTTCCAAGTTTGTAAGGGTTTTGTATTATTCACCACAACATTGAACTTTGCCGCTTTTTTCTTCTCAGTTATCCAAGCTTCTAATCATGGATCCACAGAGAAGAATAACATCAGATATGGCTAAAGTTGATCCATACTTCAATGAAGAACCTATTCCTAATAAAGAGTTAGTATTTCTGATTAATCTTATATGTTCAATATTTGTGTCAACATTTAATTCCATTACTAGGAACACCTTGACATTCGTTACAAATACTTAATGTGTTAAAAATATTATTTTTGAGCATAATATGTTGGTTTAAAATTAAAATAAGGAGTATACCATACATTTCACTGGTATGAATTTTACATCAAAATTTATTCAATAGTTTTATTATTATTTGGGGAACAAATCGCTATTACGTGGGTAATAACCATCAACATTAGTACAAGCCTCATGTGCCAAGAGATGTATTATTGGGTTTTAACTAACTCCATTTAAAAAAAAAATTGAACTCATGCTATTCTCACACAGTGTGTTTGGCGCCGGCCCTATTCCTTATCCAAGAAGAGAATTCATAAATGATGAAGAAATTGAAGACAAAAATGAAAAAAATTTGAAGGTCAGTTAAAAATGAGAATATTGTGATCATCAGTGAAACAAAATCATTACATTGTAAAATCCAATGCAGTTAACAATCCTGCATATCCATGGGTTATAATTAGGGCTGGGAATGGTTAACGGTTATGACTTATTTTAACGGTTAACTGACATGTCAGGTACAAATCATCTTTATAATGTGCAATTTTTTCAAAAATGATTTCGTCATCGCAAATTTATCTCCTGTGGCGTTAACCCAATAAATGTGAAAAATAATTGAAATACCAAGATTACTGATTATAAAAATTTGGCAATGATAAATTCAGAATCGGTTGTTGGTCGAAATGTATATACTATTCACGATTTTATTGCAACATCGTATATTCAAAGTCACCCAACAAGTGCGCAGTTGATGCTGTTTTTTTTATGATATCTCCAGGTAGAATTTGCACATCGTCCACTAAAAATTTGTCACATAAAAGACATTTGATAACGGGATCTGGATTTACTATTCCGTATGTCTGAACCACACAGCGTATTTCTTGCAGCAGAGCGATCATGAAACTATCTCGATTCGTGAATGATTATGAGCGATACTGGATTTAAGATGAGGCGAAATTGCTTTGTAATCATTGTGACGTAACAAGCTATGTCACGCTGCGATTGACCGGTTAATTTTACCCGGTTAACAGTTGAAGTGTTTTCCCTGAATTTCCCAGCCCTAGTTATAATCACAATATACGGATTGGGTAAGCAAAATTGTAATGCTTATCTTTGTAGGCACAACACAGAGATAATGTGATGAACGATAATTCATCCGGTCAACCTCCATCAAAACGAGTTAAGTTTAATTCAGGAAAGAATGGACAAAACATGCATCAAGTAAGTCGGGACTCTAGAATGACATGACTGAAGTACTTTTAATTTGCATTGGAGTCCCGAGAGCAAATTCTAAAAATAAATACCTATTAGGCAGTCTTACTTAGCCTTACTGTTATTGTAAACCTGATTGATTGCTCAATAACTCAACAGCCTTTTCTTTTTTCCATCTTTATTGCATGGAATAACATTTGGTTACTCCACCATTTGGTCAAAAGCATATGAATCAAATAACTAGTTAACTATTTCCCTTACCTAGCCTAGTGGCTTCTAATCTTTCCTGATACATTTTTGCCTACCTACTTTAAATCTCTTTATTTCTTCCCACTAGTTAATAGTTACTCTGCTAAAAACTTCGATCTCTAATAGATTGTTAGCTAGTGTTACTCGCAACTTGCTCTCTGCTTTTACACACTTATATTTGGAGTGTGCAACATTTTTTCTCGGCTGGCCATATAACCAACTTCAGACAGCTTGCTGGACCACACAAAAAATGTAGTTTTTCAATGTACACAACGAATGAAAAAATTCCCATGATGCAAAATTTTAATTCTTCAACTTTTTAGTGAGAAACCTGAAATTTCAGTTTTTGAAGTTTTTGTTAACATCAGCTTTGACAGAAGGTAGCATTTTATGCTTGGTGGGGGAAAATCTGAGTGTTGACAAGGGCCCACTAAATAGCTTGGTGGGTCAGGTGGTGGTCCGTAGGCCACCTGTTGCTCACCCCTGGTTTAAATAATTAGAAACAACTTCACAAATAGTTATTCCAGTAATACTAAATGATTGAATAAAATTAGTAAAACAAAGTAATTTTTCTGTATATTTCGAAAACAAAAAAATTTCCCTGGTTTGGAAGCGCTGCCATACTTGATATAGACTGGAAACTGTACGAGAGAAGTAATGGTTTGCTACATTATTAAGTCATTGACGTCTTTCCTCACCCTAAGATAAATGATGAAATCCTTTTTCAACTATTATATTTTCTCACCAGGGTGTAAGGCAAGCTGGTGGGTATCAAGGTATGTCAGGTTCAAGTGGAAAATCTTTAGGTCAATCAACTTCACAACAACATCATTTACACAATCATATGTCTCAGACGATGGCTGGCAGTTCATCAGGTCATGGGTCACTTGGGCCACAACAGCCTGGACAGAGACCAATCACGCATCAAAAAAACATGTCTTCTTTTACTAATAGTAATAATAATAATACATCCGGGCATAATATGTATGGAAAATTTTAACAGAAAATTGAAAAAAAGCACTAAAAACCTCAAATGTACTAACACGAACCATGGAAAAATTAAGTATTGCGATATTTAACAATACTTCGAGATCTTTTTCCACAGGGGGTGGTGATGTGATTTATCTCACTATTTTACATGATATGATTCCATTTTGTTTCACTAATGCAGTTGCCAAACATATTTGTACTTTTGTGTTGTGGTGGTTAGCTCTTATATTGTTAAAACAGTTGATGAATCCTTGTTAAACCATGGCTGTTATCTGCTCAATATTGTAGATCATATGATTATATTCTCCTTCATTTCTGATTACTTGGCTCATAGTTAAGATACTCGACTAATAAATCTTATTTGCCAAGGACTTATTGCCCTTGTTAGGGCAGTGGTATTCAATCTGTAAGAGATGTGTAATCTGAAATAACCATCTATGATGAAATATCAATCTTTCACATCCTTCAATACCTTAAAGAAAGGTCAGCCACGTGTCTGTATATAAATATGAAATACAAGATGGTTTCCATAATGAATTTGAAATAACCTTAGCTTTATATTTGTGTTGTTACCTTTTTATGCTTTAATTTTCTATTCATCTAACTCAAAATACGAGGTGCTCTTTTCAATATGAATCTAATATTTTGTTCCTACTAGGAATAGCTTGCTCATAATTTTATCTGAGAGGATCTTTGACCTATTTGTTCAATATGACTCCGAATTCATATTGGTAAGTTTGATTGATGATACAGTTGGGATTCAGACGCATCAACAGAAGCACCATAGCTCTGGTTTTGATTCTGTGAAATATTCTCCTTTATTTACATTTGCGAGAGGACTGTTTATCCACCATGCTTAACTGTTATATACAGAAAGATGGAAAATGATATACCGGTATGCGCAATACTTGGTGTACAATTGTTCTACTCTACGGACTTTTACATTTTTTTTGGCCTAATGCTTTTACATTATTTCTCGTTTTCTGAATGCATTCAACATCTGATACGAAAGCTGACAGGAGAAGATTTGGTAGACTTTCAAAATATATTTTGGCTAGTTGATATTTGTTTTGTTGGTCGAAGGTATGCGGTCGCATCTTGTATGACTGTTGTGTCAATGCTTGATAGGTGGGCATACAAATAGTAATTAAACGTTAATACCATGAAAATCGGAAAAATGTTCAAAACACTATACGATGATCCCAACTAATTTTAAAAATATTTTTAAGTCGCCTACAAGCGCTAATTTTCTGCTCCTTAGGGTAACATTTATTACGCAATGATGGGACCGACCGTGACTGTTGCGTCACGAATCACGATGCGTTTTCACTTGGAGATGAGCCCACCGGCGCCAAAGCATATGTATAAGTGAGGCAATGAACGCCATCTTGTGCCAATTGTTCTCGGCCCGCTAGCACAGTGGTTTCCAACCTTTCTACTCTGGCTGACCGGGAAAATTAAATAAAATGTACTCGCGTACCGGCAAAAATTGAAATAAGTGGAACAGAAAATAATAACATATTATATATATTTGCGTGATGTCGGACAATCGCCATGTTTTTAGAAAAAAAGATACACTTAAAAACATTTCACATGAGAAATAACGGGGCTCCCGAAGTATGCGAACCAAGATGGCGGACATCGGAATGTAATATGTGTACTAGGTTAGGGTTAGGCCATAATGTTAGGTATAAATACTACGGGAGGCTCTTGGCTAGTCTTCGAACTGATAATAGGACTAAAATAAGGAAAATTGGAAAAAAATTATTGCCTAACCCTAACCTGTTACCCATGTTACGTGTTATGTCCGCCATCTTGGTTCGCATGCTTCGGGAGCACCGAAATAACTATCAAATAATGTGCCGGCTAAAAATGGAAATGGGTGAAACATAAAACAATAACAACCCATTATGCGTAAAAAGGCACATATCTCACATAAAAAACATGTATATACATGCCAAATCATGTACAAACACAATTAACTCCAGTGAGAACACTGCTTGTCACTACTGTTCCGCGGCGGTGTGGCTCATCGTGCTAAGCGTTCGGAATACGCTCACCACCGCATCTCTGATTACTCTGCGCGGGTTCGCATCCCATGCGGGGATAATTATCTCGAGAGGATTGCTGGGCCCTCGCCGCCGTAGGGTGGTCCACGTGACCGCTGGTCGGTTATGGCTTTCTCGCCATCAAGTCCATGCTACCGAAAACAAATAACTAAATAAACCCATACCCGAGTAACCCGACATGGAATGACAACCGGACGAGAGGCCGTGGTTCGCCATATGGTTGAGCCGTCTTATCGGCATTCCTCTCCCCCGGGTTAAATATGTAAATCCTATCTCATCCAATACAGGATTGGCAAAGAGGCATTAAAAAAAGGGTTTGCAACACGTAGCTCTGCAGCGGCTCGCAGTCAATTTATTTGCTTCGTTTTAATTGAAGCTAGAAGTAACTGGTGAAAATTCTGATGAACTGTCTGATTGCTTGATTACTCAGCGATTGGTATTCATTATCAAGAGAGCTCAAGAATGAATTGTGACAATGATTCTTTTATAAATCTGGACTGTATAGAGGTTTTATCGGGTTCATCATATCAATCCTTCTGAGGTTGATCGACGCCCCAAACAAAATTAATTTGTATTACAATGATAAAGTTGTTGCTAACTTGGCACACGGCTCAAAATCCCGCTGTGCATCACCCGGAAAATATCTCAGTTGCCCCCGCTCTTGTGACGCGTCTCGTGACCACCAGCAGGGTCGCAACAAGTTCATATCTCGCTGGGTGTCATGGTGAAGCCCTGGAATATTATACTGTTCTTGACAGTTTTTGGTTCAAACAAAAAAATATTCATAACCTTTTATTTGGATGGTAATATCAATCAAGAAAAGCATGCAGAGCGGAAACAGCACGCATGCTGATTTCCAGGTTTCTGAATCTTGCCATATTTGACGGAGCGCTTTCGCGTTGAATCGGAACCGAAAAAGCGAAAAGTGTGATTACTCGACATCAAGACGTCGCCGGGCCATTAATACCGCACTTTTTAATCACCAAAATGGCGACGGAAGAAAAATTTCGTAATAAACCGACGTAACTTCGTCTTCGGTATAGCGATTGAGACGGTAGAAAAACAACAAAATGAAATTTCCCGCGGACAGGCGGTTCGCAACCACTGATCTAGCACGGCGCCTTATGGGAATTCCGCACAACTATTGGAACATACCTATTATTTTCACTAATATTTTAGGTAGGAAGATCATGAAAGTCGCGTTTTGAAGGAGAATGTTAGCCGAACACGTTGGTATTCTATGATGTTTGCCAAATTACATTTATAGTGCATTGAATTGTCTTAAACAAGTATACCGGCGCCGAGTTGCATTCGAATTGGATTTGGCCATTCCTATCGTCATATTTGACGATGACCTTATGATGCCACAAATGGGAAGTGGTTTTTATTCAATTAAAGAGTCACAACACAAACGTATTTCTGTAACGTTCCGTCCGACCAAAGTCAGACTTCCTCAGAGAAGCAGTTTACAACAATGGCAAGAAATGTTCGGTTCCGAATAGATGCTTTATTGTAGTTTCCAAATATATACACAGAATACAATGTATACTGAAGATTCCAGAAGATTTTTACACATAATCATATCCCATGGGATTCGAATTTGCGAACGAATGGCTGCTAATGAGGGATTTCATGTTACACTTCGCAAAATTACCAACCGCCCATATTAAGGGATTTTCAAAATGACAGTCCATAACAGTTATGCATAATTGTATGGGGAATTCGTACAGGCTTATTTTGGGAAATTTTCAAGTAACGTTTGGGTATCATTTGCACAAATTTGCACAAAAACGCTGATGACTACACACTAACTGTCCCTAGTCGAGTGTGTTAATTTGAGGGTAAACATAATGTTTTGATTTGACTATAAGAGCGCCTATGTGTCGACGTGGAATTCAAATAAATGGAGTAGACTACTTGGTACTTATTTCTGTTTTGGGGTTAACTGTAGGCTATTGGTTATACTTCATAATGAAATTACGTTCTTGTATTATGACTACGTCAACGGTGCCCGTACATCCGAACCCACTTACATTTGAACCCATGTGTATATCCACGGGTTCAATCTATGTGCGGGTGGTAAAACCCATGGGTTAGGGTTAATATGGGTTCAAATATCCGTAAAACAAAAAAAATTCCACAAGTGCAATAGTATGCAGGTGCAATTGTCGTGGGTTCAAATTCAAATGTAATGGAACCTTACGTGAACATCTTGAAATCTGTGGTAAATTTTTCCAAAATGTAGCACTCCGGATGAACTTATAAAAATCAGAACGGTCAAAAGTGACCTTAGTGTCAATTACAGAGAAAGTTTGTATATACTTTTAAATTCAATCGTGAATAAAGTCAATTTGTTCACAAAGTATCCTCATTTTTTCTGCTTGTAAGACATTTTATTTCGTGACTAGTGAACTGGCGGTGAGGTGATTGCTTGAATTTTCTGAAATGGTATTCCTTAGTATCAATATCAGTTGGTGTCATGTCAATAATATTTGAGATTTTCAATAATTATATAGATTTTATATAGATCATCCATATAGCAGACAACATAAGAGTTGTAATCGAGGAAATCCTTTTTCGCAGTAATGTTAGGGATAATAAATAAATAAAAATGACAGATACAAAAACATGCTGTTAAAAAGAATTCTTGTTTCGACAGACATTGGCTTTTTAAAAACCGATAAATAAATCAAATACAATTTTTAACGAAGATTTTCAATCACTTTCTTGGAAGTAATAATTGAGTAGCGGGAAACGTACATTATCGCACTGACTGTTAATGTAAGGCGTATTACCAGTGACAGTAAAATCAATACTTCCATCTTCATAATTATTTATGGATATATGGCATCGAAAGTTATGAGTCTGATCAGTTTGCAAAAAAAAAAATTCAATTAAATTTTGGGTTCGCTCTTTTTCAGATCTTTGGCGTTATTTTAGAAATAGTAGATTATTCATTTAATAGATGGGACAAATGAAATCGCCAGAGGTGCATTCAATAACCAATCCAGTGCGACAACAGCGTTTTAGATTAAAAATTTTCGGTGTAATTTCTATTTTTAGGTGTAACATTCGCCCAATCCTCTGTTAGAAATTTTTAGGTATTATAACATTGCATGCTACAATTTTTTTTTTTTCGTTAAAAAACAGTTTTATAAATCATATACTAAATTATAAACGAACTTACAGTCAAATTCTGAGACCAGTTAAATCCCTAAGCTAATGTGTTCTCTAAGAAGGTTATTAATTTTGCCAATAAATACGTTTTTCTTCGATACTTTCAAGTGTTTGGAAACACTATCTATAACTATATCGTGTAAAGTGAATTTTTTTTCAGTACAGATTCACGCATTGGTGCACGTTACGGTATTGTAACCCTAGGTTTTACAGAAGGATTTTACAGCGAATTGGTAAAGTATCGAAGATTAATTGATGAATCTCTGGGGATCCTCTGAATGTATTTGCAATATGTTGTCTGTTTACAAACACAATTGCAATTTGTCTGGCCAATCTTAGGCAATGGACTGAATTTGCAATTTTGAACTAATCGGTGTATTCCGTGCAGAACAATTATATACACATTTTAATATTAAGTGATATGAGACATATGGCACTATATGCGCTTGATGGGTCACGCCGTCATCAAAATGTATTTTTCAGATAATTTTAATCCAAAGGTAAATCCATTTATTTCAACTAAATTATAGCTTGCTTATAATATATAAGAGTAGGGGATTGTTGTACTTATGTAATAGATCAATATTGTGTTTCGAAAAAATCTCTATCACGATGTATTGGAAAAACTGGATTAACCTTTAATCCTCATCTCACATTAAAGGGAGATTTTGGTTGTACTCCACTTCTTCATACTTTTGCAGTTCAACTACTAGAAATGTAGTCGATTTAGAAAATTAGGATTCCAAATACTTTCAACGAGATTTCAAATTTTTGTTTAGTTTGTAACTTAGTAACATGTGTTGTGACTTGAAATAAAATTATCATATTGAGAACGGGAATAAAGTGCACTACGTGTGCGAGGTATGCGTGTGGTATCCGACTACCAAAATGGCAGAGGGCTGGAGATAGCACTTCCCAAATAGTTGGGTATTTTCATATGTATTACATGTATTATTGAAATTACTGTGATTTTAATATAATCTAGAAACTGTCAGTTGTAGATTTGTATTTGTCAGTACTTATTGGGCTTATCAAAAGAAAGAAATCCTTTGTGCCGATACATCGGTATTCATCTATTGATTATATCGGTATTAGATCAATCAAATTGGAAAGCTAATATCTCCCATATTCATCTCGCCAATTGACAACCCAATTAAAATCTGGAAATCAGGATAGATTTGAGCAAATAAAAAGCATTCTGGAAATCCGCATATTTTATTGTATGACAGTTGTACATATTTCGCTTTTCAAATAGGATAGGATAGGATTTACATATTTATCCCAGGGAAGAGGAACAGGGGAGAGAAGACGGCTTAACCATATGGCGAACCACGGTCTCTCGTCCGGGTACCATTCCATGTCGGTTATGGGATTAGTTAGTTATTTGCTTTCGGAAGCATGAACATGGACCGGAAAATTCAATCGTAATTGGTAATTTTACATAATCGGTACTGATGCTCACCGCAGAAATTAACGATATCGGATCGGAACGCCCGGCCAAGTTATTCAATTACATTATGAGATTTTATATTTACGAAAAATACCTCATTCTATCGGGACCGCAGCAGTCGTTTTTAAAGTAAAAATCTTATTAAAAGCGACAACTTAAATTAACTTAACTGTATACTAGATATATTTTAGTGCTAAACCGTGTTGTGGTGCGCAATGTTTCAATTATGGCTAGTTATTATTCATTTATTCAATTTCCGAAGGTAATGGAGCGTGCCTGTACTTGACAGCATCGTAGAAAATGAAATACATTGACCCAAGCGTGCTACGTCATTCTGGATTTGGCCGAGTGTACAGACACAAGTTACAACCCTGAATGATATATCACGCGTTTTGTGAGTCATTGAATTTCAAAGAAACTGATTATTTTGTTTCTGTTGTTTAATTTATTTTCTAAAATATTTTTGACAATATTCATTCATATTTCATTATAGATAATTGTTTTGCCATTATTTGGATATGTTTGCTGGAAGCTTGATACCCATATATAAAAGGTAACATTAATACCGATTTTGCGCAGTACGCCACCACTTCTGATACGAAGCACCATCTTGAGAGCCGTGAGAATAATTGGTATACGCATTGATGATCATCTATAGCTAGGTCGTCATATCGCATTTTCGCGATGACATCAAGAAAATGTAAACCTCGATGACTTTAAAATGACATGAGCCAACTAGGTTACTCCTCGTCAGAAGAGATTGCTACAAATTTGCGTGTAAAAATGTGTTATCGTGATATCATTGATGTGATAGTGAATGAATGAGATCAAACGGAGATGGGAAATTATACCGGAATATACATTTTCGACAATGAGCTCAAAATGAAAAATTTTGCCGTATATTTCTTTAACAATAAATTTAACATTGGCTTCCGAAGAAGTTCTTTCAACTTATATAAATATTCTCCGCGGGTTATACCCCAAAGTTTATCTTCAATTACTCATTGCTTTTTTTCGGGCTCGTTAACTTAAACTGCCTCATGCCTTGCGTCGATTGGCATTTGCTGCTGGTTTGTCACGTAGTTTCAGTACTTCTTGGTACGGGTAGCCGCCCGTTACTTTGCTCAAAGATGACTCTAATTTACTTCTGAGTGAATACGAGTTACATTGTATTGAGCAAATTTTCTTTGTAGAGCATTTCATGGACTCATTCATTATTAATAATTTTATCTATATATATTTTTTTCATTTTAAACGTTTCATTTTTTATCACAAAGGCCTAATCTATAACACTAATTACTTTTGGTTTCACTCCCAGGTTTACTGATTTATAGATAATATTTAATAAATTTCAAGCAACCAGTAAAACATATTTGTAAACGTTTTGCGATACATCAGAAGTAAAGATATTTTGGAAAATGGAATTCAAGTCTGTCGTAAGTATATATGTCGCATGGATCTTCTAGTAATTTAAACATTTGTTTTATTAGTGAAATTGTCTTGTAATACTCGTTGATAGTGATAATATTAGCAAAATTCATGCACGAATGAATTATTTTTCTATATTTAGTTATAAATTGTAATTGTCGTGCTATAGATATTCCGCCTCGTTTTATTATCTCATCAATGAGACGAATAATGTTATCGCTATGCAGAATCGAAAATTCAAAAACGTTTTTTATTGATAGTTTAAGCGTATTCGATTGATTCGATTCTAATGGAGGATATATATACAACTGACATATTTGTCACGAAAAGATTTTTGTCGACTAGAAGTTTGTAATTTAACAGTTGTGAAAATATCATATTTTAAAAATTATTCAAGATAATGGCTATACTTTAATCCTGCGTCTTTGGACCACACACTTTGTTTCGGTTTCAGGTTCATACTGGACCCGAAAAACAGCCCAATTGGCGATTTATGTTTTGTCTTCGCAGAGAAGGGGCGTATTTGTACTTTTGTATTCGCCGTTTTTACTAAGGGTAGTGCGAGCCGCGTGTTGAGAACCCCTGTTTTATTGTATATTTTTAGTTCCATTATAACTTCACTTGTGTACCGTTACTTTTCTTCATGTCATAACAATTTAGTAGGCTAATCGCGAAATGACGTGTTATGACCGTGAATGACAGTCAACGACTTTTTCCGGTCACTGAAAATTTGTAAAATTTGTAACTACACTTGCATACATGGTATAGTAACTGCGTGGTATAGTATATGACATATAGCAACATCTCTCCAAAATCGAATGTTGATATAAAATATTTTTCTAACCAATCGAATAAAAAAAATAACATAAATATTTAGTAAGTACAATATTTTGTGGGATGTAAATATTTTCTGTTAGCTTGCTATTTATATCAAAATAAATAAATTAAAATTGGATTGGCTTAAGAATACGCGTATTGATGTAATGCTCAAATGTCAATGAAATAATCATATTTTAAATAATGTTGAGAATTTGTTTATAAAGTTGAACCCTTTCAACGCTGCCATTTGAACATTCCACAATAATAAATGTTGGCCCGTTTTATGATGTTATAATTCGATTACTAAGCGCGACCTCGTGCAAATTTCACAAAGTCATTGTCTGGTTCTATGGAATAAATGCCATCGATCTTGATTCGTCGTACCTAAACTAAATTTAATCGCAATCTAAATAAATTCCTTGAGCTATTTTTTTAGTTGAAGCATCAAAATTTGGTTTTACCTTGATTGTGGCAGCATCAGGTGGGCCAGATTGAATTACTTGATTGGCCTCAGTTTGTAGATGACAGATTTAAATGGTGTTTTTGCTTTAGCAAAGTTTTTTTCAAGCACGTTATCAAACTTCTAACGCTGTTTATCAGATAACCATGCTGATGTTGTCCATTGTTATCGTCTGTGCTGTATTGATCACCAATACAGAGGGAAGAATTCTACCAGATTTTGAGAATGAACAACGAAGATCAGGACTACGAGAATATTTGTTCGATAAAAAAGCTTATGGATTTGGTTATTCTTGCTCAGCTTCAGTTTGCTATCATTGTAGTGATATTATAATGTCTGGAAGAAGAAAACGATTTGGTAAATGAGCAAATATGTTCTCAAACTTGCTAGCCTATAACGATAAGAAATTAATGATTCGTAACCGATCGGAATAATGAATTTAATAAGTGAAGAACAATAATTTGCACCAATGTAAAATAAATTGAAAATTGTCTAGTTTTCAAATATGTCATAAAAAATAGAATACAAAGTAAAATGTGCAAAACTATATCATTGTCCACGATGTACATATGGTTTATATTGTTAAAAGTTGTGCCAAATCAAATCGGCAACCGATCAACTGACTTTTGGGATTGCCAACTCTGTCATCAGAGCGTTTGTGTCAGTCGCCCTGAACGACATTTTATTAGAAACTTTACAGTTCATGTTGAATGTCAAGCTAACCAAAAACATTGATAGATGACCAAATTTGGCTTGAAACAGCGATTTTAATTTGTATTCCTATTCCTTGCGTTTACTAATATACGCCTCTTTATCTTTTTATCTTATCAGCCCCAGAGTCCGATGAAGACATTTTAAATGGCAACTTCAGATCAGGAAATCGTCCAACAAGAGGTTTCGAACCACACGAAGAAATATCGGTGGAAGCAAGGGCCTTTCTAAACACGTGCGTTGCGTGTCGACCAACGTGTGGCTTCTAGTTCGATTCGGTTTGAGAAAAAAAACTACCCGGAATGTAAAAAAAAAAATTGTTATATTTATCTTACGATTTCTTCATAGTTCAGAGAGTGGAAGCACGAACAATTTTACCCACTTTTACTTGATAAATGTAGGTCCAGAAGTGACGATTTTCATTTGACAATTTTAGCATCTTGCGATTACTAAGTGTGTTTATGAATCTATGTTTCAAAGCAGTTAAAATAATTTCACATATATCATGATTCAACTGAACAACTGATATGTTTGGAATGAAAACAAACTGCTAAATTGAATTCTAAAGCAACATAGAATTTGAACATAGTCGGTTTTAAAACACGAAAATTTTTTATCCTTAGATACAGAGTTCTACTGGATTCTCACAGTTTCGCATTCATTATCAGATTATCGTAATTTCATGATTTCTCTGCCACAGCATAATCACACGGAAACAACTAAAGTAACAGACTCGTAAAATAAAAAATTCAATCTCTCAATATAGAATATTTGTACCGTTTTAACTTGTTTGAAATAAATATATCAAATGCAATAGAGAACCCATGTTTTGTCTTATTTATGCCGTAAAACTCGCTAGTGGCTCGATAAGTTCAATTTACTCGATATATCAAAGCGAGCACTAAGGAAGAATTATCAGTGTCCAGGGCTTGGACACAGTCAGCGTACTGGTTTATTTGAGTGGTGAATATAGAAGACATGTGGCTTTTTATTCAGATAAGACTGCTAGGAATTTTAACTGCCTCTCTTACTCTTAGACGTTGCGTGCTGCTATTTGCGTACAATTATAGAATGATATTTATGTTTATGATCATATCGTTTTGCTAAACTGTTTGTTGTTGTTGTGGTTGAGAAAATTGTTTTTCTTCAAATTTAATAAACCAATCCATTACAAATTTTCCTTACTGAAATGAGAAAGTCGCTAGAAATTTTTACCCATCCAAAATATGGCACGACAATAATTCACGATACACGCTCAGTACAATTCTTTTAACATTAATCTTATTTTGCTCGGACATTTACCTCCTTGTATATATTTAGGCATTACTCTCTAGGTACCTATATATATCTAGGTTTAGGCTATTTTTCCCTCAGGTCTTGATCCCAATGAATTAATAACTACTGCGCACAATTTTATCTTAATGACGTCCGGTGTAAAGTATCAGGTCATTGCCATTATTCTAATTACTCTCGCAAAATAATTCATTTTTCTGACGTGAGGATAATTTCTATTGTGCGTGTCGTTAGATGGCAGGACACATTATCAAATTCTTGAACTTATTATTATCAAGATTATTTTTTCCACATTAAATTTTTTATCAGCAGACATAATGTTGCCTAAATAGTCTGCTGGCATTTTGGCTATCTACATTTTGTTTATATATATATATATATTAGGGGCTTGCATTACATTAAATATGTCAATTATTATGTAGCGTATATACATGCAGGCCGAGGGTGCCAATGACATGCGAAAATTTTATTGAAGATAGGATATTCATATTATGTGTCCAGTAACTATTACAAAGATTTGAAAATTTACATATTGTTGCCAATTACAACAAGCAGGTAAAAGTAATAATCAGAATACGAATGAAGCCCTATTTGATAAAGTATCCTTAGAATGCAGCATGCGATGATCAGGCGCCAGGACATTCTAGGATTGACAATTGCTGTTTACCACATACGGGCCAGGCCAACAGCCAGGAATGTCCGACATTTTCCGACAAGAACTGTATATATGGGCTGGTCATGAAACTAATATAGGTCCCAACTGAGTTGGATAGCCTGCTATATTTCAACCAGCCAACCCAAAAATATGCGACAAACATATTGCTTACTGTAATTTTATTTAAATATCCAAGGATTTATTCGAATAATTGCTCAATCAGAAATAACAAAAACAACGTCTATTTCAATTAAAGTTCTTCTTTGAACTGGACTGAGCCTTTTAATTTGTCTTTTAATAGTTTCTTTGCTGCAGTAATTCTTTCATCTTCATGTTTATATTTCGAACCAGGTTTTCTTGATTGGTTTACTGAAATGCTGTAAATTGAATATTATATTATTGGTTAAGAATTCAAAACTCGCTTAAAATAAATGTTAAAAATGCACAAATCACAAATTTTTTTAGGAGACAACTCTTGATTTTGTCCTATCTGGGTTAGTTTTATCATCGTGCTGCCTGAAATCCGTTGAGTATACCCAATTTTAAGGTGACAATTTTTTTAAATCGTTTTCAAGGCAAGCTTGGAATAACTGATTATCATAATATAATCTAAATAATTACAGAATCATCATTGTTACATAGTTGAGGCATAGACGAATGCTCGACAGAAAAACAAATTTTTGAGCACCCACCCTCTAGATCTTGGCATGTCAGAGATTTTACCTCAGAAGTAAGTTCACTTCAGAGTGAGTGCACATTAATTTGCTTCGAGACAATTATCACAATAAATAATAGTATTGAACTATTCAGTATCTAGTTATTCGAAAAAAAAATACATACTTATCTGCCAATTTTATCAATGAGTTTATTACGTTTGTTGCTTTATTCATATCATATTTTGTTTGTTGCAATTCTGAAAAATGGGGAAAATGGCAATTTAAATAGATGAATATACTGACTGGATATCTGTAGCTTATTCAAGTACAATCATTGAAAACCTAGGGTCAAGAATGAATTGGCACGGCACAGAGGGTGGGAGGTATAGCAGAATCACATGTAAATCATGGTTGTGTACCATTTTAACAGCGAATGACATATACGCGATAAATATATGTTTCTTTATCTGGATATTAAGTTAATAAACTTGACAATGTTAACATTAATTTGCTATTTCGATGTAAATAATTGAAATCGTATAATAGATATAAATCATGAAACGGCGATATACCTTCTAACGACCGAGCCCCAAGCATTTTATAAAACAGCTCTTCGAAGTCGGGACCTTTAAGCTTGGTGTTAGCTTCAATAAGTCGAAAGAGCTTCATGCCGTCAGTTTCGCCATTTCCCCTCCGAAACAGACCCTCAAATTCGTCGGATAAAACTGAAGCAAAATAGGAACATTTGACATTTTCGGCAAAAAAATAGGAAACAAATTTATCTGCTAAAGTAAAATTCAACAACATTGCCTGTGTTATTAGAAGCTCATAATACAAAGAAGGTTGAAACATCTACGGTAACTTGGACGTTTCTGATCAATTATTATTGGCTCAATTGTGGAATAATTTCAATTGGTGAATATTTGCGAGATCAATATTAATATATATATAGATATAAAATGAAATCTAAATATAATAAAAACTCACCAAGATCAATCAATGAGTCCCCCGACTAAAAAAGTAAATTAAATTGTATAAATTAGTATGTTCAGTATTAAAAATGGTAATAAATTTCTCTATATTATGTCACTCGTTTAGGAACTATACCACATATTTCATTTGTTGTACTGAATTTGGAACAAACAATAGACTTGGATTTTATGAATGCGAATATGTAGGCCCACTTGTAAACTTTGCTATATTATTGCCCAAAACACGTATTCCAGGCGTCGAAACACGATCGATGCAAAACTTCCCGAATAAAATAGAATTGAAAAATTTCTACCATGGGACACGTCATCAGCAATAGGTTAAGTTTCCGGTATTTTGTTTTTATTTTACGAAGATGAGAAGTTGGACGGATGTTTTTCCCCGACTCGTGTCGTCAGAAATATTCTTCCTACGCCTCACCGTTGATAAATTTTTGTTCGGGTTTGCGCTTGCAATATGGGTGGCATGTTCATAGCCATAAGTTCGATTGAAAATATTTAACCATTTGTCATTCAGACGTACTAAACTAATTTTAGGGTGGAACAGCCGCAGCTTTTCCGGAAATACTTTTTGATTGCGATAACTAGACTAAAACTCTTCGAAAATAAAATGACAATTAACTCATGTGAAAACACAACTCTAAACTGTGAAATAGTATGCATTATGCTTTATGCAACACTATGACAACGAGTCCAAATCCACAACCATGCTCGAATTCGTCTGCGTGAAAAATGCCGCTACATAAATTTCATTGTTACGTCACCGTAAACGTTTTTCTGATTGGTTAATTATTACGGACATGAACAAGAAAAAAGTATAACAGGCCAAGCCATTGAGCTATGGATGTTCACGGTCTAGGTAAGTCATTTTCTATTTTGTTATGTTTAGAATCGAAGCGATCTATACACCGCCACCATAACGGTATCACAGATTATAATATACCAAGAACTGTACTTACCTCCTTTATAAAAGATATATCGATCCCAATACATAATGAGACTACGTGCAATATAACAGCACTAAATAGTAAACCATAACTCTTTCCTGTGCGTATCATTCTTATCTGGTATTTGTCAAGACTGATCAATCGAAAACTAACGTGAAAACATGGTTCAAGCTACAATACTGTTGGACACATCAGATTTTGGGCCGCATCACGCCTCGAGGCATGCAGACCAAAACAACAAAAGCAGTGCTCAAAATTTAATATCTATTATACAAAAGATCAGGGATTAGAAATATAAATTTGTTTTGAACAATGGTGATAATTGGTAGTAAGGCCCACCGCCCACGGCTAGTTTCTTCCACTGTGCAATTGCGTCGCCCATGTACTCTGCAAATTATTAAATCGCATACATCAGACAAATCGCATAATCTATTGAATGATTAGCCAAAAAGTATCGGCAATTTTATTGGTGTATTTGTAACTACAAAGTTCGTGACTACAGGGAATGACATAAAACAGCAATAGCTGATAGCGTTTCACTATTTTCAAGTCATTCTAAAACTTCAAAATCATTTCGACAGAATAGCCTTCTATGGCTTTTCTGTATTTTTGGATATATTACCGAAAAATCAAGCGAAAAGATTTTTTCAAAGACATTGTCTTGACATGAAATCTTCGGTATTATTTAAAATCGAATGAAACAGAGCCCATTAATTTTTATTATTTCAAATTTTCCAAGTTTCAACAACGTGTTCAATGTTTACAAACGAAACGAAATCAGATAAATGCAAAGAAAACACAGTCATTGAAAATGCTTGAAATCAATTCCCAATCTATTCCCTCAATCAGCATTTGTTATAAACAATCACATTTGGGTATCGTTTGCATGGTGTGCAAAAAGTCTCATTTGACCCTGAGAAGAGACTGTGTGAGATAGGGCACATTGTATACAATGTAGGTCAGTGTCAATGTCTATAGATCTGATTCTATATATATTTTTAAGTATTTTCTTGAAAAAATCTTAGTTTATTTTTCCTAAACGCCATCTGCTGGAAATTTGTTCGAAGATGTCATACTTCTGATTGAATGTTTGTTCCTTCAGATTCTTTGGATTTAATATTTATTTCCTCTCCAACTGTTCCACTGACTACTCACCAACTCAATCTATCCCTACATATACATATTTGCCAATGTTACGGTTTGACCATCTTTATCACAACATATAATACATTTTGTTTGTTTATTTATTACACTGCACTTGGAAATATGAGGTTGAATTGAGGTCTACAAAAATGATTATTATATTATTATACTTCCAACAGTATATGCTATTTACCAATAAACTCTTAGGATTTAAATTCTTTTCATGTCGCCGTTAACGCTAGTTATTTCAGTCTTTTTACAAATATGTTATGTAGAAATAATGAGCGAAAGCCAGTTGGTACAGCAGTACAAAATACAAAAAAAAAAAACAGCTACTATTTATAAACGGACACTAGATGGTTGTGCTTTTATGAATAATAAAACGTTTTGTGCAATTATAATTCGTCTTTCTGTTTTTCTTCTTTAGTTTTTTCCGATGGCCGCCGTCCAGCATCGTTAGGTGCTCTGAAATAAAACCGATGAATGAATATTTATGGTGTGGGGTTTGCCAATATTATGTATAAAAAACAAGTAACCTCTTTCAAAAGTTATGTCATAGCAAAATCAATGTACTTACCCTTGAAAATGTTTGATCACCAAGTTCATAATATCGACAGCTTTTTCTAATTTGTACTTGATTCCCTCCAGCTCTGAAAAATCAGCAATTTATCAGTTGTTATAGCTTTGAGGGTACAGACGCTTTGTACGGGGTGAACAGAAAATTTGTTCTAGTACGGACTGTGAAAATCTACCGAATACTATACCGTTTTGCAGTATTACAATTTGGCTGTTTGCTGGGTTCTGAAAGTAATGTTTAGGGGGTGATATATGTTTATTTCGGGAAGAGTCATGCATCTGCGGACAATTCAGATAATATATTTTGGTGTCCGCAAACTTATCACGACAAAATAGCCGTTTCTAAATATTTCGTCTGAGTAGTTATAACCACCGTTTAGTTTTCATCAAAAGCTTTTATTTAAATTATCAAAAACTTTCAACCCACAACATAACAAGAATTATAGAGTATGTAGGATTCGTATTTTTTACCTTCTTTTGATTCCACTTCAAGGACTTCATAGAATACATTAGTAAGATATTCTGGATCTATGTTAGTTTCTTTTGTGCAATATTCAAGAATAGCTAAAGCTGTTGCTTCTTTTTCTTCTCCAAAGAAATTGTCATCAAATTTTGAGGAAAGTGCTATAGAAAAATGTGTTACAAGTGAACGGGAAGAACATAAGTGAAGCACTTCAACTCAATGATGCAGTTCAGGTCACTGCAGAGAGGTTAAGATATAGGCCTATTTTTGTATATATACTAAGTATATCTTTGGTCCTGTTTATCTCGTATATGCCCTACAATCTAAGAGCCTTTCACTCTCCGTATTTTGAAATACCACATTGATAATTCAATGAGGTTATACTTTGTCGTTTAAAATTTCTTTTGTCATCCTACAAACAAGCAGTACATATATATCTTATAAATAAAGGCAAACTTGCTGGAGAAATGTGATAGTAAATTATGTTAAAAATAACTTACTTGCATCTATAAATTCGTTGAGTGACTGAAAAATATGAATAAAATAAATTCAATTGATGAACAACAGACATAATGAAGCGAAAAAGGGCAATTAATATGCATTACTTACTATTTTTGTTTCTGGGCCTGCTTCTGACGCATTACATAAATAGAATAATACATAAACGGTAAAAACAATATATTTCATGGTCAACAGCTAAGGTACAGCTTTGCACAAACAACAAATCTTCTGTATTTGCAGCTATTTCTCAAATAACGTAAATTGATATTGGCTATATCAGACTAAAGCTGTCAGTCAAGATTACACCAGTACTCGATTCAGCTGCTTGTTGCCTGAAGCAATGAACTTTAGCTTCGGCACGCCGGTATAGTGATGACGTGTTACAACGAGTTCGCAGCACGTGTAAGTCAGGGAAAAACTAAGTCACTTTCCAAACAACGTGGCACGCAGCAGTTAACTGTATAAGTTACCTGTACAATTGTATAAGTTAAACTTACATCCGGTGAAACAGTTTTATGCAGAATGGCGCTGAAGACAACTTAGATTTTGCGACACTGGCATGCTGTATCTATGACTCTACACCCATCGTTTTTTACGTTAATGTCAAACAAACACTAATTATTGAAATCGACACTAAGGCGCCAATCAAGTCATTGTTTTTTTTTATTAGTACTATGCAAATACGGTAGCACATAGACGTAACGCAATACGTTAATCAGAATATCGAGTTTCGCCTTTTAAGCCATGCATATCTTGTTGAAATTGTATTATTATCTAATGTTTAATTAATCACTGTATGTACATGGCGTCTATGAAACCGTTCTTTTTCAGGTTGTTATTGCCAACATTTAATCTCGGTGAAAAGCTCTGGCAGAATGGCTTTTTAACACTTTTCTTACTTTGTAACTCAATGCTTTTTCCCATGCCAGCTGAAACTAATCTGAAAAATTTCTTCAGCTTACTGGTAATAGGTCATGACTGAACAAGAAGTTTGTCAGAAACTGTCGTTTTTGTATGGGATCAATAGATACTGAAATAAGCTAATTTGAGTTTTATAAAGGCAGTCTTTTGATTGAGTCGCGTTTACTCAATCTCTTTCTCGATAATTCGTTCAAACACATGATGCGTTGTTTTTCAAATAAAGTAATTTTACACGTGAATGCAATGAATTGATATTTATTAAAATAATAATAATCTACTCCATTCTAGGGGCCTCGGTAAATAGTTGGTAGTCGACCAGTCTAAACTGATCAACGGTTACAAGAATACAAGCATCAAGACACATGACATGCTTTGCCAATGAAAAACACACACACACGAAACTCTTTGCTGAAATAGGTAAATACAAGTAAGTATCAGTATTTGCGTTGTCTAATTTTATTGAGTTGATTCTTTTCAGATCCAGGAGTCAGTAATATAGTTGATTGTGGCGGCACATAACAAGATGTTCATTTATCAAAGCTCGATTCTGCTTTGTTTTTCTCCAGCCTTTTGCTCTTGTTCCGGTTCGTCTTTTTTAGTCGATCTGGGTTCATCTTCTAATGCTTTCTTGTTTTTAGCTTCTTCTTCTTTTTTGGTCTTTTCCTCTACACCTAAATCTTCAGACTTGGGTCTTCCGCCATAGGGATTTCTTAATAATAACGTAACGGTGAAGAGATTTACAAGAAAAAATAAAAGAAATGTCTTTCTGCTTTGTTCCATGGTTGCTGTTTATAGCAATTGATTTTCACTTGCTTATCATTATGTGCCAAATAAATTAGTTATGTATCAGTTGACGTATAGCGAAATGGCAGCAATTATTATTACCCTATGTAAGTCTGCCCGTATCTAGAGATATACATATATATAAAATATGTGCGAGGTGATTTAACGTATTCAGTTTTGTTTTTGCCTTCGACGTTCTTCAGCAAACATTGTGGATGCAGCATTTGTCGAAAAACAACAAATGAAGAACTAACAATAAACTTTTTGGCCATATTTTTGTTTTATCGTTGTCCGTTTTTATAGATCTATTACTATCTTCACGCAAATAACAACTTACTGTTGGAAATGATTCAAAACATTAGACATCAATATCATTGCTCCATTTTCATCGTACATTTTTTCTTCAAATTCTGAATAAATTCATTCGAAGCAATTTAAATGGATGGTTTGGGGAACAAATAAGAAAATATTTGAAAGTGTTAAATTGCCACGCGATGGCGCAGTGTTTCATAAGTAGAAAAATTTAAATTGCCCCAAGGAGACTATATATAGTTGACAAAATTAATACCATATCGGACACTGCACACTCTTTGGCGATTGAATAATTTAAAGCTTTGTTCCAGTAGTAGTGAAGATTTCTTTCATCTCCAGAGACATTTAGCAAATCTATTCATCGGTACGTTTAGTGTATTAAATGATAAAATGAAATGTCAAAAACGTAACATGCGGATGTTTTAATATCTTTACCTGTTTGACTGTTCACTTTGGTAACTTCTGAAAAAACATTTGTCAGGTATCCAGGTATAATTTTTGTATGTTCCAATACAAATTTCAAGAGTTCCATAGCTGGTACTTTCTGGTCGTGTGTTACACCAAATAATTCTAAGAATTCTTTGCTCGTTGCTGTTAAAATAATTCGGATAATGTATCGACATATGGTGATTGGAGTATTATAAAAATTCTAGTTCAATGCTTATCTATGACTAATATGATTTTAGGTACGTCAAGACCAAATAAAACAAAATATATAAATATATGCAATGCAACAACCTTGCAAAATTTTCGAAAGTTTAACAATCTGAAAAGGCTAAAATCGCTGTATCATTATATTAGTCACATGCGGCTCTTTGAAAAATTAACTTACTTGCATCCATGATTTCTTGCATCGACTGTAAAATGAAATTAAAATCATTGAGTATTGATGATGAGAATTATATGACATGGTCATTTTAACTCCTAACATTTTGTTTTATTTTTGCCTAATCAAGCTATCTCTGTAGGGACCATATATTACTGGAATGCGAAAATTTCAAGAAATAACTCGATAATTTAGTTCCGTGGACTGTGGTCATCATTTCGGTATTTCTTTCTGTGTAATTTTTTGTTACCTTGCCTCGAGCTAATACTAAAAACAGTATCAGCACAAAACTTTGCATAAATATTTTGATGTTCGATGCGAATGCTAGACAAATTATCACTGTTAGTTTAGTTTTTCCATTTAAAGGCTTTGTTTTAATTTAGAAACGTTTCTGGGAAACATATAATATTGTAATTTCTACACATACCGCATATTTATTTGTCGTTAATTACGATAAAAATTTCTAAAAATAATACTAATCATTTTTATACGCAATTATTGTGCAGTTTTGTAAAATTATTTTGAATCATTTCTATATAAAAGCAAGTAGCCTAGGTTACTTTGCTGTTCTCTAAAATATCCCCGCTTATGGATGGGGGTTCTAAATCATCCAATTCATCTAGTGTAATGGCATTTCTCAATTCTTCCGGTAGGTCTGGAGAATCCTCGTTATATGCGACTCCGACGTTGGGATCCAACAGATCGTCTTCAGTAACACCTGGTGGTAACTCTCCAGTATGCTCCGCAGGACAGTAAGCATGGCACGTGACAAAGAGAAAAACGATGCAACACAGAATATTGGTCTTCATTGTTGTACTATTTATAATTTGATGATTTGTTTCTAATGGCTTTTGCTTATTTGTGCAATATGTGTAAAATATATATTAGTTAAATATAGTCGGTGCTCGAATGCTACAGAATATCGTTCAAATGCGATTCACGTGTAAAATGTACTACATTTACAGTATTATATGTCCTAAATTTTTTACCAAATTTTGAAAACGTGATACCATTTTAACTCACAGTTTGTACCTGACTAATATTAATTATCTTATGCCGAGATAAACGTGTTCGAAATTGTAAGGATTAGGCTTGGGGCAAAACAAGTTAGTTCACAAGGAAAATAACAAAACCACGTTTATGCATACACCAATGCTAAAACAGGGTTTGTATCTTCTTTCATGAACCTGCACTGATGCTTCGTAACCTTGACTGATCCTTCTCTTTCATACTATATTGGAGCGAATGCTTTTCTAAATGTTCGATCTTACGTGCGAAATAATAAAATGAAATTTGTTTCAGTTTATTTACTGCAGTTTTAGCAAAACCCTAACTTTCTGTTGATCAAAATACTAAGAATCTAATGCTAAAGCAACAGCTTAACGTCCTGAATTCTGTCGTTATCTGCAATCGTCGAGTTTTTAGTTCATGTTGTTGCTGCTGTTTTAGACAAATTAAAACGATGACGCGTCTCTATATGTGTCTTTAACGACACAACAAGTTAATAGTAGCCTAAAGCAGAAAGTTTCATCGGATTTTGCACGTGTCCTATATTTTGTGAAAGTGTGATGATTAAGCTTTGACCACAATGTTTGTGTTATTCTGAATCGTTTGCCGTTTTAATAATAACATACTTTATAAAAAATATCACATCCATCTACAACTAGTTTATAAATCATATATCATGCCATAGCAGCCACGTTCACCAATATTATCATTCACAAGAAAAATCGTTAACGAAATGTTATGTTAAAATAATATATATACTGTTTATTTCACAATATTTTCAACACTATGAGTAAGTTCAATTGCCGGTATTCGAAAAAACAGGATTAGCTAGATAATTTATTTTCCAGCAAAAAATAAATGAGAAAATTCAGTTAAATTAACTTATTTTCACGCTGGCAATGTATCGATATAATCTGGTGCACGTACACAAAAATGCGGTACATTGAACCCATCTGGTTTGTTTGGTCCTACGATGAAAACGTCTAAAGCAAAATGAAGATGTCCGGATAGTAGGTTGAAGAATAATCTCTTTAAAATAAGAACGTAAGTCTCAAGTAGAATTTCTTTAACTTAAACAATATTCGTTCTTAATTATCAGAAAGAGGCAAAGAGACATTTTAATTCACGTGTACTATGCTCATTTATATATTACATTTTATGCGTGCGACTCGCCGATTTCCCTATTGATAACCAGGCGATAATGATCATAATAATATCATCATAATGATGACATCATTTTCTAATAATATTATTAACGATAAACTTTAAGTATGGTCATATTAGCGGTTAATTTTATTGGGGTACAATGGCAACCTTTGCAAACCATACTTGTTTGAATATCTGCCATATCCTGCTGTGACGAAGAAAAGCAATATAACAGGGTTGTCATCCAAACCGAGTCGGAAATGCTCTGGTATGGTGAAACATCAATTCAGAGTGCTGTGAAGAATGATAAAAACTTGACTTGACAACACCATTAACATCATGGTGACAGGTGCTCTCCTGGATAATTAAGCAGTGAAAACAAATCAACCTTAAATTATTGTTGAACATTTCATAAAGCACGCAGACCAAATCATACAACCGAGTGCAGGCCAAACACTTCTTGCAATCGTGACTTACGTATTTTTTCACACCGTTTTAACTTTGGTATATTAATCGTATAGTTCAGTGGTTCTTAAACTTTCTCGAGCGCGACCCAAATCTGAGTTTTATGAATACTCGCGACCCAATCCTAAATAACGCAAAATGTGTTTTTAATGTTAGTACAGTTCGACTCAAATACAGACAACTATTTATTAGAAACAGTCCATTGACTCAGTGAGAAGGAAACTGAAATTTCCTTTTCATTATATCTTCAATACACAGCTCTATTTTACTTAACGCAATACGCAAGTTGTCACGGGTATCGAGGCGATTGCGAGCTTAGTTTTGATAACCTTCAGTGCCAAATATCCTCGCTCGCACAAGTGCCTTGTCGCGAATTGTAGCAGAAAAGGCGCCCGCTGTCCGTCGCAAACACGACATCCTAGCTGGCCTTCGGTATCTCTCGCAATATAAAACTTTTTACTCATCAAATGTGCACACACTGCTTCGTTTGCGGTAAATGGTGCCTCGAGATGAAGTCACATTTTCTCTAGATATTGAATAATCTAATGTCGAGAAGCGAGCTTTTTCATTGCGTCGTCTATTACAATTTACATTACCAAAAAGACACCCATTTTTGGTTATTTTAATCCACTAAGACGACAGTCCACGCGGTCAACACAACGACAAGCGACGTGCATGGTTACCGATACCATAAAAATAATACACGTGACTGGCATATCAGAATTGTGATGTAACAATGAGCTCAAGACAGTCCTTTCCGTGAATGAAATTTTATATTTCATTATTTTTAAATACCAGAGTTTAGAAGCTAAATTGAAACATTGGGAAAGCTGAAAATCCTTCCTTCTCCTCTCAGATTGCCCTTGCATTGACGACCTTGTCGCTACCCAATCGTCAAAAAAACAAAGACAAGGCGGCTGATCTTTATTCTGCGATATACTAATAGGTAGGTAGGTCATCTAGGGATGGGATTTTTCAAATACCTGATGATTTCAGAATCGAATCCCGAATACTTGGAAGATACGCAACTGTATGTGACTTTTCTGTGATGGGTCCTCCAAATGCATGAATTACTGAAAACATAGAATCCATCACTCAAACATAGTAGTCAGATATCATATGCATATATAACCAATGTCATAATCATCCAACACAATATACATATACAGCCATTAAACAAAAGGATCAATTCATCAAACCAAATTCATACATGACCGCGTGTTTAATATCAAAGCGGTGCCTAGGCGCTCCGCGAAGAATAGCGGGAGTGGGCCATTTTCTAATTTACTTAATTCATTATCAGTGTGCACGGAAAGCAAGCATTTCTGTTGTGCCATACTTTGTCAGTCGCGGAATCGCGTGATGGCATGCTGGTTGCTTTCTGTTGTAGGCTGTACTTAGTCTACTCGATGATGTTGTTGCTTTTGAAACAATATGCAGGTGAGCGCAATGCACTTGATAACTTATGTTATATACTATTATGTTCTTTTGCTTATTTGTTCTTAAACTTAGAAAAAATAAACTTTTCGGGCTAATGAGAATCGAAATTTGTAGCTTTTTTACGGATATATATATATATATCAATGGAAATAAAATGATGGCATTAGGGGCCATGAGTTCTAAAAAGCCTCCGGAAGGGATCCACGAGCCACGAAATGATGGGAACCACTGGCCTAGGCGTTCTCAAAGTATAACCTAACGATATTGGCCCGTGATCAGCTGTAGCCAAGTATTATGACATCATAAATCAGCCAATACAGCATATATCCATGAAACCTTGGATGCATTAATCTGCATGAGGCAACCTCTGATTTTTGTTTTGGTTATAACAATATATAAAATTGTGATATGTCATCTATCATATTATTATCATTAACCATTATGAAAATTTATTTTGAACGAAAGAAAGAAAACTCGCTCTAACAAAATGTTTTATGTCTCACTCCCGCGATGCCTCCCGAAGCGAATAGGTAACTCTCTGATATCATACACGCGGCCGTGCAAGGATTTGATTTAAATTTCTTTGAATAATAGATCGGATCGGATATATCCGTTGTTTATTGACTGTATATGTATATTGTGTTGAATGGATATGGCCTTGGTTATATATGCATGTCAGTCCAAATTAGTTGGATGTATATGCACATTTTCGACTGTATATGTACAACACGTTACCAACCTTATCGGTGTGATATATGCTCAAGTATCATATTATTGTTACATTCACTCTCTTTTGCAGTTCTGAATTCAACTCATCTCGAGTACGTAAAAAAGGTATTTCATTTACAAGGGCAGTTTGAAAATAGTTGAGTTTATATTAGGTTTTGGGGCCACAAATGCGAAAAATATGTAAATTACGATTTAGTTTCTAATACGAAATTTTAATTTGATAGCAATTTACAAAGAGAATCAAGATTGTAATTCCTATTCAATAATTATTGTTTGTTGTCTCTGTCACATACTGTAATGTCAGGGATCGGGTCTACATTTATCGGTTTCGTGGGTTACCGATCATGAATTTGATTCGGGCGACTCTTTTACAGGATAATTGTTTGTTTAAACTCAAATCGGAGAAAGTTTGGTCATGACAACATTCAATTCTTTTCATTCCCCTGGGTATAACTAAATATCCACCTCAAAGTCATGCTCGGAGAAATGGTGTAAATTCAATCCTAAAATCCCTAAAAATATCAGCAATGTGCCGCTGTATAGCCACTAAGCAAAATTTCAATTATGAAGGTTTAGCGTCTAAAGAAACATTCCTGTTTCATACATGCTAATGTGGCCAGCGACAGTAAGTGACAAGAAGTCATCGAGAAGATTTCGCCCTTGACCTGACTAGATCCTGGTAGTTCGAGCTCGCCTCGAGCCTCCACAGCGATGACTATTATTCAAAATATCTTCAGAAACCCATCTCGTATTTGCACGAAAGCAAAATTTTATACCAAAAGGCAGTTTGGTCGATCATTGCATTGATAATGATGATGGATTTAATGTAATTATCAAGAAACAACATTAACCTAAGGCTTGACTATATGCTCTGGTATATTTTATTTATGTTTGTTTTGAGAGATATATAATGTTGCTTCAAAGCTCCTCTTTGCTTTCGTCTTCTTTGGAACTACGTTCTTGTTGTATGTCTTCTAGCTTTCTATCTTCTTTACTTTCTGTATCCCCGTTGTTAGCTTCTTCCAACTCTTCTTTGGGTCTTCCTGCTAAAGGATTGCTAAAAACAACATTAATTTTAATTTAATCAAAAACTCGACGAAAGTTTACAAAAGATCAAATTTACTCTACACTTTATTTTTTCCGTATATAGTATGAAACAACAACTTGAATTGTACCGCCATCCAATAGCATTTTATCATGTACGGAAAAAGTAACTTTGCTGAAAGTTTAAACACGATTCATGATATTTAAGTTTCATCATAATCATCATAACTTTCTTTTGAATATTTATTTGCAAGTTTTTAAAAATCGACTGTACTCTTGAAATCTTACCTTTGAAAATGTTGCAAAACTTTGGACAATATTTTTAGTGCTTTTTCTTCAACATACATTTTTTCTTCCAAATCTTAACAATAAAATATAGCGTTTTATTGCATTGCTATGAGATAAACCATTGTTTTCTACCAGTCTTTTGGCAGGGTATAACAAATGAATGCTTTTTGCCGATTCATATATATTCGCTGTGACAGCGTTTGAACGGTTATTGATTTGCAACTGGCGGTTCAAAGATTGGATATTAGACGAAAGCACAATTATGAATGAAGTGGGGTTTAAAATTACATACTGATTTCAATGATCCTTCAGCTGCAAGTTTTGTGGAGGAAGTAACTTATTAATATAAAAAGTATCACAAATTTTGAGAAATGATATTGAAATGGGTATTCAGCCATTTTAATAATAGATTCAGTTGCCTATCCTAGATATTTTCACGCCAAAATCACAGTCAATGTTATAGTTGAATTCACCATCTTCAGTATTCGTTTCATTGAAATAAACGTAACCTGGAAAACGTTGTAAATTTTTTACTTTTATAACATTACCTTTTTGACTGTCGACTTTGGTGGCACTAATGAAAACACCTGACAGATATGAGGGTTCAATGTTTGTATTATGTGATGTATATTGCAGGAGTTCCATAGCTGTGGCTCTTTTGTCTGTCCTTTTTTTGAATAACTTTGAAAAACCGTTTTTCATGGCTGTTGAAAATAATTTGCATTATATATATTATAGAAACTGAATCTTTGAAAATGAATTTTTATGATCATTAATTACAAAACAAATCGTATAATTTACAGATCCTATTCGTATAAGTTGAATATTGTAAGTAGGACAGAAGATATAACTTTTGTTAAGTATTATTCTACCCATTTGTAGGCTATATGTCATTACGTGGCGATATAGTAACCGGATACATGCATTATTAACAGTAGAATATGTTGTACCATGCCCTACAGCTACGGGTTAAAGAAATTTAATATCAAAAAGTTTCTTTATCTGACATTGAATACGAATATTAGATACTTCAGATCTCATAGAATAATGAAATTAACTCACTTGCATCGACGATTTCCTGCATTGACTGAAAAATGAAAAAAAAATTAATAAAGTTCATTAGACTGCGCTTGGAGGTTTAAAAAATAGAGCAGGAAATGCATCAATCCAAATGTTTTAAACACTGAAATTAATTGCTTATAGAATTTTGATTTTAAAAAAAGTCTTTTAAAATACTGATGCCGGTCTGTGATACATTTTGTTTATTTAATTATCATGTTGACTGCCTCAAATCCAGGTGAAACGTCAATTTGGTAATCTAGTCCACACACTGCTTTTATAATTTTTATACACCACATGTGCAAATTTGAGACTATTATTCTAATTATTTGTCAAGCAGTCAAACCAAAATGTTTCTTTCTTGGCATAAATCGATGTGGAAATTATATTACCTTGCTCATTTTTAATACGTCATCGTCTTCGACTGGTTCACCCCCTGCATTTTCACCGTGCATTTCATAGGCTTCCTGCAGACCTTCTGGCAACTCAGGAGATTCCTCATCATACGATATAGTGTCATCGGGATCGATAAAATCCTCTTCAGAAATACCCGCTGGTAAATCTCCACTCTCTGACGCGGGACAAAAAGCCTCGCATGATACAATTAAAAAAATCACGCTGCACAGGGTGACAATATTCATTTTTCACTTATTAAGATATACAATTATATAAATTTTCTAGTTTTTATTACCTTTTGAAAATGTGTAAATAGTATGTATTTAGCAATATGGAACACGGTCATTTATGCCACATGCATCTTACTTTGTAGTAATACTATTGAAACCTGTATCCGCACTGTGGTAATCCTCTTACGGTATGTTATTATTATCAATGTGATATGACATTAAAATGCGTAATTATATCTTCCAAAACTATTCTCTGCATGCTTATAGTTCCCATTAGGTCCTTGTTTTGTTCTATGTTGAAAGTATATTCACAACCTTAATACTGATTAAATATCAGCTTAATTTTCTTTTTATCAAAACTTAATACAATCTGCTCTTGCTGTTGTCATTTCAGAAGGTCAAAATTTGCCTCACTGGCTTGAACCTTCTATGAGAGAAACCAATAATAGCCTCAAGCAAAAGGTTTGTGAAACTCTACGCTTGTCATGTATGCGTAGATGCGGTAATTAGATTCTAATCTTATAGTTTCTGTTATGTTCTCGATGCTGGCCTTCGGTTTTTCAAAATATACGCAATTTAATTGCATTTTATCGTAAATGGACCATGTCTTTGAATATTTAAACAAATCAAGCATCTCATCGAAACACAAAATATAAGCTATGACAAACTGAAAATATCTTGTCATTCTAAACAAAATATGTAATTCGATGATTGAGTAAAGAAACGACGACCCTGCTTCATTTCTATACTATTCATCAACGAATAATTACGCTCTGGTATTTTTCTCGATAAAGCAAGTATGAATTGTTCTTTCCCGTTTTCCCCCTTTGCTTGATAATAATCGGTTACTTATTCTCACAGTCTACACGGTAAAATTAAGAGAAGTCACTTTTACTGAAACTTTTTCTGTTGCAGATCGACGTATGGGAAAAACTATACATAAAATCATGATGAATATATATAATGTCCAGTATTAATGTTTTAAACAAAAATGCCATGCGTGGCCTACAAAATATATTCGCCTCAGTAGAACCAACATTTCAATGTTTTAGGAAAATCAGATTTTTGTAATTATCAGAACTGTACAGCCAAACCTATGTGCACCGAGATGGCGCACAACCCGAACATAGCATGTGTGCCACGTTAGGGTTATCAGGTTGTGCGCCATCTTGGTGCACATACTTCTGGAGCGCAAAAAATGGACCTGGAGCACTATCTAAATCTAAACAGATACAAAAGTAAGCCTTCTCTGGAAATGTGACAAAAGCTAAATTCGTTTTACTGCCTCAAATTAGGTTTGTAAGTCGAATGTAAAATACGAGAATGGCTTATTGCTATATATCAAGACTTGTTTAGCATTTATTCCAATGCAAAAAGTTGTTTTTACACATCATTTTCATGTTACTTTGCAACTAAGTCATAACGCAGCATGAAGCCTCCAGCTCCCAGACTGTCATCACTCATAAATTTGATCTTCACCAATTCAGCGCCGGTAGTTATATCTTCAGGCAAATCGTGTCCGCAGAATGTTTGTTCTTCGTCTCCCTCTCCCACTGCCAATATGTCATGTGTACACGGGCCACCAGCATTCGTTTCGACGTCGAATTTTTGGAACGATATTATCAAATCGTGGGTTGTCGCGTTGCTGTTCAAAATACTCCATTGACAGTAGAGGTTATCCAAATACATTTTCGGAAATCCAGGAGATGAAATTGTACCTTCAGGATTTTCAGCAGAATTAATGATATTTCCGCAGTTTGGTGTAGATTCTTGAGGAAATTCAATTTCGTGTACGACTGCTGGTGTATCAGGCTCTGGTATAACTAAAAAATTAAATATCATATGATAAAAATTATTTGGTATAATTACCATGATATAAAAAATACTCCAGTTTGTAAACAATTATATATAATAATTTTCGAAACCCCACAATATTGACGGCTGTCTGAGCTCTTTCACAACACATTTTTCTGCGTACCGTTGGCGCAACAATAGACAAAGATGTCGTTACATCATTTATGACATAACACAATACAATTGATACACAATACAATTGATCGGTCCATTTCTCAAAACGTTATTCGAAGGTGTAGTATGTTTTTGAGAGTTTATGATCCGTTTGAAAAATAATGATTTCTAGATCGTTAAATATGCTACTTCAGGAGTGGAATTCCCTCCCAAACTCTTTTTAAACCATCATAGACGTTTTTCGGTGATTCATATACATGCGAAAGTATGTTTTCGCACATGAATTTCATATAATCAATCGCCTCTGTCCTGATTCCAGTCTTGCTTGTGTACGAGGGTCTTATATATATAGCTGACTACGTGACTCATGTGGCCGAGCACTGAATTCTTTAACAACAAAATTCCACCATGACAACGATTTAGCAAAATATGATATGCTATCTATATGATATGTACTGTATATGATTGTGCTACCAAGCAAATGATGCAGACATAACTTACACTCTTCATACGAAATTTCAATTCCTGGTCTCAACTTGTCACTTGGGTGAATCGCTATCAGAATTGTAATTTTATTGTCTTCAACAGATATGAATTTAGGAGACTGAAATCCTCTTTGATGAAGAAGTATGTTCTGCCCGTCTGCTCCTGTAACTACAACCTGGAAAAAAACAAAACAAATAGTCCAGGCAGATGTGGGCATGATATACTGCTTAATTGAGTAAGCAAATATGTTACGAGTGAACCTGCTCATTTTTGAAATCCTACACAAAAAAGTAGGCTACGTGGATAATAGCTATATAGATGTTCAGTTGAAGCAGGCCCGAAAGCTGAATCGGTCGAATAAAATACATAGTGTAAATCTAAATCATATTTATTGGTGTGTGTGATACTACCCGCGAAAAGGATTAATTAACTCGTTGTTTTGAACTTTTTTCAGATTTCGAACATGAGCGTAAATCAAATACAAGACAAGTCTAAACCTCATATATACTGTATTCGCAAATTTTAACATAAAATTAACTCAAATAAAATTGTTTTTGGAATAGTATTTATAGATATTCTTTATAATTAGATATATATATTCGAAAACTTGCCTGATTCTTTGTAGTATTCAATGTTTCAGCGTGTAAATCTATCCAAGAACCTTTTTTTACTTTCACTATCCATTTGCACGTGTACGGATATGGCTCAGATTGTATAAGCGTAGAAAGAGTGATTCGTCCAGATGAAGTCCGTTTTTTCCCGCTGCATGTTCTCAGAAACCCTAAAAGCATAATTTTGCACATTGTTACATCAAAATCTGTTATTGGATATACCTAATACTTGTATATATAATTGTATTTTCTTCATCTATCACGCCATTTTCTGAAATTGTCCAAATTAGCAGAAACTATTTTTCCCTTTATTCATTTACGCACATCGCATGAAAATAAACATTACATCAACTTAAAAAAAACTTGTATTAATATAAACTACAGTCAACAATGCTTCGTTAATCGTTAATCAAAGATGAAAAAAAAAATTTTGTTTATAGAAAGCGTAAGGATTGATGTTAAAAATGTTCCTAAAGGCCATTTGACTGGCCTCCTCTGTAGATGGCTTATTGGGCTGCCGAAATACTAGCTCATCCCGGAGCCTGTAGCAGAATATACAGAGCTTTGTTTGAATAGAGGATTAAAGAGGCGAATATGCCTCATGAACCCATTGTCATAATTGTGACATTTATAACCGAACGCAAATTTGGGATAAACATATTTTTTAAATCAATCAACTGATGATTCTTTTTATTATACTAAAGAGGTTACATATCTGGGGTTTAAATTTCACCCACCTAATCCAGGGTGTATTAAATTAAGTAGGCAATACGGAAGTGGAAAGATTACGTTCCTCCCAAAAATGAAAGCTTCTTACATTTTGTTAGATGTTTGAACCGCTCATACATATCTTTGCTTGAAGCGAAAGCCGTGAATAAGCTTCATACAAAAATATGAGATTCGGGTCGATATTTGCTCTTTACATTTCAGCGAATACTTGCATAGTGCTCAGGTTAAAAATAAGTGTCGAAAGCTATACACTACTATATGGTGTTAGACTAAATAAAAAATACTTGGCGTTTTCTTTCTTGGCGGTGGTGTTGCAGTTGTTGGTATTCTTGTTGTTGTTGTTGTTGTCGTAAAACTTGTCGCCAGTGATGTTCGCTGTCCCATGATTTGCTGCAAACTGGATATTCTTTGTCTTCTGTCTATGAAACGTTACCAAGATTTAAAGTATTTTCCAAATTTCAGTTTCAAATTTCAGCAAGATATTTCTTCGGAATGCTAGATTCTATGCGCTTCCAAATCGAAGCGCAGGTCTATCTATTTATGGGGAATTTTAATTGAAAAAATTCTATTTAAGTACTGGACCTAGACTGGGAAAATTGTTGTCGCTACAAGGCTATTATTTCTATTACTTCCATCGATCCTGTAGTCAGAGAGGTCAGAATTTTTTGATGGGAAGACTATACCGGTACTGTAAAAGATTTGATACTATTTCGTTTTGACTTTCGTGTCCATACATTTGAGAATTGCTTTCTTCTTACTAAAATTTCTTACTTGTTATTGAACTGCTTCTGAAACTATGTCCAGCTCCAATGACCCTTGCATCTGTACAATAAGTTTGAGTGTGATCTCTATAGCTATTACAAGTTTGATCAAAAACGAAAATTTTATTTGTGGCTACTTACTCGATGCTGTTCTCATTCTTGCTAATTTCGGGGCGCTGCTTAGTAATCCTGAAATATAAGAGTAAGTTTAACAAACTTACCATTTTCAGTATATATATATATATTAAAGAACAGTTTGCAAATAATTCCTATGGTGTTTATACTATAGGAGTAGAAAAAGAATGAATAATATGTTTCTGAACACATTCCAAGAAGAACACACAAGAACTTTACATCACAATGCACAAATTATAATTTTACAAGTTCCCGTAGAACTAACAATGTTTAAATGCAACATAGATTTTTCAGCAACATTCACTGAAATTTTTGCTTTTTTTAAAAAAATGTTTGTTTTAGTGGAATTAGAATAAACGGCGCTACCGTACTATGTGCACTAAGATGGCGGACACCGTAACGTAGTATGTGTACCAGGTTAGGGTGAGGCCATAATTTTACTTCAATTTTCTCTATTTCAGTTCTATTACGAGTTTGGGGACTAGCCAAATGACTGCCGTAGTATTTGTACCTGAAATTATAGCCTAACCCTAACCTGGTACATATATTACGTTCCGGTGACCGCCATCTTGGTTCACATACTACGGGAGTGCCGAATAAACAATCCGAAAATATTTTTATCATATAGGCGTAAGAATTTTATCATTATCATTATTTTACATACTCGTAATGCTAGAATGTGTATGTGATAGTGTTCGTGAAAGATACCGTCCTCGGTTAGGCACTACACGACTTGTCTGTCGATCAAAAATAACAGGACACCATATTGGGAATTCTGTGATATCTTCTGGAACTTTCGAACCCCTCATAATACAAGGTGGAAGCGTTGGCTCAACAATAGCTGTGTCAACAAAAATAATTTATTAATATTTGGCGGCTAAACGTATATCAGTAAATACAAATATTATAAAAAAAAATACGTTATTCAAACGAGTAAGAACGTAAACTCACGTCCATCTGGAGTCGTTTTGATTTCATCTTCTGGCAAAGTCACGACCATAGATGTGAGCGGAGTCACAAATTTATATTTGAGAGCCAATTCTATAATTTTTGATGTAAGTTCTTGCTTTTTAATCTATAAAAAATGGGTGAAGATTATAGCATGCATAAAACTGGTTGATAGTTATATATATATTATTATATATGAAAAAGTGTGAGTTAGTTGAGTGTGATTTCCAAAATTAAACCATTTGAAAGATCGAACACACGTACAAAGAAAGCAGATATTTACCTGAAGCGTTATGCTTACCTGACTTTCAGATAACGTTTTCTTCTCTAACAAATTTTCTATAGTAAAATAAGCCCATAATCTTTCAATGAAATCGTCAAAATTTCCAGCATCTTTATACCAATGTTGGAATGAATCATCTATTTCAGTACTCGATATTTCATATCTTACTTCGCCTTCCCGTGACATACCACTAATAACGGAATGTACGCCCATTGCAGATTCATCTGAGTTAAAACATAACGTAAATTTTACGGGGATCCATGAAAAATGCTTCATTTGCCTTATACGTTGTTAATATGAGAATTTATTCATGTATTGTAATTATGGATGGCTAGCAACGATCGCTAGATTTGAGTCTCGGAAATATTCGTGCATTAGTGAATATGTGGTTATCAGTATTTTATTATACAAGTTGAGCACTTTGCATAAGTGTTGGATATCGTTCGTGACTGATAAATATGACATAAATGTGATGAAGCATTCAGAAATGCAACCCACATTTCTAGGTTTGAATTGAAGCGTGCTATCTTGCCTTGGGGTAAACTTGCATATACAGGGTGACTCAAATGAAAAACAGAGCCCTCACGTTAAGAACATAGACACCCAGGTCTGATTGTGTATACTGGTACCCAAAAGTTTTAGTATGAACGCTTTGTAAAAGTTATATTCTCTATAACAGTGGTTCTTGAACTGGGGGCGCGAGAGGCCACAAGATGGAATCGGAAATTTCCATGTAACGGCTCCTGAAACGGTCTCCGCGTTCGTTACCGGCTTTTTCGCGGTATAATAAATTTTTCTGTCTCGTAATATTCAATCTATGCCAACTACAATGAATTCAAAATGTCTTTCTATTTTAATTCATTTGTGTTCAAGGTAACTCGCGGTTGCGACGACAAAAAAACTCAATACCGATTTAAAATACCACGCCAATCCGCGGACATAATAATGTGTGATCAACTGTCCGATTATATTTAGTTTTTGAGTACCACCGGAAAATGATGTGTACAAGACAGAAGATGATAAACATTATTCGCGATTAATTTAGATCAAATTGCATTTTTTATGACACCCCGTTTCCGAAGGTACAAAGTTAGATGTTAAAACAAGGCGTTTTGTTACATTTATTTAGCACTCCCAATAAAATACATATTTTACGAAATTCCATTCGCCGACAAATCAAAAAGTTACCAACGCGATTGGTGAAGACAATCGGGTCTTAACTATTGATGGACATTATGCAAAACGTATCGCCACGTCTGGGTAGATATATGTATATCGAAAATAACTGAAATTTAAGATTTTGTAATAGAAATGAATTTGTCTATTAAAGTTACTTTACGAATTTTGCTCACAGAAAATAAAGATTCAGATTCAGATTTTATTTTCGTCATGCAAAACCAATATACGATATGAAAAAATAAAAAAAGACATAACAAATTACGAAGACAGATATCGGCTTGTTGCAATAGACGAGGGATCGCGAAAGACTCAAAGAGTCATCCAGTCAGCGACACCTTGTAGCTGCATTGAAGCAGCAAATATAGCAACCGAACAACTCAATATTAAATAGTCACTAAATTCGACACAATCATATATATAAAAGGGACAACAAAAAGAATGCCACAATGACCACGAAAAGTTACCTAAACATTCACTTAATTAGCCTCAATCACAAAAAGGAACAACAAAGTTTGAAAAATAAAATACAGGATGTCATAATAACTATGGAGTATTAGATATTTACCTAATTAAACTCGATCATACAGAGTAAGAACAAAATAAAATCGAAATAAACACCGAGATACTACAATGATCACATCGTATTATATGACTTAACAGCGACATCTGTAAGAAGGATATGCCTCAATGACAACAAAGAATTGCGAAATAATGCTGACTAAGCATACACAGTAAACCAATATGGCGTGCCCAGCAACGGGCTTCTGGCTGCGAGAATCAATACCGTATTTAACGGATTTTTATGTTGAAAGCGATTGTTAGTGGCTATTAGAGTAGTGCAGAATAATTATGGGTTCTGCAGTATTCGTGGCATATAGGTTGGGCGGAAAATAATAAAACAAGAACAGTACACAGCGAGCACACAACTTGACGAACATGGATGGGAAAAGCAGCACCACAGGGATAGGTACGGTACATACCGGTATACAAATATAATATTTCTAGACTAATTGCAACTGGGCTTATAAGCATCTAGGTATAGGCTCTTCAGTGCATGTTTATACAAGTTATAGGTACTGGTCCTAATGCTATTGGGGAGATTATTCCACAATTTAACACCAACAAACTTGATTGAGTTTTGGGTGAGTTTGGTGCTAAAACGATTTACATAATAAGAACTGCTAATAGAGGACCGTGTTCCATATGAGTGAACATTGCTTTGTTTTGAAAAATAGTTTGTGAACGCAGGAGGGAGTTTTTTGCAGTGGTGTTGGTGCATCAATTTCAAAACTTCTATTTTGTAAATGTCTGCCAATTTAATAATTTGAAGATTATAAAAAATAGGACTGAGTCGTGAAAAATAACTAGCGGCAGATATTGCACGGATTGCTCGGTTCTGCATAATTTCAATGCGATGTAATAATGTTTTAACAGCTGAACCCCAAGCAATTATGCCGTATTGGATATGGCTCTGGAATAAGGAGTAGTACACCATCCTTAGTGTTGTTGGTGATGTAAATCGTCTAAGCTTGTAAAGTATTCCAACCGATTTAGATAATTTAACGGATAATTTGGATAAGTGAACATCCCAATTCATTTTACTATCTAAATATATGCCAAGATATTTATAAGAATGGACATTTTCAAGTTCTTTGTCATCAATTTGTATTACTGTTTCATTTTTAGATTTGCACTGGTGTGGAGATATTAACATAGTTTTTGATTTGCCAATGTTCAGTGTTAGTTTATTAGACCGCATCCAATTTGATACTTTCGCAATTTCAGAATTTACTCTCAACTGAAGAACTGCACAAGATTTGTCGCTGTCGAGAAGATTGGTATCATCAGCAAACAATTTGGTAAAGAAGGAGGAACAACAAGTTATGTCATTTACATAGACTAGAAATAGAAGAGGACCCAAGCAACTACCTTGAGGAACTCCGTGAGTCACTGGTAAGGGAGAGGAACGACACGACCCAACTTGAACATATTGTGATCTATTACTTAAATAACTAGAAATGAGTTTGTTTGCTGTACCCCTGATACCGAAATGTCTCAACTTGTAAATCAGGATGTTATGATTTACGGTATCGAAGGCCTTCCTTAGATCTAGGAATGTTGCACTGACAAACTCCTTCCTCTCTAGTTTATCGTAGATATATGATATTGTGTCTAAGATAGCATGTGATGTAGATAGATTATTTTGGAAGCCGAACTGTGATTTATTTATTACATCATGTTTCGTAAAAAAGCATTGAGTCGCTTATGAATCAAACGCTCAAATATTTTACTTATTGATGAAAGAATTGAAATTGGTCTGTAATTTGACATACATTTTTTATTGCCAGATTTGAAAAGAGGGATCACTCGGGCAATTTTGAGACATGCAGGGAAGATTCCAAACAAAAGTGAACAATTGAAGAATTCAGCCAAACATGGTGCAATGAGATCAGCAACTAATTTAAGGAAACGTGCTGGTATGTTGTCTGGACCAACTGCCTTCCTGTCTTTCAAATTATGTATTTCTATTATCAATTCATTTGTAGTCGCTGGGCTCATGAAGATGGACTGGTTTATACAATTGTGAAGAAAATGTTTAAAGCTATCCTGTTCAGTGGAAAACTTGCCTGAAAGGCTAGACCCAATTGTAGAAAAATACTTATTAAATTCTGTAGCAATCAAAAGTTCATCTCTAATTATAGAGCCATTTTCAATATCGATCTCGTTAACTTTTTGATTAGATTTATTTTTTACATGAGTGATTTCGTTAACTGTTTGCCATGTTGACCTAGGATTACCTTTGTTTTTAGCAATAAGGTTTTGATAATAGGTTTGTTTTGAATCATCTATGGCTCTAATCAAAACATTTCTATACTTTTTGAAATAGGAGCGTTCGGAAGTGTTTCCTTTCAAAAAGTGGGATTCAAACATCTTATTTTTGTGGCGAATAGAAGCAAGCAGCCCTTTGGTTAGCCATGGTTTTGATCGTAGCCTTTTTTGACGACGTGAGAGTGGTCGAAGCGGGGCGTGGCGATCAATCAGGTGAACAAAAGATTTTACAAATTCGCTGAAAACACCATCAAAGTTTTGGGAACTCAAATTGTTTCTAGCAATATAATTATGAAAAATTACTTGTGTATCTGTGCGAAAGCAATCGATCGAGAATTTTGACATGTCCCTTGCTATTTTGACATAATTTGTATGGGCTGGTTTTATGCCACTGAGGCAACACATAACAGGAAAATGGTCTGTTATGTCTGAGAGAACTACATGAGATTTGATTCTAAAATTTGAAATATTAGTATAAATGTGATCTATAAGTGTTGATGATGTACTGCTCACTCTAGTAGGCTTAGTGATTAATGACTTGGCATTGTGAGAAATTAACATATCGGCATAATTTGCAATTTGGGCATTAGTTGACAATGTAAGTAAGTTAATGTTAAAATCTCCTAGTATCAAAAACTGTTTCTTTGCCAATTTAGCAAGTGATGCTTCAAATGCATTAGTAAAGCTTGGAATATTATTACGAGGATGCCTATATATAACACCAACAATTATCTTATTGACTGCGTTGGCCGAACTTATTTCAAACCATATATTTTCACAGTTGGAGTGATTGAGATTGTAATCTGAAATTTCATTATAGATGAGATCGTTTCGAATATAAGCACCAACACCACCTGCTTTTGTGATGAATGGCATGTGTATAAAGCTATACCCATCAATATTAGTGTTGGAAACAGGGTTACACGATAACTTTGATTCGCTTATCGCAATTATTTGTGGAGGGGATGAGAAATTAGATAATAGGGTTGTTAATTTATCAATATTTTTTTGCAGGGATCGAATGTTCACATGGAAAATACAAAAGTCAGACACTGATTGAGAAGAATTTAAATCAACAACTCCTACATTATTGCACGTTTCAATGTCACAGGAATAAGCTAATTGAGGGTCGTTTGCTAAAGCCATGTATGAAATGTAAGAGATATTTTCTCCAGGCTGGAAATAAATGGCCGGTATTTTTGATATATGTTTGGGTAATACATAAAATTATTTTGACTATACAATGTATGAATATTTATAATCAATAGACCTACTTGATGAGAGAAAGGTCATCTTCGTTATTGATGGGGATGGTAGTTGTCATTTCGTTCTTTTTTATTAAAACTTTCCCATTATGTGTCCATAGATATTTATATCCACATTCTTTTTTAAGATCTCTTGCTTTAAAAAATAAGTCCTTGTTATTGTCATTAGGGTTTTCTATGATGAATATTCTAGTAGATCTTGTAAAATGCTGAAAATCTTCATGAAAATTGGCCGATCTCAGTTGGCGACGATTTTTTAGAATTTGATGCCTTGTTTTTCTGCGTACAAATTTAACAATAATTGGTGAAGGCTTTTTGTTGTTTTCTTTTGACATCCGGTGACAGTTTGATATGTCAGATGATTGCAGCGGTACATTTATTCGTGCTGCTACCTTCATAATTAATTTTTCACAATCTTCATCACGCGAGTAGGGTATATTGTGAAATTCTAAATTATCCAGCCTTGACCTACGCTCCTGGTCGTATTGGCGTTCAGTAAGGATATCTATTTCTTCTTCTAGTTCTTCCACAATACTTTCAAGTTGACGAATTCTTCGGGTGTTTTTAACTGTGATGGTGCTCAGTTTGTCATAATTGGCATTAAGTTCGTCAAACTTTCTGGCAATGAATTCTTGGCTTGTCTTTATTTCTCCAACCTCATCTTTAATGACATTGATCGAGGATAACTGAGTTTTCATTTGTTTTATAGATTCATCCAGAGATGATAGAGATTCCTGGATTCCAATGCTGGTCGGGGTGGTTGAAGAGAGATCCAGAGCTAATTTTTCAATGTGCTGTTCAATTATAGCCGGTATTTCCAGGCGCAGTGTCTTTAGAATTGTGCTCTCAAGTATGGAGACTAAATTGGATATATTGTGTTCTGTTAAGTTGGATGCTGAAGAAGTACATGCTGCTTGACGTTCAGTTGGACTTTTACGTTTCGGGGGTTCAGGAGGGGCATCGCTTGATCTTGAATATGGCATATTGTCCTTCCTTGAATCCACAGACAGTCAGATTGATGTTGTGAACAGATGTTATAGTTCATTTGACGAATTCAACACCAGATGATTCAACATTCCATTTTTAGAGTGTCCATTATAGGCTATGATATTATTTAACACTAGTCAACTATATCTGCAAACTTAATACAACCAAATACTCCAATAAACACGCTGACATACTTGATTGTATTCGATTGTTGTGAAATTTATTTTACACCATTAATTAACCAGTCCTACCAAGTGCATGGAAGCAATCTTGCGGCCTCGATCTGGTCTGTGTGTTTTCGGCGCTCACATATTAATAATATTTAAAAATGTTTTTTCAGACCTATTTTATTTTAACATATAAGTATTTAGAGATCACTTGAATTTTGAACAATTCAAAGCAAAAAGTCATTTGTTAAAAAATTTTTCCTATACTTCATTGTCCTGTTTGGTAACATATAAAATCCAATGCTCAAGTATTTTCAATTAAATACAAAGTTGTAGTACATCAACATTTTTAAAATTGTAGGCCTAATACATAAATATGATGAAAGAATTTCCACATTTGAATAAAAATAGAATAAGTTCGGTATTCTAGATTCGATTTAAGTATTCTAGAATATTAAATTATTCTATATTGCCCACCCCTAGGTATTGGTAGTGATTTTTGGAGACGTTAGGTAAGCCTAACGCTTGTCTGTAATTGTTGTCTTTTGTTAACATACAGTAAATAGTTTTTGCATTGCTCAACAGTGATGAAGTAAACAATTGATTGCAATTTTACGCGTCTTATGTAAACGTTTAAGCAGAAAGGACATTGAAGCGCAAAAAGCACACGTTTATTGCGTGTTTAGTTTTACCTAAAACTTACTTTGACTTTGAGAAAGGAGAATGTATGATGACCACTATTTGAGTATGGCTTTATACATACGACAGTGAATGGCGAAGTTGCACTCGGATGCGTTTTATGCTTAAACATCTGATCAATGACGCTATGAGACTAACGCTCTTACAGCGCCATCTTAATATAAAGCAACTGCCCACCACAAAAGCATTTATTCAATGCAAAAAAATGGGGGTTGGGGGGCGAAGTTTGTACGATTTTTCAAAAGGGGGCGCTGCTCAAAACGTTCAAGAACCACTGCTCTATAAGCTATGTTCCGAATGACCCGGATTCTGTTTTTGATGTAAACCTGTATATATTCAGGATTGCTAGCATGTTCCCAGTTATAAAAACAATACAATTCTCACCAATTACTCCTACAATCACCTCTTCCGATCCTTTAAAATATTTATCAAAATCTGAGATACTAACAGCGTCTGCGTCTGCTCCAGAATATCTCATTTTGACATTCAACAAGAGCGGAGCTGCAACTTCTTGAAAAAACCCTTCCAGCTGTATATCAGCGTCAGAGTCTTCGTAAATCTTTCTATATGTAAATGCATATTATATATGACAAATTACAAAATAATAAATATTTTGATATGCAATACTTTTTAAACATCGGGTTTTAATTAAACCTTGGTCATTTGAATTCAATTATTACCTAGGACATTAAAAATGGCATAAACAGAATATTTTTAACTTTAATCAATTGAATGTATGAATTGCATTTTTTGTCGTTTTTTTATTCGGATTACATATTGGGTAGATTGATAAACTGGTTTAGGTATTTTTTCTCACTTTCCGATTATAAACAGAAGTAAATTTCCGTGAAACGATTTGTAAACACTTTAGAACATGATGGTGTTGCGCCTAGCTTACGCCAATATTGAATTCTAGAAAGTATTTTCCCGCTGAGGTAATTATTGAATCAGTTTCCTGGTCTGGCATTGTTCCAGGATTGGGCTGAGGCCAAATCTTACTGAAATAAACTTAACCTAATGTTTGTCGTACCTGGCTATTCCATCGTTTTCATTCGATAGTCTCTTCAAAAAATCGTGGTCAATATCTTCGCCGAATCCAAGGCAGAACAATGAAAATCTGCCATTGATTTCCCTTCGTGCGTTCAAACGAATCTGCGCTGTATTGCTTACTCCAGATGTAGGGTTACCATCAGACAATAATATGATCATCGAAGACGATGGCTCATCCATTGCGTCATTTTGGAACAATCTTGAGGCTTTTAAAATGGCCTCATTGATGTTCGTGCCTAGTGAACATGGTATTATGTTTAGCTTAATTTTATTTATTTTATATTATCAATCGCCATAAGCAGTACGCAACAGTACTATCTTGAGGTGGACTTCACGTTATAGCTTCACCTCTCAATTTTTGGAAACTTGAAGCCACACAGAAAATTTTTCGTTGCAAGTGAGCCTTGAAATATAATTGTATATTGAGTATAACGAATCAATATGAAGATCTCAGTAAGTTTTTCTTTCTGTTTTTTTTTTTTTTCATGTGAAAATTTGGAATTGTTATTAAACAGAGTAGCCTACTTACTAACCTCCAGCTGCGTTTAAGTTTTGCACATGCTTAACAGCTTCATCAACATTTTTGTTTGTAACACCAACTAGTCCGTCTTCTGTGTTCTTCCAGGTTTCGGTTCCAGTCGAAAATGAAATAATGTTGAATCTAGCAAAACAACAATTTATTTTAAAAAATATTGAAAATAAAAAAATAGATCAAAGACTCAGTGATTCTTTAAAAAAATATAACATACTTTTCTAATGACGTTTTGCGTGACCTCTGACCCTTGGTCAAAGTCAATCCTTGGTCGGAAAAAACATATATTTAATTTTTTTGAAAAACTTGCTTTTAAAATATTTTGCAACTGAATCGAATATTCAACTTCGTTACCTATCGGAATCTCTCAGCTCTTTAAGTATTGAAGCAAATGCTGTTTTTGTCTGTTGCATTTTATGGCCCTGCATCGAACCACTTTGATCAATGAGAAATACTACTTTTTTTGCTAATATCGGAAGATTTTCTGGAGCAAAAAAATGAACAAAATATCCGTTTCTCGTTTGAATTTCTCCGCCTAGAACTTCTCGCGTTACGTCATAATTCACTGTGAATTTTTTTTCATCTTCAGGAAGAGTTAGTAAACGACGTTGCTGCGTCTGGGTTGGTTTAAATCTGTATAAAATATGATACTGAGCATGTTACGATTTCAATTCACAGATTCATAGTGGTACGGGTTATCTCTACCTAAGTAAGATATGTACTATAAAAACAATCACCATCTTTGGAATAATTTAGTCTACACTTACATATATATATAGAACCGGTTTTATCAAATTTTCTCGCATAGTGTATTCTCAATGTTAGCTTAATTTACACTTATCTGAAATCAGTTGTCATTTCCTGTAAATAACTTGATCTATTTCACCTCAATGGAATCAGCAATCTGATTTGTGATTAGGATAGAGAGAGAAAATTATAACAGAAAAACTAGAAAATTATCGAATTATACTGACGTGACTTTTGCTTGATTCTTACTTCTTCGCACGTCGGTGTAAACATCAATCCGATTTTTGTCGTCGTCACTTTTAGCAACTTTTTCTCTGGCTCCGCTACCTTTACCAGGCGTTTCCGTTGAAATGGACGTAATGCCGGATGTTTCAGTAATATAAACGTCAATTACGAAGTTATCTATAACCTGGTAAATGCGCATATTCAGACATTATTTTTCGCCAGGTTATACCTTGCTCATTTTAGACCATATTCGGGGGAAAGAAAGCAAAATGATTTTTCAACAAAAATGTGGCAAGTATATACAAGCTCAGAAACAGAATCAAGTTCTAAGTTTCTTCTGGTTTCAGCCACCACGATATTAAACACTTCACGTGGGCGCAATAAAGAAGATAGTGTACCGTTCGCATATATTCCCAATAAAGCCATTGAGTCAAATAAGATTATTATCCTATCAGAAAGAATAAATTTTCCGAAATAAAAAACTCCATTTTTCCGAATGAATTCAAAAGAATAATGCTTTATGAAATAACGATAAATATTACAGAAAAGTGTTTCCCACCTGTCCCGGGTTGACCATGATAACGTGATTATAACTCCCCAATTTTCTTTTAAGTAACTGCTGATAAACCAAGTGAAAATCTACACTGGAATGTGCTGGAACATTTGCAGATACATCGAATGTTCGAGTTTCTCTTACATCAGCTGTTACCAGCCCAGCAGTATTTCCCTGAAATAATCAATTAAGACTTTCTGGCTGGAGGCTTGAAATAGAATTTTAAGTTAAAATCGTATTTTTATCATATTATTTTAAAATATGAATATAGGCATATAACTGTACAAATTTCTAGACTTTCGTAAATATGCTTAAAGCTTACACTTTCTTTTGCTTGCTCAAATTGTTTCTTAGCCGCTTCTTTTTCTTTTATTTTACCTATGAAAGTAACCCCATCAACAACCCTGTAACAGAAAAACATGGGTCATTTTAACTACAGGTTTTTCCCTCTGTGCATGCTACATTGAATTATTTCCGACATGATGTCCACATTTGGGCAATATGTCGCTGTATTCTCTTCAATTATGATTGTGAATTTGAATAGCAATCGCCGATTTTCTTGTTGTGCTGTCGTTTTGATGAAACTCAAAAATAAAAAAGAGTTTGCAAATTGGCGATGTCGCGATTTGCACCATAATGCCATGCCTGTCCCCAGCTGCTCTTTAAGATACTTAAAGGGATAACTGGGTATGGTAGGCCACAGTAAGTTTCCAAATTGAAAACGAATTGTTAATTAAATAATTGCAATTAATTAATTAATTAATTGCAGTGAATTGATATCTAGCAAATCACCATTGCCATATTTACTAAAAAATCCAACCGATTAGTAAAATAGAAGGTTGTTTCCCAATAATGAAGAAGCTTGATGCAATCTTCAATTTTGTTCTTGTGATTGTAGTCTGAGTGATTGACGGACAAATTTATTTAAATATTGTCGTATTTACATGTTAAATTCGGTAATAAACGCGGCCTTCGGCAGTCGGACAGAAAATGTCATTTCTTTTGCAAAGTTTTCGCCATTTTCCATTGTACTGACAAATGTCACTCGCGCGAATCTTGACTGAATCACACTTGTAACCCGTAGGCTTTTGATTCCTGTTGAAGAAAGACTTCTCTTTTGACGCTGTAAATACGGTAACATTAGTACGAATTCAATAAAACCTTCGATGTCAGTAGCAAAAAATTGATGGGAAATTTATGTATTAGTCAGTCGAACTTTTATTTGTCAAATGCCAATCACATATTGTAGATTTAGCAGTCACATATACAAGGCAATTAACTTGTTCAATAACAATAAAAAAACGTATCTGAGATGCTGAATATAGCAGAATGAGGCGATCTTTATTATATTATCATATTAAAACCTAATAACAATGCTGTAAAACTCTTCTATAGTGATTCTCTCAGTAAATTCGTCATGGTAATTTTTGTACCAATATATTGTTTGAAGTATATATATCTACTAAAAACATCTATTTTTCAAACTTTTTCATATATTTGTTGATTCTACGTCATATTTCTTGGATATTTCTTGTGTCACAAAAATAGGATCCGGAAATGGCTTACTAGTTGAAGTTTATTAACTATAAAGGATATGACTGTAATAGCAGCACCGGTAAAAATCTCAGGTACAAATCCCAAGACCACCACCTCACCCGAGGTGTATAGTAAATTGAGTAGACAATGCTTATCCGGAAAGATTCCGGTCCTAAATTAAAGTAGCTTTCTACAAATCAGTGACTTCTTTTTCGGAGTGAAAAACGTACAAATACGTCATGAGTTCATATATTTTGAACAACCAATTTTGATACACTTAGTGAAAACATTAAGGAAAATTCTGAAATAACGTTGATATCGTTGGTTTAAACTTGTGGATATTTGTACTTACTAACAACTAGGATAATATGTATTATGAATAACTCACTGAAAGTATGTCAGAGTTAACATTATCCAGCTTCTCAATGACCATCGACTGTTCCAGTGCAACCAAGTATTCCGCCATGCAAAGAAGCATCACAGCTCCCGCAATACAGGGGACTCTCATCTCTCACGATATCTTTGTTTGCAATTTTAAGTTTTAGTAGGTAGTATATATAATCACTACACTAATATAGCTATAAATATATATATATATCGGAAATTCCCAAATTCTCGTATGGTTTCCGTATGGTATATAGCGATCTATAAAAGTAATGTGACTTTGGTGGTTCATGATTGTCATTTCTATAATGACATTACATATTAGTGATATGACAATCGAACCCTTAACTCATAAAACTTCCCAACGTCTCAACCCATCATCCCTACTCGCGATATTATAAATTTGTAGGCTGTGTAATTCCGATCTATTTAAATTCTAGCTTCTGGGCGGCGCCTATTTATTTGCTTTACTCAACTACTCTTTGTCATGTTGTAATTTTTGCGTGCACTTATCATATTATATGAAGATAAGTTAGTTATAATATTTTTATTTGAAGAACCAAAAACAAAGCTACTTGCAGAAGCGCCTATACATTCATAATGAAAGCGTGCAAGATCGTAGAGTGGTCGCCAATTGATTGCTATAGTTTAACCAATAGCAAGCATCCTCAGCAAAATAAATAGTTCAAAATTCAACCATTCTTTCATCCTGTGTATATGTATATATGTGAAATTGAGTATAATATCTAAGCGAAAAGCAAGTAATCTCCCATCTGAGTCGTTGTAAATCCTTTCCTGCCACTGTTGGTATTCAACGCCAAGAAGAATGAAATACTACCAACGATTTAAGTCTTTCCTCTGTTACCGCACGCTACATTTTTTGACCCAAAATGGAATTTAAATTCAAACATTCAGTGCAAATGAAATTTTGCCATTCCGGAAATAATTCTACTGCTCGGAGAATTTGATTTCAGCGAATCTACGCAAAAAAACAAATTTTCTATTGATTAAGACGTTCTTTGATTGGTGCAATCGAAACTCGTAGAAGCAGGGAATTTTCTGCTTAACAATAGTTTCTAGCGATTTGTGTATGAGCATATGAACCTTTGAACGGATATTATAGCAAATGTATAGGTGAATACGTATGATCAACGATGAGGTAATAGGCGTTTGACGTAAACACGTTTCAAGTTTTAGTACTACTGCAACAAAGCATATTAAAAACATAATTGGGATATTGCAGCAAGATGTCGATACTCAACAATCTAATTTGGACCCGATTGAATCGTTTCTAAACAGTCCTCACGTCAGAAAGTTTTTAACAACTGAGATACAGCAGATTTCAATAAAAAAATATGACCAAAAATGCTAAATGCAATTTTTGATGAACGTGATTCCGGGTTATTTTCAAATTTTCACAACATAAATCCTATTGCAAGCGCTTCCTGAAATCAACGGTAAAAACAGTTAAACAACATTCTATATGCAGAAAAGCCTACCTATTTTATGCGTAATAAATCTAACCGCGGCATTTGTAATTCACCGCAAGGGACTATTTCCAGGGAAATATATAGTTCTGTATCAGTCCATATTTAATTACTTCTGTATGGTGAGATTTCCTCACTGTAAAATTGTTTGGATTTTCATATGTTACTGACGTCTGGGAATTTGTATTTAACTGCCTATTTCACAAAATTTATACCAAATACTAAACAGAATAATACCAAATTGTAATTGAAAAGATATCGAGTTGCCCCGGTAGAGTAGATCTTATTCACCGCTTCGCCAGTAGCAAGCGTGTAGTATTTATCGAGCGAATTCCTAATAACCCCCCAAAAATGATAGGGTAACATCTCACAAGCATGCAGTTATGAACTTTTATTATATCCAATAAAAGCAATGCAGGCATAAATGAGGCATAGCAATTAGAAGAAAAATATTTCAATACGAGTACTGGCAATTCTTTGTGTTTCACAAAAATTTCAAGTATTACTATACATGCCCAGTATTTATTCCTCTCCCACTAAAATATTTTGGATGTAATATTATAAAAACAGCAAAAGTATTTTCTTTCACATGTACAAATATTTTTAAAAATAAATTTAGTCGATTTATTACTATGATCATTTGTGAAAATTTTAGAATCTAACTGGTAGCTGTTGAAAACATAAAACAGGTTGTTATAACATTTTGAAAAAAGAAAACAAGAACACATCAAATTAACTTTACTGATTATTTTGTAAAATCGACAAAATGATAAGGAGAAACTGTTACTTAGGAATAAATCGGTATCGCATTTTGAAACCACCAGCTCCCAAACTATCATCACTCAAAAATGCAATCGATATCTTTTCATCCGATGTCGTGATTTCATCTGGCAGGTTGTATCCACAGATTTGTTGCACATTCTCCCCATTTTTGATAACTAATTTATCGTGATTGCATTGATCTCCTGATCCCATTTCTATATCTATATCAATGATGGTTAAACGCAATTTGTGACTCGAATCTGTGTTGGCAAAATTCCATATGCAATATGCGTTGTCTGAATACATTTTTGGATACTCAGGAGATGTGATGATGCCTTCTTTGCTATCAGAAGATGAAACATCGTCACCACAATTCTTCATAGATTGATTCAGGGCAAATTCAGGTTCCTTCGGTGTGACAATCTGTTGCACTGGACGATCTGGATTGACTAAAGAACATTATTCAATTATTATGATAACATAATATGTTTGTAAAAATATACATGACTTATAAATACACCAAAAGTGGAGTGGTGTAATGGTATGTTAAAATACATCGACAAATCGCATCAATATCCATAATCCGAACAAAAAGATACTTCCAACACACCATCCATGCTTCACTTTTCAATCAAATGACGTGCTGAATAATTTATTGTTTTGGCACATGACGACTTCACATCTTCTTACCACAATAAATAGCAAGGGTATAGGCCAGACTATTTTGATTCCTTATTCGATACACTTGCGACATTATAAAAGGAAGTTATTATAATATGCTTATTGCAAATTCTATCTCAGTTTTTTTAGTTTGGTCGATTCAATTAAAAATTGAGATGATAAAATTTAACTGAGAATTAAGTACCATCAAAAAAAAAATTTTTTTCTTTTGGTCAGATAAACCTTGGAAAAAAAAATATCCGCTAGCTTGCTCACAGTAATTAGACTTGAAGTTAGATACATATGGACTGATTACAAATTCCGACGCCATATTCGTAATTTGATATTAAATAAGTTAAACGCACACATGTCGTAGATGGATATGCATCTTGAATGTACATGAACTATTTTTACATATAAAGCTGGTAAAATGATTGAGTGCTTATATCACACTTACATTCATTGTAAGAAATCACAATTCCTGGCCATCGATCATCTTTCGGATAAACTGTCAACAAAACAGTCGCTGTGTTATGCTGTATCGACAGGGATTTCATCTCGGAGATTCCACCTTTATGTTCTAGAATAGTTTTGCCCTGGCTTGTGACGATCACCTGCACCAAATCATGTTGGAATCAATGGCATTGTATGGAAAAGGGGGGTTGTGGGGAGCGACTGAAACTTTCGCGATTTAAATCGAATCATATTTGAGTTTTATTGAAACAAGTTCCCAATCGCATATTATATTTTGTTTGTTTCAAATATGTTTGGCATGCAGTGGCTCATGAAAACCGCTGCGAAAAAGTATACATTATTTCGGCTAATGACTGTACTGATCTAAGATTCGACACTAGCAGCTTTGTGTGAAGCCTTAGAAACATGATTTTCGTAGTCACTGCGCAAGAGGGTTACTGATAACCGGTCAACAAATGATTTTCGACGGTCGATTACGGCATTCTCCTTCACTAAAGTCTATATTTCTGGAACGATAAGTTTGTAAAGCATTTTTCTTCTCATACCCGACCTGGGCTGTGAAAGAGATTGTGTTTTGAAATATGACTAAATCGTCTTGAATGCGACATCCGATTATAATCATTTTCTGAGATCTAGCAATTTTAACCTATAAACATGAGCGAATGAAATAGTAGGAAATGTTCACATTATTTACTCACTTGGTTTTGAGTAGTGTTAAGAGTTTCCGCTTTTAAGTCCATCCAATTATTTTCTGATAATTCAATCTTCCATTCACATTGAAATGGAGTCTTCCTAATGTCATGCGGCAGTTGTATTGTACCGCTTTCGTCGTCGAGTTTTCCACTACATTTATTCCAGATTCCTATGTCTGCAAACGACGATAAAAATTATCGTAAGAAAGAAATAGACCTAATACGCAGTCAAAAGATATCAGATATAAGCTTAAAGTTTGGTTGGAAAAATTATAATCGTGATAGCACAAAATTTTAGTGGCCTTAATTTTTACAATAACTCTCACAACGATTTTTGATTTTCACATCTAATCACGAAAGTAATAGTATTGCGTGGCTCAGGGATGAGTGCGTGCTCCGATCACGATTACTAGGAATCATTTCCTAACCGCTTATACTGCCTTGAATTGTTAGGTTTGTTGTGAGATATAAATTGATATACGCTCTTGTCCCACAGAACAATATGCGGACAGATTGGTATGTGCAAGTACATGTCATAACTAAATAAAGCATGGTAATCAATTCGATTAATATATCAATAACTTATTAATTTTACTTGGTCCTCGGGAAGTAGCATCTGGTGACGGGCGCGAAGGTAGAACACCTGTCAATGAGAGGGAATTCAGTAAAGTTTTGGTAGAACTTGATATCTATATATCGACACTGGTTCCATTACATTTGAACCCACGTACATTTGAACCCATGACAATTGCACCTGTATGCTATTGCACCTATGGAATTTTTTTTGTTTCACGGATAGTTAAACCCATACTAACCCTAACCCATGGGTTTTAGCACCCGCATATAGATTGAACCCGTGGATATACGCATGGGTTCAAATGTACATGGGTTCAAATGTACGGTCACCATCGACACTACATGACCGCAACAAATATTTCTTTCGCAAGGCCAAACGTTGTTATAAATATTAGCAACATAACATTTTACGATGTATGTTAGCAAACGCATTAACTGGTAATAGTATAAAGTCCTCCTTGAAATCAACGTAAGAAGTTGTAAAGTCAGCCAGATTAATCATAATAATTACCACCAATCTTACCTGTCGTTGGTTTTCCTGGTTGACCTGATTGACCAAGTTGTCCTGATTGACCAGCTTGTCCTGATTGGCCAGGTTGTCCTGATTTACCAGGTTGTCCTGGTTGACCAGGTTGTCTGGGTCTTGGTAGAGCTGGAGAGAGTAATGCATAAAACTCAATTATGAACGTCATAACTTGAACTAGTTAAGTCGCGTTCCTAAATTTTACGACATCAACAATTACAATTTTGAGTCGCATATATACTGCTTACAACCCAATTCTTCACCACTAACAAAAGGTTAAGTACAAACCTTGCCGAAACCTCCTGAAACCTCCACCGAAATCTCCTGAAATACATACATATATATATCATAAGACAATTAAAGTCAGATCTTAATTCGGGAATATGGCATTACGTTTTAACATTTCATTCAGAGTGTTTTGAGTAGGCTACTTGTTAGAGTCGATTGTTCTGTTCTTAACAGTAGCACAAGTTAGGCGTGCGCATGGTATTTAATGTGCGAAGTTTTTCACTTCAGTATCAGCAAGTCTGTAATACACCACAAAAAGTCTGCTCGGAGTAATTAATGCCCATCAGATTGTTTTACAGCTTTCAGGCCTACTTGACGTTAGGTACATCAGGTTTTGCCACAGTACATATTTTATTGATATTTCCACAGCGGAAATAAGTTCATATATGTGGTTATATAAGAGCATTCTTGTATAAGAACTCTTCGAGAGCAATGATCGTATATGGTTATGAAGGTCTAATACCTAATAGCAGCACCGGTAATCTATGCCAATGCGACTCACGCAGAAATGTTGCTGATCATCGCGTTCACTAAAATCAAAGGGACAGTTGTGACGTAGGCGGCGACAAAAGCATGACAAAATAAAAACTACCGGTATGTAATCAATTGGTCCATGAGTTACGAAGAAAAATCCATTTTCGCGCACCAAAAATCGCTGGTGGTGAGCCACAGTAAGTTTGCTTTTAGAAATGCCATCTATACATCAGATTTTTGAGAGCATTTATTTAAAATTGAATTACTGCTGGCTTTTTGCCATAGATAATAGGTATTGGGGTTTGAACAGTAGAAATATCTCGTGCATTTACATATAGGCGTTGTAGTTCTTTTAGGTCATCCGTATCCTCTCAACTTCGTGTTAGGGGCTCGGAATTTTGATTTGACCAATCATACACAATGAATATTAGGAAAAAAATCTGGGAAAGGCTTAATTAAAGCAATGGGATATATTTTGTCCTCAACTGGGTGTTGTTTCGGATGAGATCTAAATAATGACTCTGTGAATAATTTACACTGAAATTGAATGTTATAGAAGAAAAACTAAAAAGAACGGGACTTTACTACCTCATTTTACCCCGTAAATGAAGCCAGTTTATTTTTCTCGACAATAGTAATTTTACTAAAATAATAAAATTGAATATATATATATATATATATTTGTACTTACGACGTAAACCACGTTGCGTCGCACTAGGAGGTCTCCTTCCTGTGGAAAATTTACAACAGAAACAACAGCAGAAATAAATATTATGCGGAGGAAAAGTGAAAAAATAGCTAAAGAATTAGACATCTCGTTACATTTTTGCCTTGTCCTGTAAACTGGGAACATTTGACAATAAAAGGACATATCAGATATCAGTGTAAGAATGGTTGACAAAATGATGATAGTGACCGCACAAATTTTAGTAGCCTTAATCTTTACAATGAATCTTGATTTTCACGCCTAATACCAAAAGTAATATTATTTGCGGTGCCTTCTAGATAAGTGTGTGCTCCGATCACAATTACTAAGAATAATTGTCTGATCGCTTATACTGTCTTGGATTGTTAGGTTTATTGTAAGTTATAAATCGATAATAACGCTCTTGTTCTACAGAACCATAATATGCGGACAGGTTGGTAGGTACAAGTACATGTCATAAACAAATAAAGCAAGATAATCAATTCGATAAATATATTAAAAACTCATTAATTTTACCTGGTCTTCGGGCCCCTGAAGGTCGAGCACCTGCCAATTAGAGAAAATTCAGTAAAGATGCGATAGAACTTGATAATAGTGAAGAAATGGCTAAAGAATTAGACATCTCGCTACAATTTTGTCTTGTCCTGTAAAATAGGGGACAGATGACAAAAGACAGTGGGCAGATTTTAGCTAATCGCATTCGCTAAAAAGGCCTGAAATAGTAGCAAACCTCTATTTCTGCTGTCAACTCGTGAGTGAGGAAGCGTATTCATGTTCGCATCATCAAATTGTGGTAATACAGCACCAGTGAATCACTTCACAAAAATCAGTGAAGGTAGCAACGTACCTTTGTCTTTTTAGCATCAAAAACTACTTGATGCGAGGCAAATTATTAAAGTACAGTACAAACCTATGACTCTTCCGGAAAGGGTTTTGGTAGAGGAAGAGTCCCTTCCACTATCTGACGAGCTGCTATCTCTTGCCACTGACAAGATATAGGGGCACCATATAGGAGGTCGTAGAAGCAAATGTCGTCGAGGAATGACTACACCTCGATGATAACACGGAGGTATTGTTGGAATTATTGTGGCTGAAACAAGTAATTATCAGTTGATTTTATTTTTACATTCAGAGAGTTTTCACAATCCTTCCTCAATCACGTCCATATACAAAAATAAAATAAATGATTTACCGAATAGATGTTTCCCCCCCACTTTTGGCCCCAAAAAATGTTCTCCATACCATTTAAAAAATTTTGCCGCCTTATTTGAGATTTTGCAAGGTGCCGCCTAAAAACTGTTGTACATATTTTAAACACCATCATTTCTAATCTATTAATAAACTACCTGTCATTTACATATACTAATGGATGAATTTAGCCACGTCTATCGCAGCTTTTCAGAAAATTCTGATTAACCACTTGGCGGAAACACCCATCTTATACCAACTTGGCTAGTTCAGGGAGACCGTCGACAGGATTGCTATGGCCATACTTTGTCATAGGATTGGATCAATTAATTGAATTTTTTAGTATAAATATGAAACCATGTCTTCTGTTTCGTTGAATAATTTGAAAATGTAAATTATTTGAATCTAGCACACATTAAACTGCTATTGTGTAATGGTGGAGAAAAATATTTCAGTCATTTAGGCAAGTGAATATATCCCAATACTCACGCCTAGCAGGGGTTGTTGTTATTTCATCTTCAGGTAATGTAACCACCATCGATGTGAGAGGAGTCACGAAACTGTATTTCAGAGCTAAGCGTAATGCTTCACTTGTAATATGATAAACTTCTCTCTGTGTGGGAAGGTGAAAATAATGAGAGCATGGAATTTTAAATAGCCAAAAAGAGTGAAGAACACGAGTGGAAACAAAAATAACTCACTCGACTTGAGGATAAAGTTCTTTTTTCCAAAAGATCGCGTATTGTGAAATACGCCCATAAACGTTCTATAAAATCTTCAAATGCGCCAGTTTCTTTGTGCCAGTGTTGAAATGTTTTATCTAATTCTTTGCTTTTTACATTATATTCTACTTCACCATCCTTAGATGTTCCTTTGATCGTTGATTCAACAACTTTCGTTTTGTCATCTGAACGATTTTTAACAAATGTTTATTATCAACTATAATTGCATTAATTATATATATATATATTGTGTCTAGACAAAAATGCCAAAATAATAATATTAACTGCAAATATCGCTAGATAATGCAAGAAATGAACGAGAAAGAGCAGATAACCTCTCAGAAAATTGCATCGTCGTACTGGACTCGGTTACTGCAACTCACCGCCATTGGCTATTGCTCCAACAACAACAGCTTCAGATCCTCTGAAGAATTTGCTAAAATCTGTTTGACTGATGTTTGCCAAGTTCACACCTAAATAAGTCATTTTGACATTGAGCAAAAGTGGTGTCGCAACTTCTTGAAAAAATCCTTCCAATTGTAAGTCGGCGTCGGAATCTTCATAAATTTTTCTGCAAAATAGGAATAAATAAGTAAAATCTATTTGTTAGGTTGAAAAGATTTAATGTAGTTTTGATACCTGGCTATTCCGTCGTTTTCATTTGCCATTCGTTTTAAAAAGTCATGATCCAAATCATCGCCAAATCCAAGACAAAACAGAGAAAATCGTCCTGCAATTTTTTCTTTTATATATTTTCGGATACTAGATATTCTTGTAATTCCCGACGTCGGATTACCATCAGTTAAAAGAATTATCATTGCTGAAACTTTGTCATCGATCGTTACTCCAGAGAGTAATTCAGAAGCTGCTGTTAAGGCACTGTTGATATCGGTCCCTGACAATAATAAAGGCGCTTGAATACCATAGATTGTTCATGTAATACATCGGCAACAATATGTAAAGCCACGTGACTGAGAGCTCATACTCACCTCCTGCAGCACGAATGCCGTTTACGTGTGTAATGGCGTTATTTAGATTCGCTTTAGTTACGTCAACTAAACCGGCCTCGGTGTCCGACCATATAGTTAGGCTGCTCGCGAATGACACAATGTTGAATCTGTGAAAATGTACCGCGCCAGTTAGGTGCTTGTAGCCATTTAGAATTGACGATGACATGATACAGCAGTATTAATGTAAAAACATTCCCGTTCAAAACGTTGATACCTGCTAAACAGTTATGATTGGTAGAAATTTTACTTGAAAATACTCATCACTCCCATAACATATAGTGTCAATCAGTCTACACATCTTCACCTGCGCAGTTTGGTGTGATCAATACCAACCTGCCCCATGGAAATTCCTGAATATTATCATTAAACGCATGTTCTACATTCTAGATAAGGTAATATATTATGTCTGATTAAAATTACGCGATTTTAGGTCATCTTGAAATCCACAAACATGGTTAAACATGGTTCTTACTGGTCGGAGTCTTTGAGTTCTTTTATGACCGATACAAATGCATCTTTGGTTTGCGAGATTTTTTTCCCGGACATCGATCCACTTCTATCAATCACAAAAACAACTTTCTTGGGTAAAACTGGAAGATCTTCTGGCGCAAAAAAATGAACAAAGTATCCGTTTCTTGTTTGAATTTCTCCACCTAAATCTTCCCGAGTAACGTCATAATTTACAGTAAATTTTTGTTCATCTTCAGGTAAAGTTATAAGACGACGCATTTCGGTTGGTGTTGGCTTGAATCTAGATTGAAAAAAATAATAGTAAGAACTTGTGTACAAACAGTTTTAAATCGTTGTACTCGACTGTTTTTCAAATCAATGTGTATTTTCAGACGTTTGTGAATATGTCCGTTTCATACGTTTGGTTATCTAAAATAGTTACAATGACTGCTTAGACAGGAAAATCTGACGATGTATGTATGACATATGAAAACTCTTTATAGACTTATGTTCCCACTTATTTCTCATTGAACTAACATTAGGTATTATTTGTCGTATTTCTCATTCTAAGTATGATTATTTGACAAAAATACTAACGTGACTTTAGCCTGGTATTTGCTTCTTCTGACATCAGTATTGACTTGTAGTATACCGTCTGAATCTCGTCCTCTCAGACCCTTGTCTCTGGCTCCACTACCCTCACCAGCATATGTAGTAGATATCGATGTAATTCCGGATCTTTCCGTTATGAATATATCAATCACAAAATGATCAATGACCTAAAATGGGAGAGTATTTAAAACTTACTCCATGTTCAACATCTTCCTCGCATAAACCCCCATCTTTATATATACAAATAATTTCCACCCTAGTCTTAGTGAAAGGAACTTCTCTTAAATCAGGTCGGTTGTATAATGACGTATTTGAAATGTAGTAAATAGATTGGTGAGCAATAATTCAATGTATAAAAATAGCTCATGGATCGTTTATATAAATTGTTGTTCATTATGTTGATGTTGTGACATTTGTCTTTCACTTTTTTCTACTGAACTATTTGCTTTCCATATTTTCGGTGGTTAAAGTTGAAAGTGTCTCCCAGAACGCTTTTACTTATATATCTTGTTTGTTTTCGTTTTTTTGTAAGAAAATTTGCGCAAACAAGTTCACGCGAACTCACAAAACATAAGCAAATGAGGGTATTTTCACAGCAATCCCACTCCACCCTCCACGTTTACCAGTAACTGGTGAGTGACTGCTTTGAAAATCAAAAGACACCGGCAATTTTTTCATCTATGTGTTGCACAATACTGCCTTGCTCTTCATTGCTGTGGCCTTTGCCATTGATGTGATATAGCTAACTTTCAACTTTGAGTTTTTTCTTAATTTCAACGTTAGAAATTACCTCTCTCAGGTTCACCATAATTGTATGATCATATTGCCCTAGCCTCCGCTTCAATAGTTGCTGATAAACAAGATGAAATTCCACACTTGATTGAGCAGGCACATTGGCAGTAACATCAAAGGTCTGAGTCTCCCGAACATCCGCAACAACCAGACCCGCAGTGTTACCCTAAAAATAGACACTTGATAATTGAATATACAAAGCAGACAATTTTTCTATTTTTCATCCAGTCTTGTCCTAAGAACATAAAAATTTAGATCTCAAAATAATTTTAAAAAGATTGTTTCAAACGAAATAATAGTCTGCTTATGTAGGCCGCGAGCCGAGGCCATTTATCTTTCAGTTTCGTAGCGCACATGAGGTAACTGCCTGAAAATGATTTTAAAATGTTCCTTAGAAATTTAGTAACAAATATTGCCTTGTTCCCACTTCCAAAAGTTGCACGTTTTACGGAAAAGACGTTTTTACTACAATAAATATGTGTTACCGCCTGTCCTATATTCTCTGTTTTTCGGTATCATGGGCCAATGAACGCAGATATTCTGCATGACGTAACAATCAAATTGGTCAGCTGTAGGTGGATCCCCCATGGTCGGATGGATATCAGATGTACTACTGCTCGCTTTTGCGTTGAGTAGCCTTTCCACAGTCTTTTTCAGTTATTGGACACGTTTAGTGGCCATAACGATCGTTTCAAAATTTTGTTGTTATTGTTATTGTTGTTATTTGTCTCTGTCTCCATTTTAAAAAAATCGCTTTTCTCTTCGAATACTGGACCAATTGCTTTGATATTTTCAGTGGTTGAAGATAAAATTTTTCTCCAGAATTGTATTAGTTTTTTTTTCGCCATGACGTCATCAAAATTATTGCCACTGGGTGGCGCCACGTGTCCATATATTTGAGCATAGCTCTCTTGTTATCAATTGAGTTATTCTAAGAAGGTGGTAGAAAAGTATGAGTAGGATATTAAACACTTGTATATCCTTACCTTAAATAGCAGTTTTGGGTGAGCACTGGCTCATAAGACGTTGTTAAATAGGTACGATAACTCCAAGGAAGGCTAGACCTAGAATAATATGCCACAAACAACGATATTTTCTGACTTGCATGAAAGGTTTATGATTAATTTAATGACAATTCTTGACTATTCAGCAGACTTATACTACTATATAGGCCATGGCATATTTGGAAATATAAATTAATGGCTGTTTCTGTAATGCACGGTTGTGTGAAAGAGAGGAAAACAATCAATTTTACTGATGTCGGTTGGTCTAAATCTAAATTCATAGAGTCGACAAGAACCTGGGAAGCAATGATGAGTTATGCCGCAGTGGAAAAAAAAGTAGCACTGGAAGCGATTGAGAGGTGAGAAATCAAGTTGTAGACAGACAGTTGATGTTTTAAAATATAGTCCATAGGGCATTTCAGATTGTGATATATCGAAATTCAGTGTAGATATAGTCTAGTACCGGTATGCAAACACTGCAGGACTCTAGTAATGCAATGAGCATGTATACGCTTATTGAGTACATCAGATAAAATGCATTATGTATTAGTCAGTATTTAGTGGTATTTTACACTCATGCTATTCCAAATATGATTTTCTTCCTCATATTAGATACTGCACTACAAAAGAAAACGTCAATGTTCCACCAATTCAACCTAACGCAGGCTCTAATCCCTGCTGCTATCAGTGCTATAAAATGGATCGAACAAGAAGTCTTGAAGCGTAAAGGTATATGAAAATCATAACAGTTGCAAACAGTTTAAAAGGGCTATTCATAATGAAATACTTTCTCGCTTTTCTGCAATTGAAACTGCCCATCAAACCGATGTTGGAGACTTCATTTAGTTTTTCAATTCATTTTTTTTTTCAAATATGAAGATCTTTTGAGGTTAACGAGGCATTAATAAATAAAGCTGGGGAATTTGTTTGTTCACTGTATGGAGAGGATATGAAGAAGGTAAATGATACCAGGCACGTCTTTTTACCACTGGCATATGGATTATACTCATCCACCCAACAATGATTCACTGAAGAAGCATGTGGGGCAAGAAGCAAGCAAGCTGATGGAAAATTACCTGGCAGGACTTCATCATTGTTGCCTAGAACCAAGGCCAATTATTCTCCCACCTATCGGCCATAGATGTGTTCTTGATAAGGGTGTTTTGCGGGTTAAATTGATGGATCTACTTCAAGCCCCCAAATCCGTTCTTGGGTTGGCAAACTGCAAGTGTTGGCAATAGTCAAAATAATATAAGCCGTGTAATATAAGCCGTGTGTGCCGAAAGCAACCTATATTGCACAGTTTTTTGTTTTTGTATTGACTCCAAAAACCACAGTACACTTATAGAGGAAAAGTCGATTTTCGAGATAGTTGATTTCGGAAACAATTCAGAAGAAAGTGGATTAGATATTGAAGTTGATTTAATAAATACTATTTATTTTTTTTTTCGGACATCCGTTAGTGTCGTAGTCCTGTTTCTAGAAATAATATTCCCTTTGTTCAAATACATAACCACATAAACTAAAAAAAAACTAATTGTAATATTTCTGTTCACTATGTTATGTACATATTGTACATTCATTTAATTTTCTTGACTTTTCCTGTAAATTTCTAAGTGAGAAATAACTGATTTATTTGTGTTTTTTGTGCTCACGATGTTAATTTGTGACTTCATTGCTCAAAAATAAATACGTTTGATAGCTTCTATAAAATGAATGCAACTTCTTATGCTGTTCTTGTTGTAAACTGCTTGTGGTTATTACATAATATTTATTCGCTAATCTGAATCAGCGTTGTTGGTGTCCATACTTGAAGACCTTTCGAGGTCCTTCGCAAATCCTGTCACACAATTAAAATATTTTTTGTTGTTGGTTACATGTATGCCATATTTTTCGTAATCTACCTAATAAATTATGATTGACTGAGGAAGTCTGATTTTAGTCAGGCAAGACGTTACAGAAATACATTGTGTTAGTGTGCTGTAGGGCTCTTGAATTGCATAGTTCTTATGCTGCGTTGTTGTAAACCTATGGTTATTGAATTTCCGGGAACCTTATATCCAATTTCGCATCAGGATTGTGGAACAAGCTGTAATGCGTTCAGTATGTTCATTCTCATACAAAACTAAAGAATTGATTTAGTTACCAGATGTGCGCTACGAAACTCATTTTCTAGGCGTTTTTCAAGGCCTCGTCTCATGCCCATATCCGTGGTAAGGATGTACAAGTGTTTAGTAACTTACCTATACTTTTTAACAACGTCTAAACATAACTTAATTAATAATAACTAAACAGGGCTATGGAAAGGCTGCCCCACTCAACGCAAGATCGAGCAGTAATAACTAAGATTCATCCGCTCGTTAACAGCTGATTCGATGCAATTGTTACGTCATGCAGAAGTCACTGTTCATTGCCGGAAATGTAGAGAATATAGGACAGATCGTAGCCAGTGTTCCCTCTAAAGTGTGCGCGTGTGCGCGCGCACACAGCTTTCAGAGGCTGCGCACACGCATAGATTTACTGCGCACAGACGTATTTCGATGTAATGTAATAATGTTCTCGGTTGGCAGGTTGAGAAAGTTTGTTGTTGGCCCACTCATTACCCGGTTAGAACGCCAAATTTCTTCATTGGTTTTTGCACAATTATTAGTCATTTCCAAAAAAGTGCGCACACACCAAAGTTTCTGCGCACACATACTACAAAAAATTAGAGGGAACATTGATCGTTGCACATATTTCTAGTAGTAAAAGCGTCTTTTCCGTAAAACGTGCAACTTTTGGAAGTGGGAACAAGGCAATATTTGTTACTAAATTTTTAGGGAACATTTTAAAATCATTTTTAGTTAGTTACCTGATGTGCGCTACGAAACTCACTTTCTAGGCGTTTTTCAGGGCCTCGGCTCGCGGCCTACGTTCGTGTGAGTCTTTGGAAAGAGGCGCAGGTATTAAATGAGTTCTAACTAATAGAGTAGACAATGTTCAATAATAAAACACGAGAGTGATTAAGGTTTCCCATCCCCAAATAGAGTATGGACAACATCTCACCTTTTCGACGGCGCGATCGTACTGCTCTTTTGCCTCTTTCTTCTCTCGTATTTTCCCGACAAATTTCACACCGCCAACAATCCTGTGTGAGGTTAACAAAGAAGAAAAAAGTGTGAAAACATTGGGTAACACTAAGTTATAAAACTCCGTGATATTGGAAAAAATAATTACATGTCGAATTCTGTGATAAAGGCTGCTTCTGGAAGCCTTACTGAAAAAACAACTTCTTTCGCTGAGCGTTCAGTGTTCGCTATTTTATTCACAAACGATACTCTTGCAAATCTTGACTGGACGACACTCGTGACGTGCAAACTGTGATGGGGCTCATCTGGTCCATGATAAGACGATGCATGTCTTTTCTCTCTCTGGAATCAGTGATAAAAATAAATATATATATATAATTTTTGATGACAACATATAGCGTTGCAAACAAATTTTTAAAATGCCATTGAATAGTAAAAGAAAAACCTTACCGCTAATTCTTCACTTTCTGCAATGACGAAAGACTGTCCCCTTGACAGAGGATTCGCAAAACATACAGAATATAGAGATAGCAGCACAACAACCTTTGCTTGAACTTCAGTCCAAGTCATAACGTTTATATAAATACAACTCACCTGTTACAATAATGATTCAAAATTACATAAATAGAAATTACTTTACGTCTGGTCATAAAATATAATAGAAAGCGCGGTTCTGACAAAATTCACTTAAAAATATGTTCCGAAAATATCGGAAGATATACAACAGTATTCGTCCAATATTGAAGTTTCTTAGGACCAATAACGTTTTAGATGGCTCAAAGTACTCACTCTAAGGGTTACTCACTCAACACCCCCTTCCACTAATCAAGAGCAATCATCAAATTTAAATGCAACTATCGGGTAAATTAGCAAAAAACATTGATCGATGTCTGTCCCGAAAAAAAATCTTTTTTGCTGCTCAACATGATTACGAACGCTGTTCGTGGATATGGTTTACCCTTTTTATACCTGAGCGTTGCTATCAAGTCAGTTTAAGTCTCATAGTCCAGTGCTATATATCTAGCTAATATATACTTGCATGTCAAAGGCTTCAACTCAAAAACAGAACTCGCCTGAGGCGCACCAGATCATCTAAACAAGTTTATATCGAAATCGTAACGTTTTTAAAATATTGAAATTTTAAGATAAAATTAGGTAACTTTTGAAGATTCTCATTTAACTGATATGCAATACCGATATAAATATATGTAACGTGCATTTTTCGTGATTCTCCCTTAGATAGGAAAAATTTTGTTTGATTGACGTCGTTTCTTGCACGCTCCATGCTCTATTAGTTCAATCGTGAGTTTATTGAACGGCGCCCTCATGTGGGAGTTTTAATATAAAATAAATATTGCAATTCCTAGTCAGATCACGTTTTAAAAATATTTATTTGATAGTTCATAAATGCGGCAAAATGAAATCGAAATGATGCTGTTTAAAATTAATTTGAACTATTCTTCAAATTGGCCACAATTCGGAATTGTAAATATATTCTCAATTTTCTGGGATTCCCGTATATCCATTTGTATGTGCATCGGTTTTATTCTGTGTCTTGAAAAGCATAAAAAAAAATAACGGACTTTCAAGGATGAACATGTAAATTTTTCGAGAGCTTGCCTGGTGGCGCCAGTAAATTTGCATCGAAATTCAAAAGCCACGAATTCCAAACATCGGTCCATCGTCACGTTTCAAATCGTGTATTTAAAAGAAACAAAATACGAAACTTTTGCGGTACGACGATAGGAAAATCACAATTTATGAGAATTCAAACGCATGATGGAATGATTAAAATAATTTTTTATAGTATAAATATATATTTTTGTCAGTTCACTCAGTGCAATATTTGTTATTTTTTTTTCGCGACCTGCTATATGGTAAAGTGAAGCAACCCCCCGATTTCACTCCGTCAGTATTTAATTTTAACAAACTTGCGACTTCTACTTTTTAATGTATTTCTACGTGCGCTGTAAGTATTCCTCTCCCACTCAAATATTCTGGATGTAATATTACAAAACCATTGAATTGAATAAATTTATTGATTTATTACCAGGATCATTTGTGAAAACTTTAGAATCTAACTGATAGCTGTTTAAAACATAAAACATAAACAATAACTTTACTGATTATTTGTAGAAGCGACAAAATGATAAAGAGAAACTGTTACTTAGGAACAAATCGGTATCGCATTTTGAAACCACCAGCTCCCAAACTATCATCACTCAAAAATGCAATCGATATCTTCTTCTCCGATGTCGTTATTCCATCTGGTAGATTGTATCCACAGATTTGTTGCACATTCTTCCCATTTTTGATAACTAATTTATCGTGATTGCATTGATCTCCTGGTCCCATTTCTATATCCATATCAATGATGGTTAAACGCAATTTGTGACTCGAATCTGTGTTGGCAAAATTCCACATGCAATATGCGTTGTCTGGATACATTTTTGGATACTGAGGAGATGTGATGATGCCTTCTTTGCTATTAGAAGATGAAATATCATCACCACAATTCTTCATAGATTGATTCAAAGCAAATTCAGAATCCTTCGGTGTAGCAATTGGTTGCAACGGACTATCCGGCTTGACTACAAAACAATATTCAATTTATATAATATTGCAAATGACGTGAGAAGGGTAAATATCTCAATTTATGCTGACACAATATATATTTGTAAAATGTGTACAATCTTCAAATTGGCCGAAAAATGAGAGTGGTGCAATGGTCCGTTAACTACATTGACAAAATGCATATAATATAATAACTAAGAAACCATATCCATCATCCGTAGACAAAATGCAAACACGCAACACATTGTTTTCTTAATCAAATCGTGCTGAATAAATTATGGTTTGCGCACGTGACGACTTTCCAACTCCTTATCACAACGAATTGCAAGGGTAGGCCAAAGTAAGGGTTTCCATTCTTAATTCGATACACTTGCGACATTATAACAGTAAGTTATTATGCTTATCGCAAATTTTATCTTTGTTTATTTTTTAATTTAGTCGAATCAACTGAATTAAGATAATAAAATTTAATTGAGAATCGGGTACCTGCGAAAACCCGCAGGTACTAGAGTTAGACATTAGACTTGAAGTTAGTTAGATATATATTGACTGATTACTAGTTTCATCTTATTCGTAATTTATTATTATTTATTAAGAGCTTCGACGCGTATATGTCGTAGATTGCAATGGGCGTGCAACTCAAATATACATGAACTATTTTACATGAATCCAATAAAATAAATGGATGCTCATATCATACTTACATTGATTGTAAGAAATCACAATTCCTGGCCATCGATCATCTTTCGGATAAACCGTCAACAGAACAGTCGCTGTGTTATGCTGTATCGACACGGATTTCAACTGGGAGATTCCACCTTTGTGTTCCAAAATAGTTTTGCCCTGGCTTGTGACGATCACCTGCACCAAATCATGTTGGAATCAATGGTATTGTATGGAAAAGGGGGGGTTGTGGGGAGTGGCGGAAATGTTCGTGATTCGATTTGAATCAAATTTAGTGTTATTGGAATAAGTTCCAATCGTATCAGTATCAGTAATTTATTTTTTCACCGCAAGGTACATATACAGAATAAAATAAAAGAAGAATAGCATTTCAGGGTGGAGGGAAACGCTGAAAAACCAGTATTGGTTATCGAGCAGCGACACCCTAGATGGGGTCTAACACAGCATGAAGAAATAACATGAAATAGAAAGCTTAAAATGAATATGAATATGAAAATAGACTCCAAGCACCACCAAGGTAACCACGGCAACTGCTCAGCTGAAGCACTGGCTGCGGGCGAGTGTACAATTAACGTATATGGCACCGAGACAAATTTGTGTTTTATAGGATGCATAACTGAAATTTGTGAACGGATTTGCCAGTACGGATAGAATGTTAACTATTAAGTGTATCGCATATTATTTTTTTTGTTTCAATTATGTTTGGTAAAGAGTGGCTCATGAAACACCGCGACGAAAAAGTATATAATATTCCGGCTAATGTCTGTACTGATCTAATATTCGATTGCAAAGATTGCAGCTTTGTGTGAAGCTTTTAAAAACCTCTTTGCGCGAGAGGATTACTGACATACGGCCGCCGTATGTTTGTTCGACGCTCGTGGTTCGATTACGGTATTCTCCGTCACCCAAGTCCATATTTCTTGAACGATAAGTTGGTTAAGTATATCTTTTCTCTTGCCCGACCAAGGCTATGAAGAAGATTGTGTTCTGAAATATGATTAAATCGCCTTATCGTATTTGTTTTTCATTCGAACATAAATTCGACATCCGATTATGAGCAATTGCCGAGATCTGGCAAGTTTAACTGCAGACATAATCGAATGAGATAGTAGAAGTGTTCACATAATTTACTCACTTTGTTTTGAGTAGTGTTAAGAGTCTCCGCTTTTATGTCCATCCAACTATTTTCTGTCAGTTCAATCTTCCATTCACATTGGTATGGATTCTTTCTAATCTCATGCGGGAGTTGTATTGTGCCGCTTTCGTCGTCGAGTTTTCCACTACATTTATCCCAGATTTTTATGTCTGCAAACGATGATAAAATGTAACGTAGGGAGAAATAGGTTTAATAGGCAATCAAGTGATATCAGATATTAGCTTAAACATTGGTTGAAAAAATTATAATCGAGACAGCACAAATTTTTAGCAGCCTCAATTTTGACAATGAATCTTACAACGATTTCTTGATTTTCACGCCTAATCACAAAAGTAATATTATTTGTGGTGGCTCAGGGATGAGTGCGTGCTTCGATCATTTTTACTAGGAAAAATGCCTATCATTTTTTAATGTCTTGGGTTGTTAAGTTTATTATCAATTTTAAATCCATAATTACGCTTTCACAGAACAATATGTGGACAGGTTGGTATAGGTACAAGTACATGTCATAAACAAATAAAGCAAGATAATCAATTCGATTGATATATCAAAAACTCATTAATTTTACTTGGTCCTCGGGAAGTAGCACCTGATGACGGGCGCGAAGGTCGAACACATGCCAAGAAGAAAAAAATTAGGAAAATTGCAATAAAACTTGATATGCATACATCGACGCTACATGTTCGCAGCAAATATTTCGCTCGTAAGGCTAATTGTTAAAATTAATGTTCTATGGAAACAATATATGAGGCGTTGGTTGGGGAAAGTAGCGTTAGTAGCTTATTCAAAATAAACCTACTTGAAAATTTTGGCTGTAATGATTGAGCAGACGAATAATTAATAGAATGCCAACTAGTATTGGATATGTAGCAGAAACCATTCATCTTCATTTAATCTTTTAGCTACGGAATATGTCAAGTAGTCACATACATACTGCTTTTGTTTCTTTACTAACAAATGTTTCACCTGATCGCTGAGGTTTAAAAGCTATAGGGGGCTACTCATGTCATTTGATGCAAAATATATAAATGAAACTATTATCAAATCCTTTTTTTCTTTGAATCTATATATATACATTTAATAAAATCAATGCTCATCTGAGATACACTATAAATGTTTAATAAAAATTGTTACAAATTGTGAATATTAAAAAATCAAAACGCAACTTTTAGAAAGCGCACTTTTTATTACTCGACGCAGGAGAAGATATAGCATTTAACAATCTTTTTTGCGTACATGTTTAATATTTTATAATTTTCAAATTGGTTGTCTATTATCAAGAACTGATTATTGAAACGTTCTTGATTTCATTAAATGAATAAAAATGTACTAATATTAGAGACTAAACGCACGTGGGAGAGTGGGAGCATTAAACTCTGAAATATATAGAATACATGATCTCAATATCAAACACATTATTTTAAAACTTCGTAAATTGCAAGGCACAAAGAGTAGTATAACAACGAGATCAAATCAAATATTGTGTATACCTACGATCGAAAAAATTCGTTCAAGCCGAATAGAAAAAAATTACTTTATTTATACATCCAACATTAGCTAACAAATGTATGTTTTGTGTCAAATAGATAGGAAAGTATTGATATTAGATACCTAACTCACGTGGGGGAGGTGGAGGAGGATCACCTGAAATATATAGAATAGATCATTTCAATACCAGGCACATTATCTTTGAACATGAACTTTATGACGTAAACTATAGTTAAGTCGCGTTGCGAGATTTTACGACATCGACAATTACAATTTTGAGTCGCATACTACTCAGAGATAGAAAAGTATTGATATTAGATTCCAAACTCACGTGGAGGAAGTGGAGGAGTAAACCCTGAAATATATAGAATACATTAATACCAATCATATTATATTCAATTATGAACATATAAGGTAAGAAACATATAATAAGTCTCATCACTGTTCACAACCTAACCGTTCACCATTAACAGGATGTTATTTAACAAACCTGGTAAAAGTCTTTTCCAACCGGAACCTCCTGAAATACCTATATATATATATATATACATATATATCATTAATATAATATCATAATTGATTATCCTCATAATTGAAGACAAGTTATACAGTATAAAAGCGATGTAGGTAAGTTAAAGTATTAGTGAATATGTCATTCCTTATTTTTTATTTCATTCAGAGCGTTTTCAATACTTGTTTAAGCCGAATTGTTCTGTTCATAACGGTAGCGTTACTTGCGTACCGTATTTAATACACGGAGTTTGTAGTACACCACAGAAAGTCTACTCGGAGTAATAAATTCTCGGGTTTTGCCATAGTTAATATTTATTGACAATTTTATAGCAAAAATAAATTCGTATGTTTTTTAAATAAGAGCCTTAGAACTCTTTCACAAGTAACCTGAAAAACCGTCGAGAAGTGGGATTCTACCGAAAACTCCCGAAACACACATAATTAAATGGTAAAATATCAAGAGTAATCGGAAATAAACAAAAGAGCAACAAAATGCAAAAATGTTGCTGAGCATAGCGTTCACAAAAAACAAATTGTCAGCCGTGACGTAGGCGGTCACGCCTGAGAAAGTTATAACTTTGTTCCCATGAATTAAAATAAAGCAGTGTAATTTTGGGTGTAATATTGGACCTCATTGATACTCACAAGGGAACTGGAAAATAAATTAAAGTACTAGTCTTCTGGATCATCTTACTTCTGAAGGTTTAAAATCGATCGTTCAACAAGTTACGAAGAGAATTCCATTTTCGCGGTGCTCTTAGAAATTACCATCTACCCATTAGATTTTCTGCCAGCACTTATTTAAAATTGAACTGCTGCTGGCTGGCAATAGCTAATAAGTATATATTGGAGTTTGAACGGTAGAAATATTCTGTGCATTTATATCTAAGCGTTGTAGCGTTGTAGTACTTTTTGGTCATCAGTATTCTATCAACTTCTTGTTAGTGCCTCGGTATTTTAGTTTGACCAATCATACATAATAAATATTAAAATTTTTTCTATTGGGAAAGGCTTCATTAAAACAATTGGATATATTTTTGTACTTGCCTGAGCGTGGTATCGAACCAGTTCTACTTGATGACCCACCTGTGGATAGTTAAACTAAAATTGAATGTTATACAACGAAAAAATTAAGAAGTCGCTAAAAATGATACTTTACTACATTTTTATCTCGTAAGAGATAAGGCGTTTTATATTTGTCAACAATATATTTTCGTACTTACCCCCAATTATGCGCTGCACAGAAGATCCACCTGAAGAGCTTCCTGTAAAGAATGTGAAAACAGAAACGACAGCAGAAATAAATATTATGCGAAGGTAAAATGGGAACGTGGCTAAGGAATTGAACATCTCGCTACAATTTTGTCTTGTACTGTAAAACAGGGGACAGGTGACAGATTTAAGCCAATTGCATTCACTAAAAAGGTTCATAATAGTAGCAAAACTTTACTTCTGTCAACTCGTGAGTGAGGTGGTGTATATATGTTCGCATTGTCAAATTGTTGTAATACAGCACCAGTGAATCACTTCACAAAAATAGGAATCAGTGATTTTGCAACGTTACCTTTGACCTTTTCAACTTTTTAACATCAAAAACAACATGAGGCAAAGGCAAATTATTAAAGTACTGTACAAACCTATGATTCTTCCGGAAAGGGTTTTGGTAGAGGAAGAGTCCCTTCCACTATCTGACGAGCTGCTATCTCTTGCCGCTGACAAGATATAGGGGCACCATATAGGAGGTCGTAGAAGCAGGTGTCCTCGAGGAATGATGTCACTTCGAAGATAACACGGAGGTATTGTTGGAATTATTGTGGCTGAAACAAGTAATTATCGGTTGATTTTATTTTTACATTCAGAGAGTTTGCACAATACTCTATTAATCACGTCCATATACAAAAATAAATTAAATGATTTACCGATTAGATGTCCTCCCCCATTTTTGGCCCCAAACAAATTCTCTCCATACCATACCAAAGTTTTTGACGCCTTATTTGAGATTTTGCAAGGTGCCGCCTAAAAACTGTTGTACATATTTTAAACACCATCATTTCTAATCTATTAATAAACTACCTTTCATTTACATATTCTAATGGATGATTTTAGTCTCGTCTATTGCAGCTTTTCAGGGAAAATTCTGATTAACTACTTGGCGGAAACATCCATCTTATATCAACCTGGCTAGTTATCAGGGAGACCGTCAACAGGATTGCTATGGCCATACTTTGTCATAGGATTGGATTAATTAATTGAATTTTTTAGTATAAATATGAAACCATGTCTTCTGTTTCGTTGAATAATTTAAAAATATAAATTATTTGAATCTAGCACACAATAAACTGCTATTGTGTAATGGTGAAAAATATTTCAATCATTTAGGCAAGTGAATATATCCCAATACTCACGCCTAGCAGGGGTTGTTGTTATTTCATCTTCAGGTAATGTAACCACCATCGATGTGAGAGGAGTCACGAAACTGTATTTCAGAGCTAATCGTAGTGCTTCACTTGTTATTTGATAAACTTCTCTCTGTGTGGGAAGGTGAAAATAATGAGAGCATTGAATATTAAATGGCCAAAAAGAGTGAAGAACAACACGAGTTTGAACAAGAATAACTCACTCGACTTGATGATAAAGTTATTTTTTCCAAAAGATCGCGTATTGTGAAATACGCCCATAAACGTTCTATAAAATCTTCAAATGCGCCAGTTTCTTTGTGCCAGTGTTGAAATGTTTTATCTAATTCTTTGCTTTTTACATTATATTCTACTTCACCATCCTTAGATGTTCCTTTGATCGTTGATTCAACAACTTTCGTTTTGTCACCTGAACGATTTTTAACGAATCTTCATTATCAGCTATAATTGTATTAAGATCATAGTGTTTATACACATAAATGCCAGAATAATAATATTAACTGCAAATATCGCTAGATACCGCAAGAAATCAACGAGAAAGACCGGATAATCACTAAGAAAATGGCATTGTCGTACTGGACTCTGTTACTGCAACTCACCGCCACCGGGAGCTATTGCTCCAACAACAACAACTTCAGATCCTCTGAAGAATTTGCTAAAATCTGTTTGACTGATGTTTGCCAAGTTCACACCTAAATAAGTCATTTTGACATTGAGCAAAAGTGGTGTCGCAACTTCTTGAAAAAATCCTTCCAATTGTAAGTCGGCGTCGGAATCTTCATAAATTTTTCTGCAAAATAAGAATGAATCAGTAAAATATTCTTGTTAGGTTGAAAAAATTTAATGTAGTTTTGATACCTGGCTATTCCGTCGTTTTCATTTGCCATTCGTTTTAAAAAGTCATGATCCAAATCATCGCCAAATCCAAGACAAAACAGAGAAAATCGTCCTTCAATTTTTTCTTTTATATTTTTTCGGATGCTAGATGTTCTTGTAATTCCCGACGTCGGTTTACCATCAGTTAAAAGAATTATCATGGCTGAAACTTTGTCATCCATCGTTACTCCAGAGAGTAATTTAGAAGCTGCTATTAAGGCACTGTTGATATCGGTCCCTGACAATAATAAAGGCGATTGAATACCATAGATTGTTCATGTAATACATAAGCAACAATATGTAAAGCCACGTGACTGAGAGCTCATACTCACCTCCTGCAGCACGAATACCGTTTACGTGTGCAATGGCGTCATTAAGATTTGCTTTAGTTACGTCAACTAAACCGGCCTCGGTGTCCGACCATATTGTTGGTCGGCTGCTCGCGAATGATACGATGTTGAATCTGTGAAAATGTACCGCGACGGTTAGGTTCGAGTAGCTAAGATGATGTCATTGCCATTCAGAATTGCCGATATCGAGGTGCAACAGTATTAAATAAGAAAAAAACTACTAAGGCCTAATTCAAAACGTTAAAATCTATAAAACATTTGTGATTGGTAGAAATTTTACTTCAAAATTATTTCTCACATCCGTAACAGAGTAATAGTCTAAACATCTTCACCTGCGCAGTTTGATGTGATCAATATAAATGACGTGTGAAAATTCCTAAATATTCTTATTAAGCGCATATTTGGTATTCTAGCTGAGGTAATATATTATGTCTGATGAAAATAACACGCTTATTGGGTCATCTTTAAAACCCCAAACATTGTTAAAATGTGGTTCTTACTGGTCGGAGTCTCTGAGTTCTTTTATGACGGATATAAATGCCTCTTTGGTTTGCGAGATTTTCCTCCCGGACATCGATCCACTTCTATCAATCACAAAAACAACTTTCTTGGGTAAAACTGGAAGATCTTCTGGCGCAAAGAAATGGACAAAGTATCCGTTTCTTGTTTGAATTTCTCCACCTAAATCTTCTCGCGTTACGTCATAATTTACGGTGAATTTTTGTTCGTCTTCAGGTAAAGTTATTAGACGACGCATTTCGGTTGGTGTTGGCTTGAATCTAGATTGGAAAAAAACAATAATAAGAACTTTTGGACAAACGGTTTTGAATCGTTGTACTTGACTGTTTTTCAAATCAATGTGTATTTTTAGATGCTTGCAAATATGCCCGATTCATACGCTTAGTTATCTCAAATATTTACAACGACTGTTTGGGTCAGAAAATCTGACGATGTATGTATGACACACGAATACCTTATATGGACGTATATTTCCAACTTATTGAACTAATATTAGGTATTATTTGTCGTATTACTGATTCTACCTAATGGCCAGGGAATTTCCCTAACAAAAATACTAAGTAAAAATAACAGGATCTCTTTCAACGAAATAGTAAGTATATTTGTGAGCTTTCGTTGGATCATGGTCTAACTTCTTCAAACAATACAAGATATAACTGTAAATATAAAGATCACAAGAATTTAATTTATTTTAAAATTAAGTTTTCTATAACTGATTTAGATGATATAGTAATTTAATCCGTATCATCTCAGAACTGTCGGTCTAACTGATGTGGTTGGGTTGAAGTTCGATAGACGAGTTAGAGAAAACTTAATTTTAAAATAAATTAAATTCTTGTGATCTTTATATTTACAGTTATATCTTGTATTGTTTGAAGAAGTTAGACCATGATCTAACGAAAGCTCACAAATATACTTACTATTTCGTTGAAAGAGATCATGTTATTTTTACTTATCACTTTAATACTATCTCTATCAAGCATCCTTGTGGTGAATGCCACATACGGATCCGAAGTAGAAAGTAAACAAGGAGAAAGGACCTGCAGTTCAATACACAATATCCAAGTTCCCTTAAAAAATACTAACGTGACTTTAGCCTGGTATTTGCTTCTTCTAACATCAGTATTGACTCGTAGTTTATCGTCTGAATCTCGTCCTCTCAGACCCTTGTCTCTGGCTCCACTACCCTCACCAGGATATGTAGTGGATATCGATGTAATTCCTGATCTTTCCGTTATGAATATATCAATCACAAAATGATCAATGACCTAGAATGCGAAAGTATTTAGTACTTACTTCATGTTCCACATCTTTCTCACATAAACCATTATCTGTACAAATAATTTCAATCATAGTATAGTGTAAGAAACTCCTCTTAATCAGGTCTTTTGTACAGTGACACATTTGAAATGTAGTAAATAGATTGGTGAGCAATAACTCAATGTATGAAAAAAGACCTATGAATCGTTTACATAAATTGTTGTTCATATTGTTGATGTTGTGAAATTTGTATTTCACTTTTTTTCTACTGAACAATTTGCCTTCCATATTTCCGGTAGTTGAAGTTGGAAGTGTCTCCCAGAACGCTTTTACTTATATATCTTGTTTGTTTTCGTTTTTTGTAAGAAAATTTTCCCAAGCAAGTTCACGCGAACTCACAAAACATAAGCAAAGGAGGTTATTTTCACATCATTTCCACTCCACCCTCCACGTTTACCAGTAACTGGTGAGTGACTGCTTCGAAAATCAAAAGACATCGGCAACTTTTGCGTCTATATATTGCGCAATACTGCCGTACTCTTTAATGCTGTGGCCTCTACCGTTGATGTGATATAGCTAACTTGAACTAAGACAATTTCCATCATTAGAAAATTACCTCTTTCAGGTTCACCATAATTGTATGATCATATTGGCCTAGCCTCCGCTTCAATAGTTGCTGATAAACAAGATGAAATTCCACACTTGATTGAGCAGGCACATTGGCAGTAACATCAAAGGTCTGAGTCTCCCGGACATCCGCAACAACCAGACCCGCAGTGTTTCCCTATAAATGGACACTTGATAATCAAATATACAAACCAGACAATTTCTTAAATCATTCACGTGACTTAATCTGAATGAATTCCAGTTCTTCACGGCGGCTATTTCTGTTTACACCATTGTAATGTAAACTTTTCAAGTGGGAAAAATACATACCATAAATGCTCGTTTCAACGCCCGGTCTTGATTAAGGGCCCGTTTGAATAGCCGCCCGTGTGAACAGGACATGAAAATAAATAAGGGCCGGTGCTTGAATACCCGCCCGGTGTAAAAGTTTTTTTTTTCGGATTTGTAGAATTAATGTTTCACCGCAAGGGCCGCAAAATTGCATTTTAATATAAAATGGCCTCTCAGCCATTATTGATCCTTTGACATTCGTTGTTCTTTTCGCACAAGCTATGGCATTGTGACGGCATAGATAATAAATTGGTCTCGTGGCAACACAAACGGATTACTCGCACATACCAAATTAAAAACTCGTTTTGTGAGCCGCACACCATTCAAAATTGACACTCCTCCGGGCCTCCCAATTTTTCCTTGTGGGCGGAATTTGACCCACGGGTCGCAACCCCTGCCATAGAGTATATATAGAGTATAGACAAGAACTTACCCTTGCAACGGCGCGATCGTACTGCTCTTTTGCTTCTTTCTTCTCTCGTATTTTCCCGACAAATTTCACACCGCCAACAATCCTGTGGAGGATTCACGAAAAAATAAAAAGTGTGAAATCAGTGAGTAACACTCAAGTTATAGAACTTCATGGGGTTGTAAAAGAATCTTACATGTCAAATTCTGTGATGAAGGCTGCTTCTGGAAGCCTTACTGAAAAAACAACTTCTTTTGCGGAGCGTTCAGTGTTCGCTATTTTATTCACAAACGTTACTCTTGCAAATCTTGACTGGACGACACTCGTGACGTGCAAACTGTGATGGGGCTCATCCGGTCCATGATAAGACGATGCATGTCTTTTCTCTCTCTGGAATCAGTAATAAAAATAAATATATACATATAATTTTTGAAGACAACATATAGCGTTGCTGGTATATTAGCTACTTTTTAGAATGAAATAGAATTATTGAAGGGAACAACCTTACCGCTAATTCATCACTTTCTTCAATGACGAAAGACTGTTCTCGTGACAGAGAATTTGCAAAACATACAAGATAAAGGGATAGCAGCACAACAACCTTTGCCTGTACTCCACTCCAAGTCATAACGTTTATATAAATATACAACTCACCTATTACTATAACGGTTGAAAAATACATGTATAGAAATTATTTTACGTCGAATCATGAAATATAATAAAAAGCACGGTTTTGACAAAATTCACTTATAAAAAGGTTCCAAAAATAGCGAATACTATACAAAAGTATTCGTCCAATATTGAAGTTTCTCAAGGCCAATAACGTTCTATAGGTTGCTCAAAGTACTCACTTAAGGGGTTACACACTCAACACCCCCTTCCACGAATCAAGAGCAATTATTATTAAATCTAAATAGAACTATCAGGTATATTAGCAAAAGAACATTGATTGATGTCTGTCCCGAAAAATGTAATCTTTTCTGTTGCTCAACAAAATTACGAACGCTTCGTGGATATTGTTGGTCTTTTTTTTTTTTTTATATCTGAGTGTTGCAGCTATTAGGTCAGTTTGAGTTTTATGGTCCCGTGCCATAGAAATAGTTAATATATATTCGCATATCGAAAGCTCCAATTTTATTTTGTTTACGTGGAAATCCCCATTTGCAAAGTCGTTCGATGAAATCAAACTTAAAAACAGAACTCGCCCGAGGCGCACCTAATCATCTGAGCAAATTTACATCGAAGTCGTAACGCTTTTAAAATATTAAAATTTTATGATAAAATGAGGTAACTTTTAAAGATTCTCATTTGGCTGATATATAGTATCGATATACATGGGCGGCATTTTATTGAGATTCGCCCTAAGATAATAAAAATTTTGTTTGATTGACGTCGTTTCTTGCACGCTTCATGCTTTATCAATTCAAATGTCAATTCAATCATGAGTTTAGTGAACGGCGCTCATATGTGGGAGATTTAATGCAAAATAAATATTGCAATTCATAGTTTGTTTTTTATTTTTTACTGAGTCAGATCACGGTTGAAAAATATTTATCTGATAGATCGTAAGTGCGACAAAATAAAGTCGAAATGATGTTGTTTAAAAATTGATTTGAACTATCCTTCACATTGACTATAGTTCGGAATCGTAAATAAATTCTCAATTTTCTGGGATTGCCGTTTATCCTTTTGAATGTGGAACGGTTCTATAACGTGTATTGAGAGGCATAAACAAAAAATAATATGGACTTTCAATAATGAACATGTGAATTTTGCAAGAGCTTGCCTGATGGCGACAGTGAATTTGCATCGAAAATTAAAAGGCACGATTCCAAACACACGACCATCGTCACGTTTCAAATCGTGTATGGAAAAGAAACAATGAACGAAACTTTTGCGGTATGACGTTAGAAAATTCATGATTAATAACAATTAAAATGAAGGAATGATTACGAATATTCATTTATAGTAACATTATATATTTTTGTCAGTTCATCCATTAAAATTCGGTATTTTTTTCCTACCTGCTATAGCCGTGCCGACCGAGCCGACCCCGTGTTCCATTTTGTCAATATTTAATTTTAAAGAACTCGCGACTTCTACTTTGCATATTGATTATTGATACATCACCGAAGTTGTTTTGTTTGAGAGATATTTTTGTACTCTTCTCACATCCTAGCGTTGTTTTGTCAACGTATTTTCCACAATCTGAAAATACCAACAAAGTTCTATGAAACTAGATATGTAAGAACTATAATAGTTCCGGATTGACTTAGTGTGCCAGCCTTCTACATTCTAGGTGACGTGGTGAACATGGCAAATAGTACCTAAACCGGTCATAGAGGATGCCAGAATGTTCAGGCCAATTCCCGCAATCTCAACAATATGCTGTTCGCCTGTTCTTCTACCTGAGTTCGAAAGTATGAAGGAAAATTATGAAATATACAACAAAATATTTGCAAACAATTATTTGGAACTGTTATAGAAAATTATAATTATACTGTGGGGTGTAGATAAATACTAGATTAAGCTGATATCAGGACCAAAGTAAAAGAGGGAAGCATAGGGGGAGCAAAAGTTTGCCTTTACCTCTGAATTCTAAACTTGGAAAACGTGACAAGAACAACGAGATGCGCGACCTCCCTTTTTCGTCATATTTCGTGTTGTGGCATGATCTATCCGCCACAGTTTGGTGTCAGCGCCATATTTTTCCGGCTGTAGCCACCTTGAAAGATGAGCCACATTTAGTCACGTTTTTGTCATATGGTCGTGTAGACGCAGGCGTTTGCAAATTTATTTCAATTTTATTTTTTATGTCGTAGCGGTATTTACAATAAAAAGCGTTTTATTATTTTAACATAGTTTTCTGTTTCTACATATTTTGGTAAGCTTTTAATTCAGACTTTCATTTTTGTATATTCATTCTTCCGTATTACCGTATAGTATTAATCTTATATCAGTATATGGTCCTATGAAAAACGTCCACAATTCCTTTATCCTTGCTCCCACCCTTCATAACCAATAAATTACAATACTTACCTCAGTATCAATCCCCAAATATAATTATTTTATACTTAAACTGTTACCAGTACAGCAGTAGTACCATAATTGCTAATCTGGATTACAATTTGGCAATATTTTTGCATGTCTTTGGTGAATGAAAAGGTTTAGCCCACCTCTTCATGCACTCAACTTTGGTTGGGCAATTTGGCACTTGACTCCAATTATAATCAGCTTGGCGAAATCATTTTTTTGTCCTTTTACTGTTATATTAAATACTGTTCACTCTTGTTTGGGAATTTTTACAAAATTATTAAAATGGTGTGGCAAACAATTCTTGTTATTTATTACATTTCTTATCTTTTATTCTATTTTCTTTTTTATGTGATTATTTTTTTTTTTTTTGGTAATATATAATTATCTAAAGCTTCTCTCTTTTTTCTAATTTTATTAATGCCCTTTGGTTGTGTGTGTGCGAGTGTGAATGATTTGATTCAGTAGTTTTAGGTGAGTGAACACTTACCGCTCCTTTTTGGCAATACCTTCCATCTTATATTCTGTACGTTTTAAACCTTGTCCAAGTTTTTGTTCACTCTCCTGATTTCATAATCAGTTTTTATTTATTTGTTTTTATCAACCGTTTTATCGCCTTTCTGCTGATTATGGAGTCGAAATAAACTTACCTATTTTATCATTCATTCAATGGCGACTGAACATCACAGCTAAAAATTAGAATACCTTGGTTTATTGTTTAACAGATACCTACCGCTGTACCGTGTATTACAGTTTATATTTGGTTGAATATTGGAATTTATCTAAGTCATTGTTTCTGACAATCCCAATGGAAGACGGTTCCACTCAAATGGCAGATTTACCTCCAGCTGAAGATGATAGCTTAGACGATTTCTTTGCAAAAAAAGACAAAGGGAAGAAAGGAAAGAAAAAGAAAACAAAATACATCGCAACCGAAGCTCTAGCAAAAACATTAGAAAAAAGTCGGTTGATCTCAATTTCTATTGTATTCTTTTATGCCAATTTGTTGTAAATTAATTTTGTAATTGAATTTCTTTTTATTTCAGTCAATGCGGGAGTTGAAGAAGAAGAAAGTAAAGCTCCTAAAAAAGAAAAAGAAACTTCAGATGGAATGAAAGGAGTAAACAACAATGTAGTAGTTTTACTTTCAAATATTGTGATTTCCTCTTCATACAGCCTTAAATATTTATTTAGCACACTTTACAAATGAATTGGCATTCTCAAACTTTGAAGACACTTAGTGCAGTATGGCACAGTTATCCGATTCCAAGAAAAGCCCCCACAATAAAAGACATATATTATAGCGGTGACTGCAAATCCCTTCTTTACGAGACAGTCTGGGCCTCCATATTGAGTGGAAGTGGTGACTCCTCTTCGGCCCATGGGCCGGGGCCACGGCCCATCAAATTGGGCCTCGGCCCATCAGGCTATGGGCCGCGGCCCATCAAGTTGTGTGAAGAAACTATTCACTTGGCTAACACAGACAGTCCCCAAACTCATAATAGAACTATAATGTAAAAAATCTGAACAAAATTTTAACCTAATTCTAACCCTAACCTGGTACACATACTACAGGAGTTTATTTTTTGGTTCGAATATTGACAATTTTGAAAAAATTGAAAATTTTGGTAAGATAATTGAATTTTTCCTGACGGGGCCGTGGCCCATCAAGCTATGGGCCATGTGGCCCAATTAGATGAGCCGTGGCCCCGGCCCATGGGTCGTAGAGGAGTCACCACCCCTGTAGTCCATATTGGCAAATCAAAACTGTGCAAGAAACTAAAAGGGAGAGCAATTCAAAAACGTCACCATTGGATTTCTTGGAAAAAAATAATCTGATTCACCAAGGAAAAAAATTTTCACCATAGCATTGTCACATGACGACCGATGTACCTCGCGATTGATTATTTGTCATCAAGACAAGCGTGGCGTGATCTGCCATTCTGGCAGACGACTCTTTTCAGAGACAAATAGAGTGTTTGTTTTATTGAACCAAATGTAGGAACATCTTTGAATTACGAACAACGGCCTCTCGTCCGGTTACCTGTCCATGTCGGGTATAGGATTAGCTAGCCTGTTGTTGTTTTTGGAAGCATGGAATTGATGGTGGAGGATGCCGTAACCAACTAGCGGTTACGTGAACCATCCTGCGGCGGCAAGGAGTCCAGCAATCCTCTCGTACATAACTATCCCCGTATGGGATTTGAACCTGGGGTGCGATGGCGAGCGGATTCCCAATGCTTGGAACGTTGCGCCACACCGCCAAGTCCGAATTTTAGAATGTATTAAGAACAGTAACTCATTCCATTTTAGTTACTTGAAATTTCTTTTCATTATGGCACAAAAGATTGTGTGACATACCAAGTGTTTTCACTAATAGTAATTTGTGCCAGGATTAACAATTTTTGATTAAGCAAATTTTGAGGCCAAATTACTTCTATGTATTGAAAATACCAGTTCGTCATAAATTGTATTCATAACTTGGAAACCTAAATTTTTAGGATGGTGAAGAATGGCATGAATATGAAGATGAATCTGAACGAGATTACAGTGATTTGAAGATTCAAAATTTTCAAATAAGGTAAATCACGTACTATTTGATTTGAATTTTAAATAAAATGATTTTTTCATTTAATAATGTCATGAAACACATTCATTATTATCTGAGATTAGCCTGTTTATTTGAACTGTTTTATTTCTTATATCAATCAAGGAGGTGGATGGAGTTGAACGAAATTCCTAAATGACTCCAAAAAGACAAATATTTTGACTTTTCTCTGGCTCCACTTTCAAACTCAAAGAAAATCAAAATTCAATAAAAACTTGGGCATATATGTGATGCATATCTTTTTTATTTATCTGTTGAGAATGCTTACTCAACATAATCCTTTTTGCGTTTCTCTTAGTAACTCTGACTTCGATTATCACGAAAAAGTCATAAGTTTGCATCGGAGAGTTTATTAATAATAGAAGGCGATTCTACAGCCCCGATATCGATCAATATCAGCATTCCTATACTGTAGCTACTGATTTTGAGTTGCCAAAAATTCTGACTTTAAAAGTTTGTATATAAAAACATCAGACTTCTCCATTTTAACAGTCTAAACTCCAAGCGTGGCAGAATTTATTTCTAACTTCGACTTAATACCAACCCATATTGTAGCTTTCTTGCATTATTTCGCATTGTAAAATGCATGTAAATTGTACATTTTTCTTTGCAGTGAACAACAAGAAATTGTACCAGAGCCTGAACCACAATATAATGATGAAGGTGAATTAATACCCCCTAAAGAAGCAGAAGGTCCCTGGAAAAATGTTACCAAAGAAACTAGTCAAAGTCCAGCGCCTGAACCTGCACCAATGAGAAAACCAGGTAAATGGATCAAATTTGATTCTAGTTAAAGGAAGGCAGGGGCTCCCTGATTAACATATAATAGTATTTAGTTTTATCAATAAACATATTAGGTACTTTCTTACCGTTTGGTATTTCTGGATATATATCTTTTTACATTTGTCTGCAGTTCTCTTCAATTTTTGGTTACTTGGTAAGTTGGGACTAGATTTTGCAAAAGTCTAGAATCACAAACTATATTTCTGAATGTTTAATATTTAGTCAAATAATGAAAAAATCAGGTCCAAATAGAACCTGTGAGTCTGAAGAATCGAAAGTTGAATCATTAGGTATTTGAATCGAGTCATAGCACTGAGAGGCATTCCACTTAGAAAATATGACTCAAATAAAAACTAGTCATTTTTACCTACCAATGCTATTATAACGACTATAGCTCGAGTAATATCAAGTTATGTTTTCTAATTTCTTACTTATATATTATTTCATGATAATCTATCAATACTTTAGAACCAACATCAGAACCTGCAGTAACAAAGTCAGTATATAGACCTCCACATAGCAGGTATGAAGTTTTTATGGTTTTTGTTTTATCCCCGTAGCTACCTATACCTTTTAATTATTGTCATATTGTTGGTTGATTGCATACGTTTATCAGGTATCTAGGAAATTTAATATTCCAGACTTGACTTTTCACGCAGCATGCTAAATATTAGGAATGTGCTTACATATCCTATTATCCTATGTAGGCTAGTTGCCCCAGCATTGTGTTTCACGTAACTGCGGTTTCAGTTTTGTATTAGCTGTGAAGTCCATGCACCTGGAATACTGGTAATATGGCCATACTGGTGATATAACTGCGGTCATTGTTTGCCATATGATAAAATTATCTTGTCACTTTGTCAGCTTTCCTTCTTTGTCGTTAATTTTTAAATATTCAAACAGATCTTTCGAACAGTAATTTTAAATTCTGTTCAATCTAAATACTATGTTATGACTGAAACGAACAACACTCACTAGTCGCAGCATAATTAGGAGTGGACGTTTAGAATAATCTTGTGTTTTTGATAATTTGTAAATAATTTGCCTCCTTCAGAATGACTCCAAGTTCTGGAGGTACACCAAGTAGTGGTATACAACCTGGTTCAGGAAGGAGAAGACGACCGCAAGAAGCTCCAGTTATAAATAGTGAAATAGATTTTCCATCATTAGCATCTGCTGTTCAAGATACAGAGTAAGTCGGCATGATAAATTAGGAACAATTTGCGTACTTTCATTTGCAGATTTGACACTAGTTTTGAAGATATGTTGAAGACTTAAAATTGCATGAATTCACTTTTAGAATATTTTTATGATCGATTAGGTCAGTTATGTGCTGGAGTTATAGAGTCGTGAGTCGCGCAGTTTGTATAATCAAATATCGTAACTTGTAATTGTTGATTTGAATTGTTTTTTCTTTGTCCAATTTTCATTACTTTCGCTAGATGCACATATGTGACCAGAAAAGTTTCAACAGTATATTTTACAACTAATTTATTCATTTACTCCATCAAGATATTGTTTTTATGTTGCCAACACTATTAAACATTTCCATTCGATGCAATGCTAAACAAATGAGAGTTATACTTGCATCGTTGCAAATGTTATCTTTAAAACAATATCTCTCGTCTCCCTAGGCATCACGTAGGTTTTGAAACCGTTAAATCAGGAGCAAAATCAATATCACGGAGCCAACAGCAACAGCAAAATTCATCACAATCGGCTGGTTTGACACTCGGAAATCAATTTGCAGCTTTGAGAGACTAGACTTATCTTTGTTCCGAAGTAAATAAGTGACACTGTACTGTGACATGTCGGGAGTTGTGATGCTCAATGCCTGTGCACTCACCATCCATCAGTATTGCATTTCACTTTACTGCTCGATTATGCTCTCTGCTATGGGCTTGATTGTTGACTATTGTTTTTGTCACTGACATGACTAACGAAAAAGTCTGAATTCTATAATAGAAATGTTTATGGTGAATTGCAATCTTTGGCTCATATGATGAAGTAATATATTCAGCAACTGCGCACCTTTTCATTATGAAAATGACTGGCTATAATATTGTTCTTGATATATCATTGTTACTATGAAATACAAGCTTAGGAGTAAAAATTAGATCAGCTTGACCGATCGTTTTCTATTTTGGAATCTTTGCGTATTGTTCAATGAATAGCTTTGATGTTATCTTATATTTTGTGGGTAATTGAAGAATTTCACTACAAGGCAACTTTTCATGTCATTGGCGGTGCCAGGATGCCCAAATGCTCACAAGTGATCAAATTGTATTATATTGCTTTTCGAGATTTGTTCAACATTTAAGGTGATCTTGTTAAATTTGCATGAACAAGATTCTACTATTGCAGATATGCGGTTTTGCGTAATACCAGGATATCATCTGCACCTTGTCCCTTTGACCATGAAAAATAGGGAATTCATTGGTTTTTGGGTTATGATTTTTACAGAATAATGACGACTGTTAACAGTAAAAATCTAGAATTTGTGAAGGCTGTACAGCAGCAGAATATACCTCTCTATGGAGAATAATACACGCCAAATACCCTCCTTTATTACTGTTTGTAGAATTTTCTACCAGCCTCAAAATGCACTCGATATGTGCTGTTAAAAATGTACAATTAATGAATTCTGGAAACTTCTAAGTTGTTTTGTGTTCAGATCTGCATTAGATGAATTATAGCAGAAGTTTGAAGTCTCGTTGATATATTTTATGTGCACAAGAAATGAGCATAATCTACTTTAAGTGCACTATATGGTTGTGGTTTGTTCGGAATAAAGGTTGAGGCATTTGCAGTACTTCTGTGTGCGTTTGACTGCTGGGTGGATAGCTATTGGTTGGTGACATATCTTCATTCTTTGTGCAAGACTCTTAAATTAGTGCTGTGTTTCGCCGTTAAGCAAAGGGGCTTTTAGAACATATTTTTTTGTATATTTTGTCTGATGAGAATATAAAAATATTCATCTGAATGTTTAGATAACTAATTTTCGTAACTCTATTTGATACAGTGATTTGGAAGTTTCAGTGGAAAGAGTTTGGCTATCTGCTTGAAAGTCTTGTTTAAAGATTGGCTACAAAGCCACCAAAATGATGTTGCCGTTCATATCTTCATGGCCCCAAGAATAGGAGTTTTCCGTTGTGACTGATAGACAGGATATTTTGAATCCGACAACAAAATTATGTATGCTTGTATGCGGCGGGACCTGTATACTCTGGTTTCGCCAGAACATTTCAAGAGTTCCGCAAGTTTCCATTCAAATCCAAGTGTCTATGACTCTATATTTATATTGTTTAAATTTAATCAAACTACTACGCAGGGATTCCTCCAGCCCTTGAAATGTTTTATTGGGGTTCCGCTCCACCAAAAATTACTGCTTCCGATTCTGAATACGGAAATCGTCAGGCCAAAATGAAATCACTACCTCAAAGCAGTTTCCCGATTGTATCTATTTAAAGACTTGTGGCCATAACTTTGCCTAGAGAAAAGCCTCCTTTACTTCAACAGCGAGTGCATGTGACTTAGTCCCGAGCAACACACAACGTGCGTTATTTATGAGTCTTCCACTGACAATCTCTCAAACTTACAAGTACAAGATATTTTAATACAGTAGTAGGTTTAATATGAACAATAAAACAAGATGGATGCTCAATAGAAGTCAATAGTGTTTAACAATGCATTTTTACAGAGTTTATACAGAAGGACAAAATATGGATGTTGAAAACAGCTAGGCAGTGATATCAATGTTGGTACAAATTACAAAAAAAAAGAATTATTTACAGTTAATAACGTTGCAGCCAGTAAATTAATACAGGGATGAACAGAATCTTTTTTAATTACCGTAAATGTGAAATGTAGTTTAGCGACTTGACTTATTTCATTAAAGTATTCAATGAGGTAGAGTTGTCAAAATATTATTTGGATAACAGTGCAACGTTTTCCAACACTGTCAAGTCTTGTATTACCATGGTAAAATTGGGAGTTTGGCATGCTTTTATTGTCATCGGGTCAGGATTGGAGTCTGCTTTCAAACTCTCGAATGTCAAATCTCAATAAAGAGCCGAGGTTGTCTGGTGGTGTGGCTCAAGTGTGTAAGAACATACTAATTTGATACTAACTACAAAACATAAGCAGAGTGAAAAAGGGAACATTAATAACCGAACCGTTTCAATATAAAAAACTAGACATAAAGCAAGGTTGCCAGCCATATAAAATAACAAAAAAATCACTTGATATTGACAGTCGTGTCACTTGCAAAAAATTTATATGCAAGGAACAATCAAATTTATTTTAGATGAAACTTTCACTTCATGTGCATCGTATGCCTATGCCTATCCAAGTCAAATGAACCATCTGGTACTAACTATTCTACACTAAACATTTGTTAACGAAATTTTTTCACCGATTACGACGACTGTACATGAGAAGAATCGCATAGGTGTTATGTGAGAAACTATACATCTACGCAGACTATGGTTATTGGTATACCTCACTAGCTATTAAAAGCATGTACAAATCCCACTTATAATTTTGGTGTGCAATAAATTTAATAGGAACGGAAGTGTGCTCACTGTAAGTTTCTTACTTAAAGAGAACCTTGAGTTGGTTGTACAAGAAATTGGTTCTTTTCTTTTAAACAATAGCTGAACTAGGTAATATAACATTTCTATGCTGAACTGGCAGTTCCAAATCCTATTAGGGTTGATTATCAATGAGACAATAACAGGTTGATCCACTAAATCAGGAATGTGCAACATTTTTTGTCAGTGGGCCATATAATCAACTTCAGACAGCTAGCTGGGCCACATAAAAAATTTAGTTTTTCGATGCAGGAGAGGCAGAAGAAAAAATATGCAGCTATTGCTTAGCCTTGCAGTAATAAAGACGCCGGGCAAAGCGGCAAAAGATTTAACGCATTGACATGAGCAAAAAGCTTTAAGGAATTTTAACCCAGGTGAGCGACTTTCTAAACAAACTGTCAAATTCAAATTCTATACTTGATAAGGTAAAAATTGATAGAGTGTTGACAAGGGCCACACTAAATGGCTCGACGGGCCTAATTGTGGGCCACCTGTTGCACACTCGTGCACTACCATTCTGCGTAAAACATTTACGTGGTTAGCTAATTCTTTATATATACTATTTGGATTATTGATCAGATAAAGTTACAATTTTTAACTATATGATGCGTCCGTCAGTTTTGACGACTTAATTCCTAAGATAAGTATGTTCAGCTAGTTGCAGATCAGTGATCAGCAAATAAAAAATATGAAAATAGCAGTGTGGAACATCACAAAACTGGTGCAAACAAAGTAACTCAACAAATGTGAAGCTTCAAAAACAAAAATGCAATCGGCAGAGATTATGAAAATGACATGATTTTGGTCACTCAGAAATACTATTTGGTAATCGTAAACATTTTAGTCTTGAGCTCAAAAACTCAAAATAAAACTCTTCATAGATGGGTTATTCCATTAGAGTCGAATCATAATATGAAAATAGTGTTACGGTAATTAAAAAAACAGAGTTGATCTGTGATATTTAAAACATGGAACATATTATTAATAGTAATTATCAAAATACAGCAATTCATGTTAATGTGTTACAATCGCTCAGAGGTAGATAAACCACACTGGTCCATATAATCAATTAAAAACAATTCCAAATTTGTTACATAATAATTCATATTGAAGACATGATAGCAATATTATTAGTACAATGAACAAACAAAGTATGTAAAAAAAAACGTTGGTCACTATTCACTACAAAAACAGAAGCCAAGATAAAATATTGGTCGGAATCTCAAGATTTATTTAAGAAATGGTCCTTCAAATTCAAAAAAGGCAAAAAAACAAATAAACATGTATGCCACGAAAAGCTAGCACCTCGTAGACGAGCAAGTGCTGAAGGCGCAAACATAATACAATCAAGCTTGTGCAAAGTATTAAATTTACGTGTCCAATCATACACGTTGAAAAATGGTGAAAGACAGTTGCTAATAATTTTGATATGTGCACCTGTGAAGTTCCAAAACATCAAGTAGTTGCATCTAACAACCCGCAATGAGCTTTCTCCCTATGTATATTCTGAAATTGTACATAACTTATCAAATATCCAATTTACTGCATTCCACTGACAAGACAAAATGGTGCATTAAAATTGTGATCAAACATACAAAACTTTTAAACGTTTTCTACACACAATTCATTTTCAACTGCCAGTCTCCAAAAGTATATTTCTGTTGATTTAAATACTGTTGAATACCCAAATATTCACTGGAAAGATGTGAATCAAAATTTCCGAAAAATACCATATCATGAATGGATAAAGTATAAATGTGGAGAGTATGAGAGAGAGAGATAAAGAGCTATACACAACACAACATTTCAGCATTTTTTTCAAAAAGTCATTTCTTTATTTAGTAGACAATCTTTTGCCTACAAAGTGAATTGAGCTAATATATAGCAATCATGTCCAAAAATACAAGTATTCAAACAAGCACCTTTGAAAGTGAGGAACATAATGAAAAAAGATGAAAACAGTATAATTAGGTACATTGTTCAATTAAGGAATACAGTACAGAAAAATTTCATGCATGCAATGACAAACTATAAAACAATACTGAATAATAAAATAGAAGGCATGAAAAAATATATCAGTTCTGACTGTCTATTTGATACTGTCTAAAGTAAAGCAGAAGTTTAGGTCAGAATGTGCCAGTATTTTTGTATTCAATGCCTGCATGCTTCGATGTTCAATAATTTCCGAAAAGATCACTCCTTGATCTCATGCAACACTTTGATTTAGTATAACGAATTGATTGGATCAAGAAAACTTCAACAAGAACATCAAAAAGCGGAATCATGCACATTTACAAACCCTTGCAGAATTCTGTCAAAAAACTGTTTTTAAGTTGCATCTTGATGATACGTGAGAGTATGACTCATAGCATATTACCATTCCATTTAAAAATAAGTTCGCAGTTCAGTAGAAAATTCGTGTAATTGTAACTGCACCATTATATTTGTAGGTTTAAGAATTGTTCTCATCCTGGTGATTGCAGATATTGAATGATTCCTGATTCTTGTAATTGTTGTGTGACGACTTCTTCCCAACCACGATTCGCCTGAAAGTTTTAAAACGAAAATCTTTAGTTACCTTCAACGAAAACATAACCCTTATTTCAAAACGATATCTCTAAAATGCCATGTCCCAAACTTGTTCTCTTTAAACACACTTTAATACACTTGTATCACTGTTCTTTATTCAAGTTAGCTTAGATATATATTTTGTGGTTTTTAAGTATTTAAGTATTCATATAAAGATTCATACATCCAACACCCAACTCAAAACTAGAGAGTCCATAGAAAAATTAGAAAAAACTTAGCGAAATAGCCTATCACGAGACACTTTCAGCTTTAATTAACAAAAAAGTAAAATGAAAACGATTTAATGGCAGTGATGATCGTATCAATATTAGGAACATGACCATAGACCAAAGTACAATCTCATTCTGTACATATTGACAACATTCGAGGACAATGTTTAATTTATTAATTAACTGACTAATCTAATTTTTATATCCGGCATCATATATTAAAAGCACTGATCTATTGTAATCAGATATTTTACTTCCTGCTTGAGTCACGCACAAAACATATGGTTAAGATAAATAAATATAATTGCTTCGTACTCAGTGAAAAATTATTGTTCAACGAATGGTTGAAATAAGCACCAGAACGAATAACACCTAAAGTGAAAGTTTGGGATTTTTCATATAGCTTGTGTCAAAGAACAGCCTCTTGTTTTCCACCAAAATCAAATACTAAAACACACTCAGGTTCAATTTGAAGCTCCGGAACTAACTGTTGCAACTCGCAACTTGAAGTCGTAATCAAAATTTACATAAACAAGGGAAAAAGCTGATTTCCAAGAAAAACACTGTTTTATCGTGTTGTTATATTTTCTAAACAACCTAGATGCAAGTTTTTCTGCTAACACATCCAATTTTTTCTTTTTTAGATTTTTACCAAAAATATATAGAGGTTCTTTCAATTTGTGAAGGCTAGTAGAAATCATCTTGTCACTGGTGCAGATTGGGATAGAAAATCAAATTGATGAATCTAAATTTTACTTCTTACTGAAATACTAACCTGAGGAGAAGCTGGTGAAGGATGAAGAATTCTTACAATTCGAATACTAGCGGCAGATTCATCTCCTGCACTTTGTAGTACACAAGTTACTCTGAAAACAATATATCAGGATCAAAAGTTACCTCTTGTTAAAATAAAGGTTTAGATTTCACAGTCCTACAAGAGACAGCATTTAATAAAATCAAAGACTCATAGCATCCACAATACAAACACCTATCAGTCTTCACACAGATTATTTTGGAAACCAAAACAAAAGTCAAATCAATATTTTCAATAAATATTTTTCAATATTTTTATAAATATCAATATAATACAAGACAGCTCAAAACCACCGCAAGCTCAGTCTAGGTAGAGCTCCCTCTTGTCTCTGAATATTTTTATTGTCAATTTATTGCACACATAATCGGGTACTCCCGACGTATGTGAACCAAGATGGCAAACAACGGAACGCAGTATGTGTACCAGGTTAGGGTTAGGCCATAATTTGATTACAATTTTTCTTATTTTAGTTCTATTTCCTAACCTGGTACACATACTACCGGTACGTTTCGGTGTCCGCCACCTTGGTTCACATACTTCGGGAGTACTCATAATTGAACCTACCTGTCAGCAGCATATTTTCCTATAGCAACAATAATTTGTGCACGAATGACTCTGATGCATTGTAGTAAGGCTTCATCACATATTGCTTCTAAATTTCTACGTTCTGTGGCAGGTAGGGCAGCTGGAATAATATTTTTACCTGAAATGGAATAAAGTCTAAATTCTAAATTGAATGAAAATTGCAATGTTGACGTTACAATCCAAAGCTTATTTTGAAAATAGTTCAAGATTTGAATAGAGTACAATCATATTACTACTAGGGCTTGTATTAGGTAGTTCTCTTTTTTTTACTAATTTTATTCCAAAACCCAATTTTATCTTCTGGGGTCTTCAATTTGAATATTTCATTTAGTGAATATCGAGGAAATGCCATGAATAACTCGTAAACTATGACTGCTCACAATGAGTGAGAGGCAATGAACAAAAAAAATTTCCGATTCAGAGCTAGGGCCCACAATTCTGACCCACTTTCATGACAGTACTTCAGAAACAGCAAACGAATGTCATTCAACAAGAATATTAGCATAATTTTGGTAGGTAGTTTTGAATGTGATGCATTTATAATATCAGCGGCTACCAGTTAACTGGTCAATTTTATGTGATGATAATCATCAAGGAATTTTGATGAAAATTCCCAGCTATAGTTAGTATGTAACATACAACAAATAATAATATTTACAAACAGAGCAATTTTCTTGGTCTGGTTCAAAACTGAACCACATAGGGCAATTTTATTATGTTATGCAGAGAACAATAATCCATAATTTCATTTCACGTACCTGATTTGGTCATGAAGGTGAGTGGGCAATAATTATGGACAAAACAGTGGCGAAAGAATTGTTCTGGCGTACCGCATATCTTGGCAATAAAACCCCAAAATCTAGCACCGCTCACTTCACTCCTGGAAAATAACAACATGATACATTACACACTAATGATTACAGTATACAGTTATAATAATATCTTATCCAACAGTTAGACTGAATGAAAAAAATTACCATGCTCCATTTCTAGATGATGTACTTACGAAAAAAATTCAAGTTGATGATCTGTAAAGATCTAGCATATCAGACTTCCCTATTATATAGAAACAATAATCTCACCTTGTACAGTCTAATCCTTGTATTATACGACGAGGATGTTCATGTGGGGGATGATGAACAGCACCAGTAATTTTTAACCAATCTCTGACATATCGAGTATCACCAAATGGAACCTGTAATAGAACATAGTATAATTTTGACAAGAGACTAATGCTCAAATGTATAGGCGACTAGGCGTGAAAGTCGAATGCATAACTGCAGTACTAGACATAATATATGAATGCTTCCAATCAAAATTACTAATCAAAGCGACCTCGGTAGCAATTCACGGCACGAGTAACAATAAGGTCATAAATGAAAATGGGGTTTCCAAAAAGATGGCGAACTAGTAAAAAGCAGCAAAATTAAATTTAAAAAAAAAACAGAAGTAAATTTCCTCTACTTTGGATAAAGTGAGAGTGATATTGCTTTAAGTGAGTGTTCATATATTCACCAATATAAGCTGATATGACTTCATACACAAAACAAACTTACTCCATTTTGTGCCATTCCATAAGGTCCTGGATTCATTCCGAGAAATAGTACCGCTTTAGTTCCACTGTATTTGCTGACATAATGAGCATGTGGATCTGATGCATATTCCAGTGGATTATAGACGTATTCAACTTTGTCACTGAACTTGACACACTGGAAAGAAATTTTGGAGTTATAATAAAAATGTACATAAAAAGATCAAAAGAATGTAAGATGTACGCATACTATTCAGCAAAACTAATTTTCATCTGAACCCCACATATTGACAATTACAACCAACAGATTTAAACTATGGAATGTTCTACCTTAATATGTAGTCATCCGAAATTGTGAATCTTAAACATAATAGCCTGAAGCCTGAGTTGACTTTGATGACCGTATGGTCGTATCACTCCCTCCTGTCTATATCAAATTAGTTTATTACTTGTTATTATTTTTATTACTATGATGACTGTTATTGTTTGGTTGACGAAAAAAATAAATCTCTCTCTCTCTCAGATGACCGTTTTTTAAAACTAATATCTTTATCAATGTGATTAACCATGTCCTTGAACTTGGTTTCGCAGTCAGAGTTAAAAAAAAAAAATTGGATAATAAGGTTACAAGTATGGCATAACTAGCACTTCTATACGACAAAACAGATTACCGGTAATTAACTGTTTCACATGATTTCTGGAACAAACAATTTTGGATATAGACTAGAGTATCTTCCAAATTGGTCCATTCATCAGAAGAAAAACATATATTATAAACATTGAATTTAATGATGCAGTATATTTTTACAGCTATCAGAATTTAAATGAAGCCATATTAGCCTGTCTTGTTGTGATTTTAACGGCCCGAAACAAATTTTTTCCAAAAAATAAAAACTTTTCTGATACATCTGATTTTAAATGTATTTGAACATTCAATCCGTTTCAAATTGAATCCCTGCTAACCAAAACACATCATTCTAAATAGCAAAATTCTTGACATTTCCTCAAAATTTAACCCAATCATACGAAATAAAATCAAAATATAACCTTCAGTTTTGCACATAATTTTGCTTCAATCCAGAGGAAGGCTTGAACAATTTGTGCATTGAATGAATCTTCTTCATTTTCTGCTAGAGTAGAATCAGCAGATCCGATCAATTCTTGTTGTTGTTGATGAAGATCAAGAGCAGCTTCTAACTGTTGTTGATTTTGAGGATTGCTCAAAAAATTTGCCACCACATTATCATGCGCGAGGTCATCCTCTGTAAGATGCTCTTTTGGCTGTAAAAAAAGAATTTTGTGAAATTTGAATAAAAAATAGGCTATTACTTACACTTGCTATTAGTTACTTGAAAAATTTTCAGCCAATTTTAGTTTGTTCAATCAGAATTGATCGACTTGAGGTTTCTAGCATGTTTTTTTGAGAAAATACTTCTATTCTCAGCCCACCTACTACTTTTTGAGATATGGCTATAATCAGAAGTTTTTAAGAACAGTACCCCAAAATTTATATACAATTTGGCCTTCTTGCATAGTGCATAGAATTTGCCAAAAAAAAATTTCACTAATATTATCGAATCATAAATAACCACACATCTGGAAGTAAACGCCTACCGAATCATCAGCATCATGTGGATGAGAAAGTGTCAATGGATCTGCTATATGTGCTGACATGAAATTCCTTGACGCAGCCTGTGCAGCTGCTACTGCATCTAAATCTGCTGCAACAGAATGCTGAGCCATCAGAAGACTGTGTGCCGCTTGAGCCATTTCATCATTGTTATTGTATAAGACACGACTTGGTGTTGGAGTAGATCCTGGAAATGACAGCATTTTATTTAACAGTCCAATACAGTTAACACAGAAGTTAGTAGAAATTTTATCAATGTTGATAATATACTGAATTACTATATATATATTTTCTTTCCCAAAAACTTGAATTCGCTGATAAATGATAGTGATGATGAATTGAATATTTGACTTAGTAAATTCGATATTCTAGAATAATCCAAACTATTGAATGTGTGTACATAAAGATAGAAGCAAATACTGAATTACATATCGTTGAATCATATTTAAATTAATTTACAATTCCTATCAATTTACCCTTTAAACATGAACCAATTTAGAATTCAAAATTTCGGTAAAATTTTATTTTAGATTCTATTCGGAAGAATAAAGTATTCGATTTTGGCAGCTGTCAATTCAGGTCATTTAAATGAAATGATTAGTATTGAAATCCAGGAAAATTTTTGCTGAATATTGCATAATTTCTGAAAGCACCTTCATCAGTATAAAAAAATCTATATCGAAATATCGTTGTTGCTTAACCAACATGCTAGTTTTTCTTTTGTGGTTCCTATATCGAAAATTTCAACACCATTGACAAAATTATATCTCACCAGGGAAAACTGCAGCAGATCCCACTTGTCGATCTTTCCATCTGTCATCCATATACTCTTGCATTACACCAGCTAATGCTGCTTGTTTTGTTACAGCCTGTTGGGAAGCAAGCTGAGAAAATGATGCAAAATCAATGGCTCCAGGAACGGAAGAGATATCACAATCTCTATGAAATTGCCTTTTGGCTCCAACACCATGGAAGTATTGATCCATATTACAGGTTCAGGTGTTGGAAATGAGAAAGGGAAATAACAGATTATTCCTGTTTTAAAAAGTCAGACTTATGTGTCTTATATTCCATTAAGTTCTATCAAACAGTGCAGAGAATTTTCAAAGTGCACATTGTTCTTCATCACAAATCATATTGCTGCACCTATGAATGAATCCTAGTATACGAAAAATCTGTAAATTGAATTTGAATATCGTTGAAAAAATAAAACACAGGAAGTGAGGAAGGTTCAGCTAATAATAATAACTAATGATATATCCCTTTTTGAGATGTCCAAAAACTATCAAATACAGTTTTTATAACTACTAAAAAGGGGAATTAGGATGAAGAAAGACGTTGTAAACAAAACTGTTAAAAAGCAGTAATGACTGCTGTTCTTATCAGAGTTTGGAGTCACAAACCAGAGTTTTCAAATATGAGTCGGTTAAGTTTTTTTTACATTAACTATTTCTGACTTTACTCAATAACTCAAGATTTTTCACAGAAACCAATAGTCATATTAAAGTTTTTCTCTAATTGGGATCTGGAGTCCAGAGGCGAAGTCTGAAGTCAGGATTTGGAGACAATTTTCACAATGACTGGTAGTCGAGTGAAACTTGTCTCAGACTGTAACAAAAATTTTGCGTGAATAAATAAAACTTTGAACAAACGAATATTTTTATAGAATTATGCTGATTCTGTGATTAGTTGGGTAGTTCTGAAATTGACATTCGAAAACAATCCAATCATATCAATTATATGAAATTACTGAACCACCTAAATGTGATGTGTATTTGTATGCTATATCTCGTTGATCAGAAGTTTACCATAACGCTGTTATGTGTAACCTGACAGCTTGTAGCATATGTTAGAACATCAAATAAATGAGCACGACTTTCACATATGTTTACAACGTACAGACGTATGGTTCAACTTAGACCTACTAACAAATGAGATTTTTTTTCTCACTGTGTGATTAGTATTTCAGTATTTGTTTTGATGCATCCATTACAGCATTAAGTTTGATGTCATGATCGCCAGTACTCGCTTCCTTTACTGTCTTTTCCGTTAGGCCTACTATTTTTTTTCACTTTTTGACGATCCACTTTCTATATTCTTCATCAGTGAATTGATTACACGAGATTTGTATTTCATTTTTTTGGTACAGCCATTTGTCATTTTGTTACAAAATTGTACATTGATTTGTTTTTTCACAAATAATTCACCAGCTCGTTATACTGTTACCGTACATCGTGCATTTCAAATTTCCTTCGCCATCAAGTCCATGCATCTGGAACAAATAACTGGCTGACTAACCCCATACTAGACATAAACGGGATAAATATGTGAAATCTTATCTTACCTATCTGTTACCTCTGTCAATCAAGCAAAATCCTGCTGCTCAAAAACACGAAGTCATAAAAAGTGTTTCAGTATAAGATATATAATTGAAAAATAATGAATAATAGTGAATTTCACAGAAATACGAAAAATCGTTAAATTGACCCATAATTTGAGCAAGATCCGCTTTTGGGGCTTAAAAAATATTATGGTTATGGATTGCAAACAAATAAAGAAATTGGGAAAAAAACTCGATCAATTTTCTAACAAAATACATTTAATACACTGCAATAACGTAAATTTCTTTAAAATCTGACTCATCGTTAAATTGACCCAAACTTTGAACAAGATCTGCCTTTGGGGATCAAAAAAAAAATTGAGTATGAATTTATATCTTAGACATCTTTCCAATCAAATAAAGAAATCGGACAAACGATCATTCTTTTAACAAAATACATTTAATACAACGCAATAACGTCAGTTTCTTGAAAATCTGAAAAGTCTTTAAATTGACCCAAAATTTGAATAAGATAGGCGCGGCGGTGTGGCTCAACGGGCTAAGCGTTAGGAATACGCTCGCCACCGCACCTCTAATTACTCTGCGTGGGTTCGCAGGTTCGAATCCCATGCAGGGATGGTTATGTGCGAGAGGATTGCTGGACTCCTCGCCGTCGTTGGGTGGTTCACGTAACCGCTGGTCGGTTACGGCTTCCTCCACCACCAAGTCCATGCTTCCGAAAACAAACAATACAGTAAAACTAATCCCATACCCGACTTGGAATGGTAACCGGACGAGAGGCCGTGGTTCGCCATATGGATAAGCCGTCTTATCGGCTTTCCTCTCCCCGGGATAAATATGTAAATCCTATCCTATCCTATCCTAAGCCTTTGGGGCTCAATAAATATTTTGATTATGGATATCTGAATTCATCATCTTTCCAATTAAATAAAGAAATTGGAAAAAAACTTGATCAGTTTTCTAACAAAATACATTTATTACAACGCAAAAACGTAAATTTCTTGAAAATCCGAAAAATCGTTAAATTGGCCCAAAATTTAAAAAAAAAACTGCCTTTAGGGCTCAAAAAATATTTTGAATATGAATGGCTAGTTTCAATATCTTTCCAATCAAATAAAAAAAAATTGAAAAAATATTGATCAGTTTTTCAACAAAATACTTTCAATACTACTGCAATAACGTAAATTTCTCAAAAATCCGAAAAATCGTTAAATTGACCCAAAATTTGAACAAGACCTGCCTTTAGGGCTCAAAAAATATTTTGATTATGGATATCTGACTTCATCATCTTTCCAATCAAATGAAGAAATTTGAAAAAAACACAATCAGAATTCTAATAACAAAATACATTTAATAATACACCGCAATAACGTAAATTTCTTGAAAATCCGATCGTCAATTTAACAATTTTTTTTTTGAATTTTTAGGAAATTCACGTTATTGCGTTGTATTAAAAGTATTTTGTTGGAAAACTGATCTCTTTTTTCGAACTTCTTTATTTGGTTGGAAAGATGTCTAAGGTATAAATCCATACCCAAAATATTTTTTGAGCCCCAAATGCAGATCTGTTCAAATTTAGTGTCAATTTAACAAACTCCTCATTTTTTTCTAAATAATACGTTATTTTATTGTAATAAATATAGTTTGTTGAACTCCTCCCTCGATCATAAATGCTTTGTGTAATTAAATGCTACCTATTTAACGTTCAATTTACAATTCTACTTCTCTGTGGTTATTAATTAAAAATAATTCGCGAAGTGGAAACACTATTTTATGACATCGTATATTTTGCTCCGGAATTTTGCTAGCATTTTGCTGATATGACAGTGGCAACATCGATGTCCAAGGTTGTCGGCTCCGCGGGCCACAAAATTATTTTCAATAGTGCCAAGAATAGGTAAACAGTGCGATACAAAACAAACACCTTTATTGTGCAAACAAATACTTATCAGGCATAGCCATTCTAGGCTAATAGAATCCGCATTCGATTTTTAGTTTTCTATGATGCCTATATTACTAGCATATATTCCCGACCAAAAAGTTAGAGAGCCAGATAACAATTCAGACTGCCAAGTACATCATTCAACTTTGCTAGTTTCCCCAGCTAGACAATATTTTATTCAGTGACATTAGTGATGACAATATGTCAAAAGATTTTTCTGATTAATTTTATGACGAAACAACACGAAACGCGATTTTTGATTACTCTCCGAATGAGATGCGGGCCACAGATAATGAAGCGGCGGGCCACATGTGGCTCGCGGGGCTGGGTTTAAACCACCCTGATATAATACATTGCTATGGACAAGTCCATGCATCTGAAAAAAAAATAACTGGATAACAAACCCATATTCGACATGGACTGGTAACTGGACAAGAGGCCGTGGTTTGCCATATGATCTTATCGTCTTTCTTATCCCCCTGGATAAATATGTAAATCCTAATTTTAAATTTAGTAATTTTATTATTCAACATTGATCTGAAATTAGGAGAAGTTCTGTTGTGACAATAAATAATCCAGAAAAAAGAAATGCGTTCACAGATACTTGTGGTTATACACCTTTCATCATTTCACATCTTCTGGTTTATTTGTGGAGTATTTATAGCTATTAGAGCAATTTTATATTTTACCACGCTCAAGAATATTCGGTGCTTTCATATTCATGAATTTTGATTAACTCATAAAATATATGATTTTATCCCAAATATTTTGAGTTTTGTTCTGATTTTCTTTTTGCTGCAATATCTTTGTGCTCTGTTTTAATTTTAATGAAGCAAGTACTTATATTATAGATGAATGCAATAAACATTGTCTAGAATAGAATTTGTTCATATATTGCGCATTCTCATCTCTCTCTTCTAAATCAATTCATGTTACATTGTAAATAACTATAGATTAGGCGTGGGCAACCTGCGGCCCCTGGGCCAAATGTGGCTTACAAGAAAGAATTGTATGGCCCGCAGAGCCAAAGGGCCAACTTTGAATGGTGTGCGTCCCGTGATACTAGTTTTTAATTTAGTTTAATCTGGTACGTGCGAGTAACTCCAATCCTATACCTGAGTCCAATTTAGTATCCATGCCTATAACGTTACAATGCCCTAACAGCTAGCTTGTGCAAAGCAAACAACGCTTGTCATAAGATCAATAACCAAAAATTTTGTGCCTGCAACTACTAGAAAGCCTATCTTAAATAAAGGTGAGGCCCGCAGTTCCACCCAGTTATTTGTATCTGGTCCTGTATTAAAGATTGCACCCTCCTACTTCAGACAATCATACTAATAATAACCTCAGTACAATCATATTTTGAGCGCCATAAATTTATTGTTTCTTAGGCAGAAATTTACAATTTCATTATAACTTTTGATTCATTCAGGAAACATGCAGGTGGAAATGAGGAGAGTCGTGAAACAATTATGGAAATTAAAAACTACACAAGCTGTTGTGTTGTGTGGAAAAGTGGATGCATTTTGTTCAGGACTTGATTATGGTCTCGCTACACAGCTGACAGAACCCCAGGTGTGTTTGCTAGACAACACTATGGTTTGTTTCAAGTCATGATTGTTCATTGGATCAGTGATTTGCAAGAGAGTATCGTGTAGCAGTGTCTGAGTGTTGAGTTTAGGTTGTGGAAGCGAGAGTCAAAGTTGGTATGTGCACTTGCCACGCTGTGTGGATTCGAATCCTGTTTCAACAACGAACATACGATTTCAACATACGAACCAATTAGCTAGGGATGGGCAAAGTTATATATTTTTGTCAAACATTTGTGAGGAATATGGAATAGTTCTAATCTACAATCGAGTTGAGACCAGGAGATCAGTGTGATTATTTCG